TAAGGGGATAGAACAAGGACTGGTCGGCTCGGAGTCAGTATACTGTGTCTGAGTGGGGTACATGTACTCATGTTAAACTGCGGCATGGTATCTCAGTGATCTAGCACTATAAATCGGCATCAGTCCACACACACACACACACACACACACACACACACACACACACACACACACACACACACACACACACACACACACACACACACACACACACACACACACACACACACACACACACACATGTAAGTGCAATAATCCTGGAAGCGACGTTAAACCCCATTACACCTCACCTAGACCAGTAATGAAGCATCTAAACCCAATGACGGAACCTCTCGAGGAACCGGAAATGGCGACACATGGAAACATCCCAATCAGCTTGGTCTAGAGTAGTTAGTTTGCTGTGTAACGTCGCACTCAGCAATATTCCAGCTATATGATGACGTTCTGCGAATAATCGCTTAGGGGCCAGACAATCCAATGATTGACATCATGAGCATCGATCTACACAATTGGGATACGTTGACCAAGTCAGCGAGCCTGACCAGCCGATCCCGTTAGTCGCCTCTTACGACAAGCATGGATTGCTGAAGACCAATGCTAACACGGATCTTCTCGGGTTATGGTTCAGAGATGATTATGTATTATCCTGAATCTATTAAAAATTATGTACCAGATTCTAACATAGTATAGACGATCTACACTGGCATGTCGCTATTGAAATAAAGGACGTTGATCATCCATACTATCTTATCAGTTTTAATTTTAGCTCTTATAAATAGTTATCTTAGTTCTGTTTTGGATTCGAACAATGAAGAAAGATATTTATGATCAGGTCATACAATGACTACTACTGCTATGTACCCGCTTATGGCGTCTTATTATCTCAGTGTGCACGCTTTGCTTTAGGTAAGACTTTGGACATCTTACTGCACTGCCAGGGGTCGGTTTCACAAAGCGATCTTAGAGCTACGGCGGCTGCAAGTCGGTGTTAAATAATGGCAGTTACGATCGTTCTTTCCCAAATTTGACGCATCAGTGACCAAAGTGATGCCTGATGAAAGTTCCTCTTCTCACCAGTGTCATAAGTTGCCGAGTTTGTTCAGGTGAACAAATTGCAAGCCTTGCATGTGTTTGTGACCGGTGACACCAGTGGAGCAGGACACGCTAACGTTTTCCGACCGCCCGGTACTGCGACTATTTTATTACAAAACATAAACACATGCTTATGATGTAGTTGGAATCGTACAATGGAGATTTCTTATGATCATGGGAAAGGTTTTGTCCCCTCTTATGCATTCATTATTGTGGAACGGTGCCCTAGATGCATCTGCACAAAATGATCTTAGCGCTAAGACCATTGGATCTGCAATGGCCGTAGATACAATGTCTTTTTGTGCAAGTAGGCTCAACTTGCACGAAGCCATCCTTGCGCTACACCTGTAAGTCTACCTGAAAGTACTGGAATTACTACTCTTCGTGCAGATCTGGGTCAGGTCCAGATGCTGTGCCATACTGAGATGAGAAGTTATATAATCAATAACAACTAGATCGATAAATATTTTACAGTTTCATTTGGCAGACAAATGGGGTGGCATTTGAACGTCTTGCGTCAAACCTTGCAGAACTACCAGTCAACATGGTGCTTCTTTAACCCTTTATCAAACATGACAACAGTGTTACGGCATACGATACGGCCCAGCGGCTGTACAAATAGTAGTGGAACAAAGAAGATAAGCCGTGTCCGTGTTTACAACCAGAAACAAGCTGGTCGCTCTTGCACGCACCTATCCTACATGTAGCACTACAATTATCGCAAGCCTATATTGAAGTACTGGAGTTACAATTGTCTTTCCTGTGGTAGCTTTGTGCAAATCTGTCCAGGTGTTATTCTACTGACGGACTATTGATCCTAACCGTGAATTTTATGACACCAATCACCTCTAATAAACATTATGGCGTGAATGCGTTTGAGAATTCCCGTAAAATGTCTTTGTCTGGTTATTGCACGTCCCCCCAACAACTGAAGACCACTTACCACTCGTTTAAATAGTTCCGTCAATTTCTGTAAATTCTGACACCGCTGTACTCACATTGGCTCCTGATTAATCCTAGCAACCATAAATCATTAATAAACTAACACCGACAGATCGTTAGTGGTAGGCTACCCGAGATACCAACAGGGCAATACATCATTTTCACCGGCTTGTTAAATGAGATTTTCTGTGTACTTGGAAATAGGCCTTTACCGCCGTTGATCAATCTGCAATTACTAGCATAACAATACGAAGTGGATTTTGTCAAAAACAATGCAGTTGGAATGTGGTGTCAAGATTAGAGTGAGTGAGTGAGTGAGTGAGTGAGTGAGTTTGAGAGTTTGTGAGTTTGTGAGTGAGTGAGTGAGTGAGTGAGTGAGTGAGTGAGTGGCTCAAAAGACTCGGGATTGATTTTCAATATGGTTACAACATGTGTATATTCTTGGTGTACCCGACCTCGTAATACTACTGAAAGCGACACGCAAAAACGCACACTTCGAAGTATATGTACATTATAACAAAGAACACACCTCTGTACATATGCGTATTCTCGTCCCTCGCAAGCTGAAGACAGTAGCCACGTCTATAAACAATCGATAGTTTTAAATATCATTACGGCCAATTTTAATCTCTTCCTGATGTATTATTATATGTTTTTTGTTATTTTCTGACAAGGTTACACATCTATTGAGGTAAAACTGATTCTCATACACCACGTCACCCCTTTTGGTTTATGCCTGTCATAACTTTATGAAAAAAAACCCACCGAATATTCGTTGAAAAAGTCGTTTCTGAACAGTGATAAATAAACAAAACTGAGTTGCGGGATGCTTTTTATAAGAAGTGAGTGAGTATGGTTTTACGCCGCTTTTAGGAATATTCTAGCAATATCACAGCGGGGGTACCCCAGAAATGGGCTTCACACATTTTACCCATGTCGGGAATCGAACCCGGGTTTTCGGCGTGACGAGGGAACGCTTTAACCACTAGGCTACCCGACCGCCCCTTTATAAGAAGTGATGGACAGTCCATACAAGAAATACATGTAAAGAAACCATGTCGTACAGTATAACACGGCATAGACTACTTAACTCGCAGACACGGAGACAATAACAATCTGCTACCAGATTAAATCTCATTAAAACACGAAGTCAATTCCCAATGTTAAGTTGTGGCCATGGTAAAAACATCCAGTTACGTTAATGGTACCGTGTAATGCTCTGTACAAAGCTGCAGCAACCATTATAGTTCTTTACTTACAAATGTTCACTCAGAGAGCTATCATATGTTTTTGTTCTTAAACGTCTATTTAAATACAATTCAGCGCACAACGCACCTGAGTTGCGCTGCATCGCCTATTAATGTTTGTTTAACGATTCCGGGCCTTCAAGCGTCCTTGAGTAAGGTGCTTCATCTTTACGCAGAATCCTCTTACGGTGTACATTTGCAGCTAGAATTGTGTCTGTCCGGTGTCGGTATTTTCATGAATACAGAATCGATTGAAAAATGACAAAATGGGTTCTTCATGAGTGTTTTGAGGAAACTCTACCAAACCCATTTACACATAATATATAGAAGTTACCAGAAACCCATCAATAACCATTAGAAGGCGAACACGTGAGGCTGATTGGCATTGATTATGACATGAAAACGCATGTTTCCTTTTCTTAAGTTCTTTTGCATTTTTTAAATATTTAATGCATGTTCCCAATGGATCTAGACTGCGTTGGTAAAACAAACACTAAACTCATTAACGTGATACATGGCGAGGAGACATACAGAAATTGATTAACAGACATTAGCTGAGAAAAATAGCTGACGTAGACTGACATTCATCATATAGTGAAAAAAGTGGCATCATTCCTGTTTTTCAAATTCAAACTCTCAACTGTAAACCACTCTTCCGATTTCTCAGAAGTTCAGCCAAGCTCTGTGGTTATAATGGACACATGCTCCATCAATAACACTGTTCCATGAACGAAAATATTTAAAAGCGATCAAACTACTCGGTTTAATAAGGAAAAGTTTGAAATACTTTTGACAAATGTCACAAGATATGATCATATGAATTACAGGTAGTTTTTCCTATCTGTCACTTGCATCTGAAACGATTTATCCGTGGCTTCCGTAGAACTTTAACTTTGAGGAAGATCATTACCGAAAATTAGATTTTCTTCATATATTCCTGGTCTAAGAAAATCGGCTTGGGGCAAATACTTCCTCGTGTTCAAAGGGAAATATAAAACGTCAACGCCAGAGAATAACCAGTCTCGATTATCCGACGAAACACTTTCCATTGGGCGTAAAAGGAATAGCGGTGTCAAGTATATGAATGGATCACTGAAAACCGATGAGGACACCAGGTGTTGGCGAAGAGGGTAAACATGTCCTGCCCTCCCGGTAGCACCCACCACTCACAGAATTGGTATAAAACGTGTTTGTTTGTGGTCTCAGTACTCCTGCCATGCGACGGCTGTATGTAAAGAAACCAGACAATCAAGTGATGGAACTAAAATCCAGTCACCCGGCAGAGCATATAGTGAAACTAAAACGATATGTTATTCAGTCCACCAACAGAAACATCGACCCAGTTCAACACCAGACAATACTATGGCCGTAAAAGGCGAAATAACGGTGAAATTATAACTTTGGAAAATGCAACTGAAATGTTTTTAAGACAGTTTGACCTTACATTTGTTGTTGTTATCCAAAATATACACCTGCTCAAAAGAAGAAAATGTTTCTTATGTTTTAAATTCTGCTTAACAGAATGGAACCTCCCTGCCAACTTTAACAATATAGCTATACAACTCAGCTGACCCACCCGGAGACGGAGTCTCAATATTCCATGGAATCAATGGTCTAGAGTCAACATCTCCTGTGTGCTGGTTCTGCAGTCTGATTTATACCTGACACACCTGTATCACAATGGACTCTTCCACTACATATTGACTGGTATCTCCCCATTCCAGAATAGTGTTCATTTGGGTGTTGCGTTTGTCCGAGGGTTTCCACAATATGATTTGCATCACAAGCTGCGGAAATTACCATCAGATAGCTGGGATTGTGTAGATGTTTTGTTGAAAACATGTTCCTTTTGACCTTCGTGTCTGTGATCGTCACTATCCGGCCAAGTTCACCTACAACAGACCTCCACATCCTTGGGTTGTTCCCCATTACAGGGGAATGGGACGGAGGTCAGAGTCTGTTGACCGCTGTCCAGATGGCCATCGAGGACATCAACAACAGGGACGACATCCTCCCCGGCTACAACATCAACCTGACATGGAGCAACTCAAACGTAAGTAACACGGTTCTATGTCAATTTCATATAATAGAAATTGAAATAATGAAATCCATCACCTGTCAACTTTTCATTTGTTGATTTACTGTTTTCTGTGGTTATGCTGTAAATATAGGATTCATATAACCGTTTTGTATCTTTGTCGATATAATATTTTGTGGTTACGCTTTCTATATATGATTATAAAACCGTTTTGTATCTTTGTCGATATTATGTTTATTTTGTGTTTACGTTTTCAATATATGATTCATGTAACCGTTTTGCATCTTGTGATTGTGTAATGATTGTATTGATATAAACATCGACAGCGTCCATGGAAACGACAGACATTGAAATAATCGTAACCTTTTGTGGAAAGTTTCAAAAAGTAATTTATCAGGCATCCATTTGAATGTTCAGTCAGTCTTGTTTTATTGTTTCTGTTGGTCACGTCAGATCAAATTGAAGACGTACATGGTTGTAACCCACCACATACTAAATCAATACGCTCAGCCGTCCAAAATCTGGTCCTTGGGCGTCTTATATGTTTGTCGTGTTTATAGTCATGAGACTTTTATTTGAATAAAGACATTTCTATATGCAAGATTTATGAGAATATTACCTTCCGATGTGAAAATATTAACAATTAAATATTGCGTCTGACTTTTACAGCTTCTCAGTTTATGCGTTTATTCGCATTCACCCTTTCACTTCTAACCGTTAACACTTTTAGGATCACTTATTGGTGAATGCGTTCTTAAATAACATTAGTTTTGATCAGTGGTGTAATTTAGCACGATTAGTGACGTTCCCTAGCTCCCTGGACCTGCAGGTCATTAGTTCGAATCCCAGAATCGACCTGAATATGCCCCTTGGTTTGTCAGCACCATACCCATGCTTCAGCCGTGAACTACCAACGAGATAGTCACTGTGCCACTGGCCGACAGGGGCGGTCGGGTAGCCAAGTGGTTAAAGCGTTCGCTCGTCACGCCGAAGACCCGGGTTCGATTCCCGACATGGGAACAATGTGTAAAGCCCATTTATGGTGTCCCCCGCCGGGATGTTGCTGGAATATTGCTAAAAGCGGCGTTAAACCATACTCACTCACTCACTGGCCGACAAAGCGTAGTATAACCGAAATGCACTCACTCACAACTTTAGCAGAGTCTTGTTCTCGTGTTGAGATGGCTTTGTATAAGCGGGCCAAGAATATCTTCCCATCTTCTTGTACCTGTTGTCATGGCAATTGTCCTTATGTTTAAAAAAACCCCTAAACAAACCAAAACTTAAATTCGAGCAGTGATTATACAGCTTTTAAACCGACCGTCATACGTACTAAATGTTTCTGTTTCCAAATAATTATGTCGTAAAATGTATATACGCCAACTTCCATAAATGTATGAATGTATAATATATGTAAAAATGTATACATTGTATATACAGCTAATGTACCGTTCAGATCAGGTAATACACACATCGCTAAATGTGAACTTCGATGACAAACTTCACTTGATATGAAAATCTCTTAGACAGACTTCGATAAATTCGAACCTCTGTAATGCATACCTAGTTAGTCTGGACCTAAAAACTAGCAGACAATCTGGGACAAAATCTTTTTAACATGTCATAAATATCATTTTGACATGTCATGCACTATCGGCAACCAATGAAGACTGAGCATCGGGGATTGATTTTTTAAGTTTGTTTGTTTGTTTTTTGTTGAACGCCGCACACGGCGATATTCCATCTATATGACGGCGGTCTCTAAACAAGCGAATCTGGACCAGACAATTCCGTGATTGACATCATGAACATCGATCCATGCAATTGGGATATGATGACATGCATCAACCAAGTCAGCGAGCCTGACCACCCAATCCCGTTAATCGCCCCTGAAGAGAAGCATGGATTGCTGAGGACCTATTATAACCCGGATGTTTTAAGAGAGACACCACGGATACAGTAATAAATCCGTTAAAAGTCACTTGAATGAAGTGCACACACAACCAATATCTATAACGCAGTTCGGAGTGGTTAAATTCAGTCCATCGTTGAAGCAGAATTTTACTCAATTGTCAACAAAGGTCTTAGTGATATTACCTAACCATGTATGCAATCTAGGTATGTTAGCAGTGTGTTGATATGTACTAATGTAATGAAAATCACAGCTTAGGTTCCGGGTGAAGGCAACCCATCACATGTGATGACTGTACTTTCAATATAAACTTTCAGATAGTTTCAGGGAATACGGGTAATTGCAGAAAAACCTAAATAAAACAAATATCCAAAACTTTAAATGACTAAATGTTTGAGCCCGGGGGTGTACGTATCTAAAACCTTTGACAATCCATTAGTAGATGTTCTTTTGTTTGGAGTATACCCTCAGCCTCATTAACTCTGATGTAGTCTTTTGTAGCGCACCGTTGTAAGCAAATAGCGTTACTGCTGTAATCCTTATGGCAATATTTCCATGGACTCTTAATATAATGGAGGTGTCGTCTACTGCTCTAGTAATCTAATTACCTACACATTGTGTTCGGCAGACATGGCCACATGAACGTCGATGTGTGTTGATAGAGTGGCTGGTTGGTAAATGTCACAACACTGCTATTGTATTGACAGACAATGATAGAGATTGTCAATGCTAAGTGCTATGATTTAATTGTCCGGGTGTCATATTGAGTCGGTTTTAGTTTTAGTTTGTTCTTTATGACATTCCCCGAGGCGTTTTATGACATGGCTCGCGGTCATTGACGTGAATCGTCACTTTGCGAATCCAAGTGGTCTTTGATACGAACCCTCGCAGGTAAATGATGCGTCTCCTGGCGGCCTTTAATGCGAATCATCAAGGTCTTTGATACGAACCCTCGCGGTAAATGATGCGTCTCCTAGCGGCCTTTAATGCGAATCATCACGTTCTTTGATGCGAACCCTCGCGGTAAATGATGCGTCTCCTAGCGGCCTTTAATGCGAAACATCATGTTCTTTGATGCGAACCAACGCGGTAAATGATGCGTCTCCTAGCGGCCTTTCATACGAATCATCACGTTCTTTGATGCGAATCCTCGCGGTAAATGATGCGTCTCCTAGCGGCCTTTAATGCGAATCATCATGATGTTTTATACGAACCCTCGCGGTAAATGATGCGTCTCCTAGCGGCCTTTAATGCGAATCATCAAGGTCTTTTATGAGAACCCTCGCAGGTAAATGATGCGTCTCCTGGCGGCCTTTAATGCGAATCATCAAGGTCTTTGATACGAACCCTCGCGGTAAATGATGCGTCTCCTAGCGGCCTTTAATGCGAATCATCAAGGTCTTTGATACGAACCCTCGCGGTAAATGATGCGTCTCCTAGCGGCCTTTAATGCGAAACATCATGTTCTTTGATGCGAACCAACGCGGTAAATGATGCGTCTCCTAGCGGCCTTTCATACGAATCATCACGTTCTTTGATGCGAATCCTCGCGGTAAATGATGCGTCTCCTAGCGGCCTTTAATGCGAATCATCATGATGTTTTATACGAACCCTCGCGGTAAATGATGCGTCTCCCAGCGGCCTTTAATGCGAATCATCAAGGTCTTTTATACGAACCCTCGCGGTAAATGATGCGTCTCCCAGCGGCCTTTAATGCGAATCATCAAGGTCTTTGATACGAACCCTCGCGGTAAATGATGCGTCTCCCAGCGGCCTTTAATGCGAATCATCAAGGTCTTTGATACGAACCCTCGCGGTAAATGATGCGTCTCCCAGCGGCCTTTAATGCGAATCATCAAGGCCTTTGATACGAATCCTCGCGGTAAATGATGCGTCTCCCAGCGGCCTTTAATGCGAATCATCATGATCTTTGATACGAACCCTCGCGGTAAATTATGCGTCTCCCAGCGGCCTTTAATGCGAATCATCAAGGTCTTTTATACGAATCCTCGCGGTAAATGATGCGTCCCCTAGCGGCCTTTAATGCGAATCATCATGATCTTTGATACGAACCCTCGCGGTAATTAATGCGTCTTCTCGCGGTCTTTGATGAGAAACCCCAAGGGTAAATGAAGCGCCTTTTAACATGAACCCGCATGGAAAATGATGCATCTCCTCGGGGTCTTTTATGCGAATCCTCACGGTCTTTGATAAGTCTTGCGGACGTTGATGCATCTCCCCGAGGTCTCGCGAGCTTTGGTATGATTCCTTACGGTCTTTGATGTGATTTCCAGTAGTCTTTGATGCGAATCCTCAGGATGTTTCCGAAGAAAATGATCAGACTCGTAATAACGAAAATTACACTTCCCTCAACATTCAACAAACAATACATGGTCAGGTGTGAGTGAGTGAGTGAGTGAGTGAGTGAATGAGTATGGCTTTACGCAGCTTTTAGCAATATTCCAGCAGGGGACACCAGGAATGGGCTTCATACATTGTACCCATGTGGGGAATTAAACCCGGGTCTTCGGCGCGAACACAAACCACTAGGCTACCCCGCACCCCCTTGTAAGGGGTAGTTAGTGAGGCAACTAGTATATATTGCATGTAACTAAACATGAACGAAAGAGATCCTCCGAACCCTCGATACTTGAATCATAAATACCTTGAAAAGATGAATTTGTCAAATGGAAAAGTTGCAGACCTGTTAAGACAATAAAACTTCCGATTTTTAGTCGACATCGAACTTTTCATCTGTTCCCTTTAGGGGTAAAACCAAACAGGCGAGATAGCCTCTTTATAGCACGATAAATATATATAACTGTGAACCTCAGCGCCACGCATCTCAATGTATATCGTTATTACATGGAACGTGCACATCGAAATCAGGTTAACAAACAGTGGAGCCGAAAAGCTTAGCTGTTCTGTAATCATGTTTGGTCATATATATTGTGCGATTAGCAGTTTCCCGTCAAAGTTTACTTCACATATTTCTGTGAGCCTCAAAGGTGACCACAATGAGATCGTTATTACGTTAGGGTTGCATGCAGCAATGATGTACACATGAGATACTATGTCCTTGCCAGTGCAGTGCCGGGCGGGGCATCAGGGCCATGACGGACAACTTGTACAATGGACCGACTAAGATTGTCATCGTAGGCGGGGCATGTTCTACAGTCTCCCAGGCAACGTCCCAGGCGGCCCATCTGTGGAACCTTGTACAGGTAGGTCTAACTGTCTCCCAGGTAACCCAGCTGTGGAACCTTCTACAGGTAGGTCTAACTGTCTCCCAGGTTACCCAGCTGTGGAACCTTGTACAGGTAGGTCTAACTGTCTCCCAGGTAACCCAGCTGTGGAACCTTGTACAGGTAGGTCTAACTGTCTCCCAGGTAACCCAGCTGTGGAACCTTGTACAGGTAGGTCTAACTGTCTCCCAGGTAACCCAGCTGTGGAACATTAACCAGGTAGGTCTAACTGTCTCCCAGGTAACCCATCTGTGGAGCCTTGTACAGGTAGGTCTAACTGTCTCCAAGGTAACCCATCTGTGGAACATTATACAGGTAGGTCTAACTGTCTCCCGGGTAATCCAGCTGTGGAACATTAAAGAGGTAGGTTTATTTGTCTCCCAGGTAATCCAGCTGTGGAACATTATACAGGTAGGTCTAACTGTCTCCCAGGTAACCCAGCTGTGGAACCTTGTACAGGTATGTCTAACTGTCTCCCAGGTAACCCATCTGTGGAACCTTGTACAGGTAGGTCTAACTGTCTCCCAGGTAACCCATCTGTGGAACCTTGTACAGGTAGGTCTAACTGTCTCCCAGGTAACCCATCTGTGGAGCCTTGTACAGGTAGGTCTAACTGTCTCCCAGGTATCCCATCTGTATAAACTTATACAGGTAGGTCTAACTGTCTCCCAGGTATCCAATCTGTGGAACCTTGTACAGGTAGGTCTAACAGTCTCCCAGGTAATCCATCTGTGGAACCTTGTACAGGTAGGTCTAACAGTCTCCCAGGTATCCCATCTGTGGAACCTTATACAGGTAGGTCTAACTGTCTCCCAGGTATCCCATCTGTGGAACCTTATACAGGTAGGTCTAACAGTCTCCCAGGTATCCCATCTGTGGAACATTATACAGGTAGGTCTAACTGTCTCCCAGGTATCCGATCTGTGGAACCTTGTACAGGTAGGTCTAACTGTCTCCCAGGTATCCCATCTGAGGAACCTTATACAGGTAGGTCTAACTGTCTCCCAGGTAACCCAGCTGTGGAACATTAACCAGGTTGGTCTAACTGTCTCCCAGGTAACCCATCTGTGGAACATTATACAGGTAGGTCTAACTGTCTCCAAGGTAACCCATCTGTGGAACATTATACTGGTAGGTCTAACTGTCTCCCAGGTAATCCAGCTGTGGAACATTATACAGGTAGGTCTAACTGTCTCCCAGGTAACCCATCTGTGGAACCTTGCACAGGTAGGTCTAACTGTCTCCCAGGTATCCAATCTGTGTAACCTTGTACAGGTAGGTCTAGCTGTCTCCCAGGTAATCCATCTGTAGAACTGTGTACATGTAGCTCTTTCTGTATCGCAAGCGGCCCATCTGTGGAACCTTGTACAGGTAGGTGTTACTATCTCCGAGATAACCCTTCTGTGCAACTTTCCACAAGTAGGTCTCACTGTCTCCAATGTAACACTTCTGTGGGACCCTTTTAATATGAAAGTTTCCAAATGTATCCTACTTTAAACATAAATTCAACAGTATTCCTCTAAGATCATCGGATCCTGGTCAACTTGCTTTAAAATATATGAAAGACTTAGTAATTATTTGATTCAATTTAACATCGAGTATCTGCGGATATATCTGTCCTAGAAACAAAGGCAGATAGGCTGATATATGTTCTCTCAACACCAGGTGTCCTACGGTTCTTCTTCCCCGGCGTTGTCCAACAAAGTGCGCTTCCCCAAGTTCATGCGCTTGGCCTCTGCGGACACAGCCCTCACCTCCATGCGGATACGGATGATCCAGCAGCTGGGCTGGTCCCGGGTGGCCACCATCTACCAGAGCTATGAACTCTTTACCTTGGTGAGATTACAAAATAACTTACCCGTGAAGATCCGGATTAGATTAGGTCTTCAATAACCCATGCTTGCCGTAACAGGCGACTGTGCTTGTCGTAAGAGGCAACTAACGGGGTCGGGTGGTCAGGCTCGCTGAATTGGTTGATGCATGTCATCGTATCCCTTTTGCGCAGATCGACGCTCGGGATGTCAATGTGTGGATTGTCTTGTCCAGACTCGATTATTTACAAACCGTCGCCACATAGCTGAAATATTGTTGAGTGCGGTGTTAAACAACAAAGAAACAAAACAAACAAAATAACTTCATCTTTACTATATCTCGGGGACACGGTCATGCTATGACAGCGCAATCACAATGTTGGAACTTTATTTTATTGCGTCCACATTCCTAAAGGACAGTGGTTTGTGTCAGCACGGGTATGGCTTATTTGTTCAAGTCAGTGCGACTTTATGATGTGGCTCACCTGGGTTTCAGGATCGTTGGCTGATTTAAGATTGGCTCCAGTTCTGACCATTGGTATGTCAGCACCGTACCCGTGTTCGTGTGTTGGAGATACCATATAAGTTCTGATCAAAATCTGTACTGGTAATAACACCAGGCATTATTATGGTACTGGAGATACCATATCAACTCTGACCAGAATCTGTACGGGGAATAACGCCAGGCATTATTATGGTACTGGAGATACAATATCAACTCTGACTAGAATCTGTACGGGGGATAACGACAAGCATTATTATGGTCCTGGAGATACCATATCAACTCTGACCAGAATCTGTACTGGGGATAACGCGAGGCATTATTATGGTACTGGAGATACCATATCAACTCTGACCAAACTCTGTACGGGGGATAACGCCAGGCATTATTATGGTACTGGAGATACCATATCAACTCTGACCAGAATCTGTACTGGGGATAACGCAAGGCATTATTATGGTACTGGAGATACCATATCAACTCTGACCAAACTCTGTACGGGGGATAACGCCAGGCATTATTATGGTACTGGAGATACCATATCAACTCTGACCAAACTCTGTACGGGGGATAACGACAAGCATTATTATGGTACTGGAGATACAATATCAACTCTGACCAGAATCTGTACGGGGGATAACGCCAGGCATTATTATGGTACTGGAGATACCATATCAACTCTGACCAAACTCTGTACGGGGGATAACGACAAGCATTATTATGGTACTGGAGAAACCATATCAACTCTGACCAAACTCTGTACGGGGGATAACGCCAGGCATTATTATGGTACTGGAGATACCATATCAACTCTGACCAAACTCTGTACGGGGGATAACGACAAGCATTATTATGGTACTGGAGATACCATATCAACTCTGACCAGAATCTGTACGGGGGATAACGCCAGGCATTATTATGGTACTGGAGATACCATATCAACTCTGACCAAACTCTGTACGGGGGATAACGACAAGCATTATTATGGTACTGGAGATACCATATCAACTCTGACCAAACTCTGTACGGGGGATAACGACAAGCATTATTATGGTCCTGGAGATACCATATCAACTCTGACCAAAACTCTGTACGGGGGATAACGACAAGCATTATTATGGTACTGGAGATACCATATCAACTCTGACCAGAATCTGTACGGGGGATAACGCCAGGCATTATTATGGTCCTGGAGATACCATATCAACTCTGACCAGAATCTGTACGGGGGATAACGCCAGGCAATATTATGGTTCTGGAGATACCATATCAACTCTGACCAAACTCTGTACGGGGGATAACGACAAGCATTATTATGGTCCTGGAGATACCATATCAACTCTGACCAGAATCTGTACGGGGGATAACGACAAGCATTATTATGGTCCTGGAGATACCATATCAACTCTGACCAGAATCTGTACGGGGGATAACGCCAGGCATTATTATGGTACTGGAGATACCATATCAACTCTGACCAAACTCTGTACGGGGGATAATGACAAGCATTATTATGGTACTGGAGATACCATATCAACTCTGACCAAAACTCTGTACGGGGGATAACGACAAGCATTATTATGGTACTGGAGATACAATATCAACTCTGACCAGAATCTGTACGGGGGATAACGACAAGCATTATTATGGTCCTGGAGATACCATATCAACTCTGACCAGAATATGTACGGGGGATAACGCCAGGCATTATTATGGTACTGGAGATACCATATCAACTCTGACCAAACTCTGTACGGGGGATAACGACAAGCATTATTATGGTCCTGGAGATACCATATCAACTCTGACCAGAATCTGTACGGGGGATAACGACAAGCATTATTATGGTACTGGAGATACCATATCAACTCTGACCAAACTCTGTACGGGGGATAACGACAAGCATTATTATGGTACTGGAGATACCATATCAACTCTGACCAAAACTCTGTACGGGGGATAACGACAAGCATTATTATGGTCCTGGAGATACCATATCAACTCTGACCAAAACTCTGTACGGGGGATAACGACAAGCATTATTATGGTACTGGAGATACCATATCAACTCTGACCAGAATCTGTACGGGGGATAACGACAAGCATTATTATGGTCCTGGAGATACCATATCAACTCTGACCAGAATCTGTACGGGGGATAACGCCAGGCATTATTATGGTACTGGAGATACCATATCAACTCTGACCAAACTCTGTACGGGGGATAACGACAAGCATTATTATGGTCCTGGAGATACCATATCAACTCTGACCAGAATCTGTACGGGGGATAACGCCAGGCATTATTATGGTACTGGAGATACCATATCAACTCTGACCAAACTCTGTACGGGGGATAACGACAAGCATTATTATGGTCCTGGAGATACCATATCAACTCTGACCAGAATCTGTACGGGGGATAACGCCAGGCATTATTATGGTACTGGAGATACCATATCAACTCTGACCAAAACTCTGTACGGGGGATAACGACAAGCATTATTATGGTACTGGAGATACCATATCAACTCTGACCAGAATCTGTACGGGGGATAACGCCAGGCATTATTATGGTACTGGAGATACCATATCAACTCTGACCAAACTCTGTACGGGGGATAACGACAAGCATTATTATGGTCCTGGAGATACCATATCAACTCTGACCAGAATCTGTACGGGGGATAACGACAAGCATTATTATGGTCCTGGAGATACCATATCAACTCTGACTAGAATCTGTACGGGGGATAACGACAAGCATTATTATGGTCCTGGAGATACCATATCAACTCTGACCAGAATCTGTACGGGGGATAACGCCAGGCATTATTATGGTACTGGAGATACCATATCAACTCTGACCAAAACTCTGTACGGGGGATAACGACAAGCATTATTATGGTACTGGAGATACCATATCAACTCTGACCAAAACTCTGTACGGGGGATAACGACAAGCATTATTATGGTACTGGAGATACCATATCAACTCTGACCAGAATCTGTACGGGGGATAACGCCAGGCATTATTATGGTACTGGAGATACAATATCAACTCTGACCAAACTCTGTACGGGGGATAACGACAAGCATATTTATGGTACTGGAGATACCATATCAACTCTGACCAAACTCTGTACGGGGGATAACGACAAGCATAATTATGGTACTGGAGATACCATATCAACTCTGACCAAACTCTGTATGGGGGATAACACCAGGCATTATTATGGTACTGGAGATACCATATCAACTCTGACCAGAATCTGTACGGGGGATAACGACAAGCATTATTATGGTACTGGAGATACAATATCAACTCTGACTAGAATCTGTACGGGGGATAACGACCAAGGGCGGATCCAGCATATTTAATAGGGAGTGGTCCAAAGTTTTCTCTCAGATAATTTTAGTGCCTACAAAATACTACATTTGGTTTTCAAAAGTGTGTGGATACATAATTGTGTTTCTTGAGATACTTTATCGACTTTTACCAGAATCTGTGCTGGGGTTTTATGTCTTTATGACTTCAGGACAGAAATAGTGTTTCAGAGATGGGCTGTGTTAAACGATATATAATACAATTGAATCAATAGTCTATCGATTAGTCAACGGTCCTGCAGTCAGGTTAAGTTGATGGACATTACGACATGTCCCCTGAAACCCCCTGAACCTCTTTGTACAGGTGAACGATGATTTGCTGGAGGCCTTTTCCAAGGCGAATCTTACCGTCGTGGCGTCAGAGGTCTTCAAAAATAGTCCAGTAACACAAGTTCAACGACTGAAGGTAACGCATCAGAAATCATGTTGTACTGTGAACGGTCTATAATTTCAGACCGGCTATGTGATAGAGCGTCCCGGAGTGCGGAAGGTCGGTGGTTCTATCCCCCGGCCGCGTCTTACCAAAAGCCGTTAAAAAGATGGTAATTGTAATTACCCTGCATGGCGCTTGGCATTAAGGGGAGACCGTGTAACGTGTTTGGGCGGAGTATCCCCATTTCTTCTCGTCTATCATATCATGTGCAGACATTGGCAGTTCAATAGTTATATTCTGTGATGTATGACAGAGAAGCTTGTGTTGATGTTGCAGGACAAGGATGCCAGGATTATTGTCAGTGGGTTCTATCCGGAGCTGGGCAGACAGGTTCTATGTGAGGTAATCTGAAACGTTAAGCGTATACTGAACCAAAAATGATAGGGATCATGACTAGCTTTGGAGACACTTTTTTGTTATAAGAATATTCCCAAAATATTTATTATCCCTACATGAACCTTTAAGTTCAGTATATTAAATATTGTGAGTACTGTTTTGTCTGGGGCTCGGTGACCCAGTCGCCTTAGTGCAGAGTCTCGGTCGTTGCCATAGAATCCAGTGATTGTAGCTTGGAATCTCAAATTCCCCCCGATCATGGTTCATGGCTTGTCAGCACCATACCCATGCTCGTGGGCTTCCCCAAAGTGATGAACGTCCAACTCCTGCATCACTCCGGGTATTCCTCCCACATCAACTGACAGACAGTTATATAACTTGAGTTCTGTTCAACCCATCTCTTTCACTGCTAGATTCCTAGCTTCTATGTATTTTCTTAATGAATATCTCTAGAATTGTGTGGCCAATATGGCCACTACGATTGGACATCAATTATATACTGAACCAAATTAAAAACATTTTTAAAAGTAATCCCATATATGATATACAACGGACAAATGTATCAGAGAAGGTAATTTTTAATAATTAATGTCCAAAGAAGGATTTTAATTAACGGTGGTAACCATAATTTGTTCCAAGCACCTACGGTATTCGGTATAAACATCAACAGTTTAAATCATAAGTCCCAAGCACGAGAATCTGATGGCACACAAGTTCAGTAGCGTGTATGGCCACCATGTGCGTTGACAACTGCCACACAACGCCCCGCATGGACTTTGTGATGCTTGTGAACACATGATTGGGAAGACGACGCCATCGTTGCTGCAAAATGGTGCCAAGATCTTGCAAATTCTGTGGTTGGTTCTGGAGAGTGCGCAGACTTCTGCCAAGAGCATCCCAGACGTGTTCGATGGGATTGAGGTCGGGAGACCTTGACGGCCAGTCCATGACGTTGACTCCCGCATTCTGAAGGAAATTCCTTGTCAAAATTGCTGTGTGGGGTCTGGCATTGTCGTGTTGGAAGATCAAACCGGGTCCATGTGCTGCCATAAAAGGCACAAGTTCTGGTGCCAGTACCTGGTCGCGGTAAGCAGCAGCGTTGAGGTTGCCACGGATGACAAGAAGCCTGGAACGTGCATTGCCACAGAAAGCACCCCACACCATGACACTTCCGCCTCGAAATCTGTCAACTTCCTGTACACAACACTGGGCGTAAGGTTCATGAAGGCGCCTCCACACCCTCGCGCTACCATCAGCAAATCGAAGATTAAATCGAGATTCATCACTGAAGACGACTTGATTCCAATTCCTCTGAGTCCATCGTAAGTGTCGCTGTGCCCACAATTGACGTTGACGTCTGTGTAATTGAGTCAGAATCGGCCCGCAGTATGGCCGTCTTGCTTGAAGGTGAGCAGTTCTCAGACGGTTTCGAACAGTTTGCGCACTCAGTCTACCCCTAAACAGTTTATTTCTGGTTGATGTAGCCGTCAAAAATCGGTTACGGAGGTGACGTTAGACAATCTGACGATCCTCTGCATGTGACGTCACGCGTGGTCGACCTGGCCGAGGGCGATCAGCGGTGGTACCCGTTTGCTGTAGACGCGTCTGTAAATCATAAACAGTCCGTCGACTACAACCCATCGTCCTTGCGACTTCAGCTATGGACGCTCCCGTCTGCAACATGCCGATGACACGTTCACGTTGCACATTTGAAAGGCGTGGCATGACAAATGGCCGTAAAGACTTTTGTTTTCTTGTGTTTTTCTTTTTTTGTTAATGACTGCAAACAAGTATGGTTGAAAACACGTGCGGTATTATGGCCACGTGACCAGTTGCACGTGAAAAAACACTTTTGCCACTATAGTGCTGTGCACATGAATTTGATCGATTCACCTGCACAAAAACGGGTGTTATCTGAAGACGATACGTGGCCATTACTGTTTAAATACACAATAAGGGCCCACAATGATAACTAGTCAAAATGTTAAAATTTTAGGATTGTGAAGTTTTTAATTTGGTTCAGTATATATGGATCAGCGCCAGGGAGGGTGAGTACGACACCTGTACTGTTCTGTCCCCTATAAGACCACTACGAAGTCATTACTAGACTTCCTCCATCTCCAACATCCAATCCTAGTCCTATAATATAGGGGGTTGACTTTCTTGATATCAAGATTAGGGCACTCTATATCTATTAAGGTAGAGAGGGCACGGATGCTCCGGTAGTCTTCACTTTATCCCCTTTTTTCCAGGACACCTTATATGGTAACTCTTCCCTTGGCCATGTCACTCCGTTACTTATTTTATGTACACTCTTTTTCAAAATCATGGATTTTCCTCCGCATATTCAGTTTTGTTGTCCCAGTCGTAGTGGCTGGAATATTGCAAACGCGGCGTAAAACCATACTCACTCACTAACTCGTCAACCCGTACCCCTACCATATGTAAATGGATCATGTCACACCAGGGCAGCATGTCACATCTCAGAGAAAGGCCTGGGGAAATGCATTGCACATCTGAGGGAGGATAAATCGGAGTTCCTTCAACGTCCCAGACGCCGTTCCATACCATCCCCGACATATGCATGCAATACCAGCAACATTTTCCATGGTTTAAAATCCCAAAATTTATATAAAGGTTTATATTGGAAGAAAAAACCAAGTCACAATAACTTTTGCCTTTGAGTATATACTGTAACACTTGGATCCTTTTCCTCTCAGAGCTACAAGATCGGGCTGATCTACCCCCGGGTGATCTGGATACTGATTGGCTGGCTGAATGTCAAGTGGTTCATGGAGACCGACGTCACAATCGACTGCACCCCGGATCAGATGGCCCTGGCGCTGGAGGGGGCAATATACACAGGTTTCCTGTATATGGATCCCTTCGACACCCCCACGATATCCGGCCTCACCCCTCCTGAGTTCACCCTACATCACAGGATGCGGAACAACAACGAAACACTACCTGGTGACATCCTCGCCTCACAGGGGTATGACGTCATGTGGACGGTAGCCTTGGGTCTCAATGCTACAATGACGACTTTGCTGGAGACAGGTGATTGGTTTTAATCTTTACAAATATTTAAAAGATCTCAGAATATATATGCGTATATTCACAATGTTTTATCGCGAAATAAGTGATGGATCGCGTAGCTATTTTATATTTCACGATAAAATATTGTTCTATTACATTATTTCTGGAAATTTGAACATGCGCTCGCAACTTGATGACGTCGTGTATTGGATGACGTTGTTTTTGAGAGGGAAAAATGTTATTCCCTATAGATCCCTATAGCTGGGCAACGCAGATAAACGCAGTGTCCGAACGATCGCACCCAAAAGTGGGAGGGTATGACGGCATTGGGAGGAAAGGTGCAGATCAACGTGAGGATTGTGAAAAAATGCGTGGAATACCAAACTTAACCCACCTGTTAAAAAAATGGACTTGTCCGACATTGCCGAGGTCAGATTGTATTCAGGGAGTCGTCATTATTGACATACGGGTAAGGAGCTTGGGAACTGATGGGGTTCAATTGGTTGACGATGGTGTCATTTATCTCTCTGTACTGGTGGAGGTCTTTTAGAGTCTTTATATGTTGGCGTTCTAGTTTAGCAGCGGGTCAATTACCAATCAGTGATAAGTTAAGTGCTGGCTTCCCTTTGTCCATTGCTAAGCACCCATCGGCCCAATTATCTCTTGGCTCCCCTCGTTAAGATTCTACATTTGTTTTCTTATTACTTCTGCTCCATAGCATAATTCACCTTATGAAGGAGTAAGTATGTACTCCGAAACGTTATGTTCCACATAACATAGAAGTTGACATCCATAACTTCTCTTCCCTAATAAATGGTTTAATTTCCCTGCAGTGCTTTACAGCACGATAAACAACGACCACGAGTCGTTTCTTTCTTAATTACACGGCGGCGTCATGACTCTGTACACAGTGACCCTGATAATCCGGACGGTGCCGTTTTGGATGGAACCGTCGGGATAAACAGCATGTAACGAAGCATAGGGACAGTCTGTGTCACAACGTGGTCCCAACAGTAACTGCACGGTCGGGGTCTCCAGATTGACGGGGTCCGTACTAACGAGGTTGCACTGTGTGTGAGTTGTTCATGTATGCTGCTGTGTGTTGGCAGGCAGCAACAAAAGCCTGGAGGACTTCACGTACACGGACACGGCGCTGGGGGCGTTGATCCACAGTCACATGTTGAACGTCAGCTTCCAGGCCATGAAGGGACCTGTGTCCTTCGACAAGAACGGAGATCCCATCAGCTACGTCACAGTGGAACAGATCCAGGGTAGGGACCATGATGGCTGTCTGTACAAGCACCACGGAGCAGTATACTTAACTCATTGCATAGTGTATTTTCCTTATGTCAGGATTCACAAAAGAAAAATCAGGCAATATTTGTTTGGGTTTACCGGTCTTGGAATAGTTTTGGAAAATAGATTTCTTTATGTAGTCAAGGAAAAGTTATGGCAGAATAATATTTTTATACCAATGCTTTTTAAAGCGATATATACAAGCGACAGGAAAGTAAATAAAACTCAATTTTATAATGGCCGTTTCCAATGTTATTCTGAGTCAACATGTTTGTTAATTGGTTCATTGTTCATGATGATTGAATATCACTGAAAACTTGCATACTTCTTGGTAAAACTGGGGCAATTTCATGGAAACTTGTCATATGTATATGAACCCTGTAATGTATGTTTGGGTAGCATTATTAGTTGTAGGTTCGTCCATATAGTAACCATTTCTTGTTGGTTTTCTAAAGTCGCCATCGACAAACGTGGGTGTACGCTTTCTTTAACCTGGCAGTTTATAATCAGACCTAGTCCAGCATGGCTGGCCCAGTCGTCTAATGCCTGACATTTCGATGTGCAGAGTTGCGTCCCTCACGCGTACAAGGATCCTATGGGTTTGTAGCGGATATTTACCGCCAATATTTCAGTGTCACGACGACGTTTATGTTTAATGTGGAAGGAAATGAAACTGCTGCAGATCTTTGACTTCGCACTTGTTGACCGACGGTGATTGGTATGGTGCTGACAAACAGTGGATCGTAATCAGGGAGAATCTAGCTTTCGACCCAACGGATCCAGACATGGGTAAGGGAATCAACTCTACACAACGAAACGAATGGGCAACCTGTTTCCCAGACTCAATTAATGAGTTCAATCATAGGGGGGAAGTGGGTCAACAATTTGCAAGTACTTTCTGTCTTCCAGATGGTGAGCGGAAGACGATTTGTTATGTGAGGGAAGACCAGGATGGGAAGCTGAACTTAACCCTAGCTCGCTGGGCAGGTGAGAACACTGCTCATAAGTAGAGATAGTATGTACCTAGGCAGTCTTCAGATCTCACTTTCAACGTTTGGCTTGAAATACCCTATTGTATATCACCGCGAATCTTTTGAATAAGGACATCAAATAACTAGAGGAGCTACACGTTCAGATTGAACATAACTACATAACATTGACCACCACGCAGGGACACACACAGGGCACCTTCCGTCACATTACTTTATGAGTTCGAAATCACGTTTGTTTGTTCTGTAACGTCGCACGCTGCAATATTCCAGCTACACGACGACGTCCTGTATATTATCGAGTCTGAATCAGACTATCACGTGTAAGAGCACCGTCGTGTCAAAGGACCTCTTTTTATGTGATACTGGCGTCTGTGGAGCACATTGTTAGCTGTCAGTGAAGTCATATCCATATTCAATGTTCAGGTGGCGTCCCTCCAAGAGACGGTGTGTTGACGTACACGTTGACCTTGACCTTGTCACCGGTCTTGTATGGCTTCATGTGCACGCTGGCTGCGCTGGGTCTCCTGGCGTCTGTCGCCTTCCTCACCTTCAACATCTATAACAGAAAAGTGAAGTGAGTATGTCGTGTGTCTACATTGATTGTAACAGTTTTTCTAGGTTAAGATAGTATTTGAATGACATTTAGAAGTGATTCACATGTATGTATGGATGTCAACTTCTTTCGGAGTATATGCTTACTCCTTCATCAGGTGAATGAATGCTATGAGGCAGAGAGCATATATATGTACATGTAAGGACAACAAAAGTAATAAGATAACAAAAGGTGGAAACTAAGAAGGGAGGCCAGCAGGCTTCCAGTTCCATAACCATCAGCGCTTATTACTGTAAAGTGTTGGCTTCTATTGTATTTCGCTAATCACCCATCAACAGCAATTATCTGTTGGCCTCCCTTAGTTAGTTTCCATCTTTTTTATTTTGTTTCTTGTGTTGCCCTTACATGTACACATATATGCTCTCTGCCTCATAGCATTCATTCACCTGCTGAAGGAATAAGCATATACTCCGAAACGTCATAATAAAGAAGTTGACATCCATACATTCTCTTCCTTAGGTTAAGGTATATATAAGGTTGGTAACGGTGTGGTAGCACATTGGTCAAAGCGTACGCTCGTCACGCTGAAGGCCAGGGTTCGATTCTCCACAGTGGAACAAAGTATGAAGCCACTTTTCTGTGTTTTCCTTCCTGGTGTATCTGGAATGTCCCCAAAGAGGCGTAAAACCCTACACACTTAGGGGTCGGGTTTGTTTGTTTGTTTGTTGTTTAATACAACATTCAGCAGTATGCCAGCTATATGACGACGGTCTGTAAATGAGCGAGTCTGGACCAGACAATCCAGTCATTGACATCATAAGCTGTCGGGGTCGGGTGTGACAAATGGATATTTTTTGGAGGGTGACCCTCGCTCAAGGAGAGATGATCTTGTCATAGACTTCAGAGCAATAGTCATTGCTCAAATTATTTCTCTTCGGTTTGTTTGTACAAAATTCACGTTTTTACACGGGAATCATTGCAGGAATTTGCCCGGGTTTGAATATTACAACAATGTTATTTTAAATCACGTTTTGTGTCTCTAACAGCTACATAGGTACGTACACTAAGGGTGTTATTGCTAAGTACGAGCAGTTGTGAATTGGAATTTGATAACAATGTCAGTCATATTTTCAGATTTATTAAGCTCTCATCACCACGTATCAACAACATTATTCTCATCGGGTGTATACTCACCTACGTCGCTGTCTTCATCTCAGCGCTGGAACCTTCTGTAGCATGCAAGGTAGGGTATGCAACAGTACACTCAGTCCCGTTGTAACGCTACAATTGGTTCATGATCCATTGTCCCTCTGCAATCACAACCACCACACGCTGCGATGTGATTATACACGCGCTTCTCTGAATTGCGATCTCGCACGGGCTTCGCGCCATGAATAATAATATGTGTTATTACTTAAATACGAATATTGCAATTTGCAAAGAAAAGGGATTTTGTCAGCTGTGTCGACAAGCGGATACTTAATCGAAATCTTGGTGGGAATTATACATATGATTATTATTTCAATCAAGGAATATATGATGACATGTATGAGGCGGCCATAAAATAAAAAGGATACAACACTCAACAAAGCGTTGATACTACAGTTTATACTATACAGTGTTAAATGCAGTTGTTGCTAGTAAGTATACTATGCACGCATTGAGCAGGAATAATCGAATATAATAATTTAATTTTCAACGGTTCAATGAAAATGTATTGTCATTTCTGTAATACTTTGAAACAAAATCCATGCCATTTAAAATGACACTAGATATTTCTATTGTGTTGCCAGGGGAGACGGTACCCTGCCATTCTGGGATGGTCGTTAATATTTGGTGCTCTGTTTTCCAAAACATGGAGGGTCCATTTGATATTCACCAACGTGAAACTACAGAAGAAGGTACATGCTGGGCATGACTGAGCAGATGTTGTCCCTCCCTCCTTCCTGACCTCTTTCCCTCCTTCCTATCGTCATATCCTACACTGTCAGTCGGAATACACAGATTGATAATACGTTGTTTTGGGGGTAGAACTTAAATTTGAGAAGGATCTTGTTTTATCAGAGTCTGAATCATTAATTAAAAAAAACATGTTTCAAGTGGAAAGATTTTGTTAAAGTAAGACATAGTTAGAATATGTCCCCAAATACCTCATGCTGGTCTTAAGGACCGAAGGGTATGGGGGGGTGGGGGTGGGGGGTGGGGGGTGGGGGTGGGTGGGGGTGGGGTCGGGGGGTGGGGGGGGGGGTGGGGGGGTGTGGGGGGTGTGGGGGTGTGTGCAGTGGGGCATGTTTATAAAATGCCATCAGGTACCAACTAGTTGTCTGGGCCAGGCTTTACTCTCATACCTGGAATACTGTCGAAAACAAGATTCATCCACTTAATTCATATGTTGGAAAAATAATACTTTGACTTGCAATTCTTATAACATAGTAAACAAAGTTGATAATTCTTTTAAAAAAAATAATAGATCGTAATTATGTTTGATTTTTACATTGTATTGTCAGCATATTTATTTCGCCAACAAACACATAGGCTAATGTTGTGTTTGTGGTGCCCAGGTGTTGAAGGACAGCCACCTGTTCCTGATGGTGGCTTCCCTGACTCTCTTCAACCTGGTCCTGCTGGTCAGCTGGTCAGTGTTTGACCCCCTGTACATACGCTGGGACGAGATATACGTGGAGGTAGGTGATTGTCTGCTCCAGACTCGATTGTTTACAGATCACCATCATATAGCTGGAATATTGCTGAGTGCGGCGTTTAACAACAAACACACAAACAAATTCTGTGTCGGCAAGGAACCCGGTAGAGGGGTCAGATTGGCATGCTTTAAATCCCGTAGAAGCTGAAATAAGACAGTGTTCTTTATCTTCAATGCCTTTTTTACAAAACTACATGTGTATAATCTGTGTAGACATATGTACACAATTAACTTGAAAACACACTCTCTCTAATACTTACTGACTGACTTCAATTCTCACTGACTGACTTCAATGATAAATGACTGACTTCAGTGCTCACTGACTGACCTCAATGCTTACTGACTGAATTCAATGCTCCCTGACTGACTTCAATGCTTACTGACTGACTTCAATGATCACTGACTGAATTCAATGACAAATGACTGACTTCAATGCTTACTGACTGACTTCAATGATAAATGACTGACTTCAATGATAAATGACTGACTTCAATGCTTACTGACTGACCTCAATGCTTACTGACTGAATTCAATGCTCCCTGACTGACTTTAATGCTCACTGACTGACCTCAATGCTCACTGACTGAATTCAATGCTCCCTGACTGACTTCTATGCTCACTGACTGACTTCAGTACTCACTGACTGACTTCAGTGCTCACTGACTGACCTTAATGCTTACTGACTGACCTCAATGCTTACTGACTGACCTTAATGCTTACTGACTGACTTCAATGCTCACTGACTGACCTCAATGCTCACTGACTGACTTCAGTGCTCACTGACTGACTTCAATGCTTACTGACTGACCGCAATGCTTACTGACTGACTTCAATGCTCACTGAGTGACTTCAGTGCTCACTGACTGACCTCAATGCTTACTTACTGACCTCAATGCTTACTGACTGACTTCAATGCTCACTGACTGACCTCAATGCTCACTGACTGACTTCAGTGCTCACTGACTGACTTCAATGCTTACTGACTGACCGCAGTGCTTACTGACTGACTTCAATGCTCACTGACTTACTTCAGTGCTCACTGAGTGACTTCAGTGCTCAATGACTGACCTCAATGCTTACTGACTGACCTCAATGCTTACTGACTGACCTCAATGCTTACTGACTGACTTCAGTGCTCACTGAGTGACTTCAGTGCTCAATGACTGACCTCAATGCTTACTGACTGACTTCAATGCTTACTGACTGACCTCAATGCTTACTGACTGACCTCAATGCTTACTGACTGACTTCAGTGCTCACTGAGTGACTTCAGTGCTCAATGACTGACCTCAATGCTTACTGACTGACTTCAATGCTTACTGACTGACCTCAATGCTTACTGACTGACCTCAATGCTTACTGACTGACCTCAATGCTTCCTGACTGACCTCAATGCTTACTGACTGACCTCAATGCTTACTGACTGACCTCAATGCTTACTGACTGACCTCAATGCTTACTGACTGACTTCAATGCTCACTGACTGACCTCAATGCTCACTGACTGATTTCAGTGCTCACTGACTGACTTCAATGCTTACTGACTGACCTCAATTCTCACTCCCTCACTCACTGCTGTATGCCCCCCAGTCTCGGGAGGGTGGGGACGTCCGCCTGCGCTACATGGGGGCCATCTGCGAGTCCAGTTACATCCGCTACTTCGATGCCGTGCTGTTCTCGGTCCAGGGCATCCTTCTCATGTTGGGCGCCTTCCTCGCCTGGGAGACCAAGAAGGTAGGAACAATACTCTATGGTGTACGTTGAGGTGGCTGTGTACACAATTCTCCCTGGCGTCGTAACATCAACAACAGACTAACATGTAGTTGTAGGCACTGTGTGGTGAAGTCCTCAGTATATCTCGCATGCATGCTCGTGTCTATATAAGTGCAATAGTTTTGAACGCGACGTTAAGACATTCTCTCCCCGAACACGCTTGACTTTGTACACTTCCTCTCCCGTGAATATGTTAAAGTAGCCAGACTGATGGAGCTGAACTTTAAGATCTATGTCCCTCCTCATGATGAGGGGCGGTCGGGTAGCCTGGTGGTTAAAGCGTTCGCTCGTCGCGCCGAAGACCCGGGTTCGATTCCCGACATCGGTACATTTCTGGTGTCCCCGCCGGGATATTGCTGGAATATTGCTTAAAGCGGCGTAAACCATACTCACTCACTCACTCACTCCTCATGATGACATCGTGTGTTGTTCAAATCATTGGATTTTAGTGTTACGTTTTAGTCTTTAAGTTATGTATTTATGTAGAATATCTTTGACAGCAACTTTTGTTAAAACAATCGGTCCCGCATTAATCTGTATGTACTGATGCAGGTGAAGGTGGAAGCTCTCAACGACTCCAAGAACATCGCCGTGTGCATCTACAACTCCGCCGTCCTTGGTATACTCCACATCATCATCACCGCCACCATGACCTTGAGACCCAACCTGGAGTACGGCATCACGGCAGCAATCTCCTTCATCACCGCCACGGCCGTTCAGTGCATCATCTTTGTGCCGAAAGTAATTTGATGTGATAGGTGATGATGTTGATGGCACGCGGAAGTCATATGATGGTTCGGTTTGCGGGGGGCCTCTGAAAGCGGCCATCTTGGCGACATATTTTGTGATGGCTTTTTCTGTGTGAGAGTGACATTTAACGATGGGTTTAACGCGGCTTCAATGCGGGAAGACTACCCAACATGATGCAAGTCATATACTTTTACCCCTTCTTTGTGAAAACCATGAGACAGGTATGGTGCTGACCATGTAATAGGAATTCTTATCAAGGCGAACCTGGATTCGAACCAAGGACTTACCCAAAGGATATGTTGAGCTCAAATGGCATTGTTTTCATAATTGAGGGTTATCAATCATATCTTCTTTAGCGTGTTATTACACTGCTACGATTGATTACGATTGACAATAATACCCAGGGGCCGTATTTATCAAACAACTTAGTTTTGACTTAAGAAAAGACTTAAGTTTCTGAAAATTGACTTAGCCAAGTCCAAAACTTAAGTTGGTATTCACGAAGCGTCTGAGCAAAAACCTTACCTAAGTCTGCCGTGGGAAACTAAGTCGATTTCACCGAATGCAATCACGTGATCACAAAGGACTATCCCAGCTATTTTTAACCTACCAGTGGAACTTTTTTCACTTAAAGAGAGCAAAACGTCATCGGGGAATTCCCGGACAGCGCAGACGATAATAAACAGGCTCCGTTTTTCAAGGAGACGCTATCTGAACGACCACTGCATCGAGTTTATGTGAAGTGTGTTGAGAGGAGCAGCAACCCTGCAAAGTCCTTACCTTGGATGAAGTCGGTTGGCCTGAAAAGTGAAACAGAAGGCTTTCTGCTTGCTACTCAGGACCAATCACTTCCCACTCGAAACCGTCAATGTGTGATTTTGCATCAAAATATAACTATGAAATGTAATCTAAGCAATGAATTTAATGAGACTGTCCAACACATTGCCATTGGAAGCCCTGCTTTGAAACAAACACAGTATCTTATGCGACATGATGGAGTGGCTCGATCATTTTATTACCCTCTTCGCCATGCTCGTGGTTTTGTCACAGCGGTCCATCTATAGTACGACCCAGAATATGTAGAAGGCGTCATGGAAAATGACACATTCAAAATTCTTTGGAATAGGCCAGTTTACCTATCCAGGCTAACAAACCTGATCAAATCATTTATATCATTGACTTTTTTGGATCCCTTTTTACACTAATGTGATTGACAAGATTCAGGAAAAATAGGGCAAATATGTAGACCGAAATATCATGCTTGCATCCCAAATACCAAGTTGTCCGACTCCCCATTGTTCTCGGTTTCCCTTAGGTTTGGTACCTCCCAATCTGTTTAATGAGTACCCGGGTTTGCTAACAGGAATACAGCCCTTCTGACAATCTGGGTAAAGCAGAAGGCTGATGTGTTGGGGGAGTCCGAAAAGTTCTGGGAGAGTTCCAGTTGGCTGCCCTTCCTGGGAGAAGTTCCATTCGCTGTCTGGGCTGCGTGTAGAGGGGGCAAGGGCCCTGAGCTGATGATGAGCCTAACCAGCCTGACTGTGCCAGGATCACCTAAACCCTCTTTGCAACATATATTTTAAATTATTTTTATCTGTATATAATAATGGGAACGACGAGGACAATGACGATGACGGTAAAGTTATTCATGAATTTCTTTTCAGGTTCTGCAGTATCGGAATAACCGCCTAAATCCCGAGGGCGACCGGGGACTCACGATTGGAAAGGAGGCGACCATCACTTCAACCAACCTCTCCACCGTTGACGACACCGACCACAAACTGAAACAAGTAGGCGATAAACAACATAATAATTGTTTTTTCCCAATGAGTGTCCATGTTGTACTGTGTGTATTACCTCATTACGTTGAAATCTTATATACTGTAATCCGACGTCAACTCTAACTTTACTAGCTCGATATGTCGTTTAAACATTAAAGCAAAAGTATGGCCCCGACAGAGGCATTATATCTTGGATAACTCGTTAACATTGTCGTTTCAATGGTCCCGACTTGAATAGGTCACACTCTCGTTGGTACGCTTTGATAGCTTAACTGATAATGAAAGGCAAAGGAAATTTTAACCACAAACCGGTAAACCTGACACCCGGTACCAAACTAATAAAACGGCCATTCCAGATGACTGAGTGAGTGAGTGAGTATGGTTTTACGCCGCTTTTAGCAATATTCCAGCAATATCACGGCGGGGGACACCAGAAATGGGCTTCACACATTGTACCCATGTCGGGAATCGAACCCGGGTCTTCGGCGTGACGAGCAAAAGCTTTAACCACTAGGCTACCCGACCGCCCCTCCAGATGACTGAAAGCATTAACATCATATCAATGCACTTTCGTCGGCATGTTTTTATAGAGTGAGTGAGTGTGGTTGTACACCGCTCCTAGCAAATTTTCCAGCAATATCCCGGCGGGGGACCCCAGACATGGGCTTCACACATTGTACCCATGCTGGGAATCGAACCCGGGTCTTCGGCGTGACGAGCGAACGCTTTACCCACTAGGCTACCCCACCGCCCATGTTTTTTTAAAGAAGCGTGTGTTTTATATGACTTTCAAGCCAATGATGTTCTCTGCGGTTGTTTGGATGTTCCAGAAAGACAACGAAATAGCCAAGTTACAAGACCAGCTGGAGAAGCTGAAGCTCTTCATCAAACAGGCGTGTATCCCTGCAGGAGACAAGGAGGCCCCGCCCAGTACTGACGACCCAGGGGACGTGACGTTACCGCCAGATGCCTAAATTTACACATTCCGTCCAAAAACTGGCTCTTAACATTCGTACATAGACGTAGGAACATAGCCAACTCCACATTGAGCATGAGGACGTTGTTGTCAAAGATGCTCAACCTGATACGTTTGTTGTACAAATTGTAAAGAACGGTTAATGATGGAAGAACAGGACTATGAACCTATGAATCGGATATCTGTGGAATAACTTTAAAAAGTTAAACTCCGTCTGATAGAACGTTTGCACTAAGGAACTGTCCTGTACACAGTCATATCACCTCGTATGATCCGCATCGAAAGAATAATAAGTCCACGCCGTCTACATTTGTAGTTGCAGCGAGCTCTCATGTTTGACACTGACTGTCAAAGATATGCCTGACACTGCCTTCCAGACACTTGTCTGACCCTGACTGTCAGCTATCCGTCTGACCCTGACTGTCAACTATCCGTCTGATCCTGACTGTCGACTGTCTGTCTGACCCTGACTATCGACTATCCGTCTGACCCTGTCTGTCGACTATCCGTCTGATCCTGACTGTCGACTATCTGTCTGACGCTGACTGTCGACTATCCGTCTGACCCTGCCTGTCGACTATCCGTCTGATCCTGACTGTCGACTATCTGTCTGACCCTGACTGTCGACTATCCGTCTGACCTTGTCTGTCGACTATCCGTCTGATCCTGACTGTCGACTATCCGTCTGCCCCTGACTGTCGACTATCCGCCTGACCCTGACTGTCGATTATCTGTCTTAATCTGACTCTGACGTTTGGACATATATCTTACCTTGACGGTCGAATATATCTAAATCTGACTGTCAGACACGTGTCTGACCCTGACTGTGGAACATCTGTAGGATATCACTTTCGAGCCATCATCGAATATATGTGTATTTGTGTTACGTTCGCTTTCTATCCTATACTGGAGGCACGGGTGGCCAAGTGGACTTGGTTTAAGGAGTTGCTTCCCTTTGCTGCCAGTCGCCAATGTCCTGGGTTCGAATTCCAGATTTGCCCCAAATTGCTCTGCAGCATCCACCACTTTGAGCTTTCCCGCATTTAGCTGACACGCCGTGATATATGTGAAATACTGTCAGACATGTCAACTCATGTTTCTGCTGCGCGGTGCGCACACATCAGGCGTGGAATCCTCTTCACATCTGAGCGTATGGAATATGTCATCAACACTGCAGCTAACTGTGACGTCTGGTTGTTTATTGTTTACTGTACATGTCTTTACTGTGAGCAGGATTGGGGCGTTGCGAGAGTATTATCGTTAAGGCAGTATCGTTAAGGCAGTAAAGAAGTATAATCGCGACCACGAAGTATAATCTCGACCACGAAGTATAATCTCGACCACGCCCACCTGATCCCCTAACGTCAGCATTACGACAACGGATAAACATTGATGTCCCCGAATCATTATCTTCTTCGTCATCATCGTCACCAACAATTACCAGCACCAACACCGACCACCGCTCTTATCACGCCCTACGGATCGAACGACTAGAACAACAATAACATTAAAATAAACAGAAAACACACAGGTTCACAATGGAACAACACTAAACAGAAAGAACTGACCTTACGGATCAAATGGATTGTACAGTATTTGTGCTTAACTGACCAACTTGATGCGATGCCACATAAATAAACAAACAAACAAACAGATAAACAAACAAACAAACAATAAAGAACCCACAAACAAAAAACGAGAGTCCAATCAATAAAAACGACATCTCAAGAAATCTCTTTTAAAAGCAGAGCAGACTGTACGATTCACATTTCATCACATTTCATTTCATGTGTTTATGAATCACTATCAAATAATGATGATACCAGGTGTTCGCGAAAAGGTGAGCATATCCTGCTTCACCCGTCACAAACACATGCAAATGCAAGTCAGTTAACTAAACTGACAGAACGTTCTGGGTTCAGTAGGTATTCGGCGTTCAACGTAAGAATCCTCACCGTTCATGTGATACGTGTGTACAATCTAATTAAAATCAGATCTTAGTTCTCGCTGCCGCTAAACAAAGATCTGAGGACATCCCATTACGGGTCACGTCAGACCGACCTTGCGCGATCTTTGACCGACCAATGAAATGACTGACAAGAAGTCGACATTAGCCAATCAGAAGGCAGCTTTCTTGTGCTCTACGGCACTAATTTCAAATTGGCGACTACGCTTGTAAACATAATTTGACAAATTCTCGATAAAAAAATTGAAACCGAAAAAAAAGAACATTCTGGAATGGCTAATAGATGGTCTAGATTGTATGGATTCAGTCCTTAAGGCCGTAACAATCGTTCGGAATACCCTGTGTTAAAGTTTTCGAGGTTGCATGATTAGAAATCACATTCCGACTGTCACTTTCATGATCTGGTAAACGACGCTCTGATTGGTCGGATGAAAGGTCGTTCTGACGTGACTCCTAATGGGATGTCCTCAGATCTTTGTTTAGCGGTAGCGAGAGCTATCTGATTTTAATGAGATTGTACGTGTGTACGACATAACTCGACGTAGCTGTTCTAAGTTTCATTTCACTGAAAATATCAAACAAAACTCAAGCTGTGCTTTATTAAGAGTCCACTCTTGACACATTCACATCTGGAACCTGTACACTCGGTCGGCATCAACAGACTGCAACAGACTGACCCACGAGCACACACGTCTCTCCTGCTGTAGTGCACGGATTCAGTTTCCGGGTGGTGATGTTTTTCTCAAGTTTGTTAAGCACTTCACGGAAAAAAACTACGAGTTCGAGGCACACGTGTCTGCTCTCGGCACTACCCTCCAACTGTGACGTTGAAAGTACCCTGCCCGTCTTTGCCCCGGGAGAGACTACGTCCCCAGTGCCCATGGTTGCCAAAGATGATTTGGTGATCGTGTCATGGTACAGACAGCCTCCAAAGCTTTTGGAACAATGTTGTGCTTCAACGTTGAAATAACATTGAGTTTTGGTAGGATTTGAAAGTTGTGATGATGTTGAAATGTGTGGATGTTAAACCTTTATCAGATCTCAGTGTTTAAAAAATGTTGTGCTTCAGCGTTGAAATGATTTTGATGTTTGTCTTGATTTGAAAGTTTTTGTTGTTGTTGTTGTTGTTTAACGCCGCTCTCGGCAATATTCCAGCTATATGACGGCGGTCTGTAAATAATCGAGTCTGGACCAGACAATCCAGTGATTGACATCATGAGCATCGACCCACGCTATTGGGATACGATGACATGCATCAACCAAGTCAGCGAGCCTGACCACCCGATCCCGTTAGTCGCCTCTTACGACAAGCGTAGTCGCCTTTTACGGCAAGAATGGGTTGCTGAAGACCTATTCTAACCTGGCTCTTCACGGGTCTTAAAATTTGATGTAGATGATGAAGAAATATGGAAGTTGAATCAACATCAGATATCAATATTGAAAACAATGTTAGATTTCAAAATATTTCAAATATCGAACAGCCAATGCTAATTCAATGTTGAAAACCATGCAAGATTTCAATATATTTTCAAATACCAAAAGGCCAATGTTGAAATAATGTTAATACAATGTTTTTCAAAGTATCAACCCTGATCAACCAAATTTCAACATTGAAACAATGTCATGTTGCCTGCTGGGTGGGTAGCAACGTTGTCCACAGCATCAATCGCTTGGTTGCCCAGATTATTTACAAGCCGACGTAATTTTAATGTTGCTGAGTGCGACGAAAAATAACATTCACTTACACTCGGTCCGGGGTCCACGTCCAGTTCAGAACACCAACTATAGAGGCTCATGTCCAACTGACCTGTCTGAGCTTTTCGTACTGAAGTGAAACGAACACTTGGCAGCACCGTGTCGGGACACCATCGGTTGATCAATTGCAGTGTTTGACACACTGACCATATTCAAATGCATGTTTTACAGTGGAACCTCGTTGTGTCGAACTCGTGGGACCTTAAAAAAGATTTATTTAGGGTTCGGGGGAACCAACAACGTTCGATACTTGGGAATACCAAATGAGTTCGAGACAACCGGGAATTCGACACATCCAGTTCAGCAGATCCGAGTATAAATGATGAATATAGAACGTCACAGGGATCTGATGGTGAGTTCGAGACAACCGGGAGTGCGACACATCCACGTTCGGCACAACGAGGTTCGACTGGATATCCAAAAGTACCTGTTTCTGCTCATATACAATTGGTTTTGGTCCATGTTGTACTCATGATTGTTTTACACTGTTATATTTGTGAGTGAATAAACTGAAAAAGCTACCCGAAGACGTGTTTCAACATGCCTAAAGTTGATTTCTCCCAACTTTATTTCCCACATGAGGATTCTAGGCAGGAACAGGTTAGAAGTGCCCGATGTTTGTCATCGAACCATCATACCACAGGGTTACACATTGGGACCAAGACTCTGTTCGGCCATGGCCGTTCCACTATGCGATCTTAGTGCCAGGATCATAGTACTGGTCAGTGTTAAAAGAAAGGGTCATTGAGTTTTGTTTGAGGCCGCTTTGAACAGTATTCCAGGTTTATCATGGCGTGTCAGATTGATGTGGAAGGAAGGCCCGAAGTAATGCAGGTCTCGGACGTTTACATCTTTGGTGAAACCCACGAGCATGATGCAGTGTTAGAATATGATATTTAAACACAGGGCCATAGCTGATTGCGCGTCATCTTGCGCCACACGCGTGAATTTACCGATGCCATCTTCCTCTAGATAAAGACTCGAATATTTACAGGCAGCTATCATATACATGAAGTTAAATAATGATGACTACAGTAAAATCAACCCTCTCTCACATTTCAGACTTTGAAGGAATTATGTATGTTACACTTGTGCCAAAGAGCAAGAGCAATACTAGCGTGTCCATTCCCATCTAAGGTTGATATTCGTGCCAGTAACGGGTCACATGACAATGTTTTAACACCAATGTGTTAAATTTAATTGAATTAAGAATTTGTATAGCGCATTTTCAAATTAACAACTGCTGAAATGCCTTTCGACCATGGTTGATCTAGTCCAAGGTTTTCTTGAAGAGACAGGTTTTCGGTGTCTTTTGACAGTTCACTTTTTCTGTTTCTCGGATTTCTTATAGCAGATTGTTCCATAGCAATGGGCCAGCATGTTGAATGTCCTGGTATAATGTGCGGCATGACGGGTAGAGTAACATCTTCCTTGTTCACATATTATTTCTAAGTGACCAATTTGACGCGATGCTAATCCCAGACATTGGGTGACTTGGTACGTTGACACTGCTGGAGGACGTTGTCTGTGCGTGGCGACGCCCATGCTGTCTGATACCTGTATTGGTCAACGGGTCGGGCAAGTGGTGTACATCGATATGATTGAGTGCTGTTTGAAGGCTTCATCTATTATCAGAATAGTGTAGTCGATAACATAAATATACACGTATTTTGCAAGTCAGTGCTCTCGCTTGTCACAAGTGCCAACTAAAAATAGGTACGAGTGGTCACAATCTCATTAACATCAGATCCTTTACTCAAATACGATAGCTCTCTGCGGGAAGATCTGGTGATACGTTCATCAGTGGTCACGTCAGGTGAAATTTCTTTTCGTTTGTTTGTTGTTTAACGCCACACTCAGCCATATTCCAGATACATGGCGTCAGTCTCCAAATAATAGAGTCCGGACCAGACAATCCAATGATTGACATCATGAGAATCGATCTGCCCAGTTGGGATACGATGACATGCATCAACCAAGTCAGCGAGCCTGATCACCCGATCCCTTTAGTCGGCACTTACGACAAGCTTTGGTTGCTGAAGACCAATTCTAACCCGGATCTTCACGGGTAGTGGAAAGATTCGGTATGTAGTGAAACATTCAAAGCATGATACTTGATTTCTGTATCTCGAAAATGAACTAAAACGACAAATTCTGTGGTAAGTGGAAAGTACAACAGCAACATTTTATTGTGGATAATTCATACACCCTGTCACTTCTGAGCGCCGAAGCATGTTTACCCCAAAGGGAGTTCCTTCGAAGGAACATCTGTTTTCTGTGTGGGTTTTCACAGGGCTCAAGAACCCTTCTTTAGATTTGGTTCACCTCCTATAACATTGTCCTCAGGTGTCAATGCAGAGAGAATCGTATCGGTGTAAGAGATCTGATTTGAATGAGACTGGGGACAGACCATGCGGCTGATTGTGTGTCATCGTGTGACGACTTGGGCCGTTGCTCATATCTTTCCTGCCTTGTTTAACAACAGTCACACATTAACTAACTCCCATCCTTAAAGGCTTCATGGGAAAAGATAAGGTCTTAATTTGACTGAGAGTAACTGTTTCGATTTTATACCACAATGTACTTTCAACTTTACTTCAAAGGTTGTCATCCTGCGGTCATTCTAAACGCTGCTTAATCTCCAAACAAGGCTCACATCATTGTGCTCTGTTTATCGTCGCGGCAGTTTTCTACACCTAATCATAAATGGTAGTTTTAGCAGAAAGTGTGTCGTGCAGAAAGGGAGTTCCATTATGACGAATTTAGGTCACATGTTACTTTTGGTCTCAAAGCTTTATTTTGATCATACCTCCATGTCATAATGATGAGATCTGATTGGTCTACGTGATCTTGACAAAATACTGTGTATCCCACCTTGGAGGGGAATACATTTCTCATCAGGTGAATAAATCCCTTATACCCCGCCAAGAGAAACATTGGCTGCACGTGGATTTTTGAGAGGCAGAATAAATCCCGTGTAACCTGCTTCCAAGCAAAAGGCCGCACGTTTTCCCCTCCGAGTCAATGAAAGTCGCATGACAAAGCACAAGCTAACCTCCGCTCAATCGAACAGCTGTTGTCTATCTATTTTGAATTTGTTTTAATGCAATAAATTCATTCATGTTTATATTAAACACGTTGGTAAGATAAATTCGTTATAGCAGGATCACTTAGGGTTCATGGTGTTTTATGCGTCACTCGTTAGGGTTTTTTACAACTCGCCTCCGGTCTCGTGGAATATAACCTAACGCGGGATGTATAAAACCCCATAAACCCCTCGTCATCCTGCTACAACTTACAGTGTATTGCTCGATTACTTCCTATAAAAGATGGAGGACGTTATCATCTATTTTCCTTCCACCGAAATACAAAAAAACTAAGTTAACAGCAAATAAATTGTATTTCTATTCAAAACCATTTAGTTACATTACTGTCCTGAAAAAATACGAATGCATTGAGAACCATGCAGATATGCATGTACACGTTCGTTTCTTCTGTTTGATAAATAGTGCATGTACAAATACATTTGATATAATTTGTTATGACCTAACATTAAAATTAGACAATCCAGTGTAACGACAGAACAACGAATCCGATATTGTCATATAATAATTACAATCATGAAATGACCCGTGAAGATCCGGGGAAGAATAGGTCTTTAGCAACCCATGCTTACCATAAAAGGCGACTATGCTTGTCGTAATAGGCGATTAACCGGATCGAGTGGTCAGGCTCGCTGACTTGGTTGATGCATGCCATCGTATCCCAATTGCGTAGATCGATTATTTTTCAGACCGCCGTCAAATAGTTGGAATAGTGCGGCGTTAAACAACAAACAAACAAACAACAACAGTCATGAAATAGCTGTCAATATTGAACTATCCAAATCTAGTACAACACATGCGACCTGTCATTGTACGAAGGACGTATCTCAGTAGCCGAGGTATAGGACAGATAAACTCAATACCACGATACCACGATAAGCTGAGTGAAAGTTTACAAGATAGGAAGATGTGTGGCTCTTCTGTCGCATTCGAAGACACGTATGTGTTTTACTGGTCGTAAGGGAAGACGAAATCGGACCAGATAAGACCAGATCGTACCCAGACGGCGCGGGTCGTTGCTCATGCTGTCGGTTCCTGCTTTTCCTGTCAGGACTGAATTATTCACAGGCCGCCGTGATCTAGCGGGAAAACTGCTGAATGCGGCGTTAAACAACATTCCCACTTACTCACATAGAAGTCCAGAATCTCGATAAGAGTCCAGGTTCATGTCGCGAATTTCACGGTTTCCAAAATTCGAGGTAACAAATGCTAACCCCAGTACTCGACATTAACTTCTAAAATGCAGTGTTCATTGACCTCTAGTTACTGATCAAACGTCCTCTTCTTTGGGGACCACACCACCAACAGCTTTGTCCAGCTTCTCCTTCAGTCGAGCGATCTCCTTATCTTTCTGAAATCAGTCAATGAAGTAATAATGGCCTATTTCCAACCAAATGACTGTATAATGAGTTTGTTGATCTCCTAGCAATTGTATTTTCGTGACAATTTCATTGACATTATAATATGGATATAGGTATTGCCAGAGTGATATGTAACCTTCTTCCATGTAAGTTCAGTAACAGTACATAAGCAGTGAGTTCGTAGTCGACATTACTTGATCTTTACATGTTACAGTAACTGTTAAATATGTTGAGTAACAGTACATTAGTATTGACATGGTTATCGTCTTTACTTGATTCCAATATTTAGTGAACATAGAAAGAGTACATTAGCATTGACTTGGTTGTCGTCTTTACTTGATTATAATTTGTAGTGAGTTCAGTAAGAGTACATTAGCATTGACTTGGTTGTCGTCTTTACCTGATTATAATTTGTAGTGAGTTTAGAAAGAGGACATTAGCATTGACTTGGTTGTCGTCTTTACTTAATACTTACATTTTACTGTCAGGTAAGGTCAGTAACAGTAAATTAGCATTGACTTGGCAGTCGACATTACTTGATAGTGAAGATTCAAATTTTGAAGGAGACCAAAGATCGTTTACGTTAGACCAGCCACACATATCATCGTGCTATATGAAGGACATTTCATCTGGATTACAACGCTCCGATCTACTGATCTCTTTAGAGCAGTGTTAACATATAAATAAACATACATGTACGTAGGAACAGGAATGGTTGCTAGTTATTTGAACTAAAAAGAAAAGTTCAACTTTTGGCCGGATCATTTCTTACAGGCTGGTGATGCAACTTGCTGGTACGACGTTCGGTCATCATGATAAAACATGTGTGTTTAATTCATACACTGGTATCAAACTTGTGAAGCATGTTTTTCAAGTCTCCCGCCGTGATATTGATACGGGAGGCTAAAGCCTCTATCACTCAGTCACTCAGCACTGTGAGATATCACGAGGAGTCAGAAAATGGACTTATTTTACCTTGCATAGCAAGAGATTAAAGACAACGACGTAAAACAACATTCACTCACTCGCACATCTTTATTGGTATCTAGTTCACTACCACTCTGAAAAACACGGTAAGTTGGGTTTGCCAGTATAATCGCAGGAAAATCACGTCCTGTTAGCCTAACGTCAATGCAAAACACAGGTCATGACAAAACTTATATTGTCATTCCAACTTCCGATGTACATGTCTGTCGCTACTCACCTCCTTCAGTTGTAGCTCCAAGATGTTTATCTTCGCGGTGTGAACGTTGCTCTGCATGGTGTTCACTGCGGCGCCGTTGGTGGCGGTTGTGGTTTCGACGATGTCAACACTATTTGTCCTGACTGCAACGATCTAGAATAAGAAAGGGTTCTCGGTGAATCACACGGGTAGTGGAGGGCACGGAGAATGCGTTTACGTTTTACTCCCCTGTCGGGCAGGGACCCCACATCGGTGAGAAGAACAGGTTCGATTCCGGGAGCATGTTTGATCGTAACCTGTCGGCTCAGTGGGCATTAAGTGGAGACAAGCTGTACCTACCTCAGACACAATGACGAAATATGCTGGGACACGATGCACTTACCTTAAACACATTGAAGAGATACGGTGTGCCTACTTGAAGACAGTGGTGAGATACGTTGTGCCTAGCTTGAAGACAGTGGTGAGATACGGCGTACCTACCTTGAAGACAGCGGTGACATTCGGTGTACCTACCTTGAAGACAGTGGTGAGATACGGTGTACCTACCTTGAAGACAGTGGTGAGATACGTTGTACCTACCTTGAAGACAGTGGTGAGATACGCTGTAACTATCTTGAAGACAGTGGTGCGATACGCTGTACCTATCTTGAAGACAGTGGTGAGATACGCTGTACCTACCTTGAGGACAGTGGTGGGATACGCCGTACCTACCTTGAAGATAGTGATGAGATACGCCGTACCAACCGTGAAGACAGGCATGAGATACGTTGTACTGATTACCTTGAAAACAGTGGTGAGATACGTTTAACTACCGTGAAGACAGTGGTAAGATACGCTGTACCTACCTCGAAGACAGTGGTAAGATATGTTGTACCTATCTTGAAGACAGTGGCGAGATACGTTGTACCTACCTCGAAGACAGGGGTAAAATACGCTGTACCTACCTAGAAGACAGTGGTTAGATATGTACCTACCTTTGACACAAAGATGAGATATCGTGTACCTACCTTTGACACAAAGATCAGATATTGTGTACCTACCATTGACACAAAGATCAGATATCGTGTACCTTCCTTTGACAATATGATGAGATATCGTGTACCTACCCTTGACACAAATATGAGATATCGTGTACCTACATTTGACACTATTTAAAGATATCGTGTACATACCTTTGACACAAAGATCACATATCGTTTACCTACATGTACCTATGACACAAAGATCAGATATCGTGTACCTACCTTTGACACAAAGATGAGATATCGTTTTACCTACCTTGGGTACAACGATAAGATATCGTGTACCTACCTTTGACACAAATCAGATATTGTGTACCTACCTTTGACACAAAGATCAGATATCGTGTACCTACCATTGACACAAAGATCAGATATCGTGTACCTACCTTTGACACAAATATGAGATTTCGTGTACCTACCTATGACACAAAGATCAGATATAGTGTACCTACCATTGACACAAATCAGATATCGTGTACCTACCTTTGACACAAAGATGAGATATCGTGTACCTACCATTGACACAAAGATCAGATATCGTGTACCTACCTTTGACACAAATATGAGATATCGTGTACCTACCTTTGACACAAATATCAGATATTGTGTACCTACCATTGACACAAAGATCAGATATCGTGTACCTACCTTTGACACAAAGATCAGATATCGTGTACCTACCATTGACACAAAGATGAGATATCGTGTACCTACCTTTGACAATATCATGAGATATCGTGTAACTTCCTTTGACACAAAGATGAGATATCGTGTACCTACCTTTGACACAAAGATGAGATGTCGTGCACCTACCTTGGGTACAACAATGAGATGTCGTGCACCAAGCTTGGGTACACCGATGAGATGTCGTGCACCAACCTTGGGTACAACGATGAGATGTCGTGCACCTACCTTGGGTACAACGATCAGATATCGTGTACCTACCTTGGGTACAACGATGAGATGTTGTGCACCTACCTTTGACACAAAGATGAGATATCATGTACCTACCTTTGACACAAAGATGAGATATCGTGTACCTACCATTGACACAAAGGTCAGATATCGTGTACCTACCTTTGACAATATGATGAGATATCGTGTACCTACCCTTGACACAAATATGAGATATCGTGTACCTACATTTGACACTATTTAAAGATATCGTGTACATACCTTTGACACAAAAGATCACATATCGTGTACCTACCTTTGACACAAATATGAGATATCGTGTACCTACCTTTGACACAAATATCAGATATTGTGTACCTACCATTGACACAAAGATCAGATATCGTGTACCTACCTTTGACACAAAGATCAGATATCGTGTACCTACCTTTGACAATATGATGAGATATCGTGTACCTACCCTTGACACAAATATGAGATATCGTGTACCTACATTTGACACTATTTAAAGATATCGTGTACATACCTTTGACACAAAGATCACATATCGTGTACCTACCATTGACACAAAGATCAGATATCGTGTACCTACCTTTGACACAAAGATGAGATGTCGTGTACCTACCTTGGGTACAATGATGAGATGTCATGCACCTACCTTGGGTACAACGATGAAATGTCGTGCACCTACCTTGGGTACAACGATGAGATAGCGTGTACCTACCTTGGGTACAACGATCAGAAAGCGTCTACCTACCTTGGGTACAACGATGAGATGTCGTGCACCTACCTTGGGTACAACGATGAGATAGCGTCTACCTGTCTTGGGTACAACGATCAGATAGCGTGTACCTACCTTGGGTACAACGATGAGATAGCGTCTACCTACCATGGGTACAACGATGAGATGTCGTGTACCTACCTTGGGTACAACGATAAGATGTCGTGTACCTACCTTGGGTACAACGATGAGATGTCGTGCACCTACCTTGGGTAAAACGATCAGATGTCGTGTACCTACCTTGGGTACAACGATGAGACGTCGTGCACCTACCTTTGGTACAACGATCAGATAGCGTGTACCTACCTTGGGTACAACGATGAGATGTCGTGTACCTACCTTGGGTACAACGATGAGATGTCGTGTACCTACCTTGGGTACAACGATGAGATAGCGTGTACCTACCTTGGGTACAACGATGAGATTTCCTGCACCTATCTTGGGTACAACGATGAGATGTCGTGCACCTACCTTGGGTACAACGATCAGATAGCGTCTACTTACCTTGGGTACAACGATGAGATGTCGTGTACCTACCTTGGGTACAACGATGAGATGTCGTGTACCTACCTTGGGAACAACGATGAGATGTCGTGGACCTACCTTGGGTACAACGATGAGACACATGGTTACGGTCGTGGCGATGATCACGATGATGGAGGTCAGAGCATAGTTGAGTTCAATCTGTGACCCCAGGGTCATGGAGACAGTGACCCCCAGGAAACTCAACACTATCACGTTGTAGATACAAAGGCCAATCATCTTAGAGTCGTTCAAACCATCAAGTTTTACCTGTGTGCAAACATGAAGATTTTCCTCATCGGCTTCCATATTGATTGAGAATATGTCATTGATTACATATATTTTCTTCTCCTTAGGACCTGTTCATCTATGTACAATATTGACTACGGCGCGGAACTGATATTCTTACATTATAACCGTGCCAAAATATACGTGTAAGACCCACACTACTTCAGGCTTTCCTAAATAAGCTGATACACCGCGACATATAACTGAAATATTGTTCAAAGCGGCTTAAAATCCGACAATTACAGTTCCACTGTAATATTTCCACACAGAAACAGGCGCAAAAGAGCGTGACATTATCACCCCGTAAAAGGGATCAGTGTGGAATTATATTTGCATTCTCAACTCCCTGGGAAGTATTACCTGCTGGAATTAACAAGTATACAAATCAGATTGTTCATAGAAATACTTCAAAGACGTTAAGTTTAATTCCGTTCTAAGATATGTCGTAACGAGTTCTACCCAAGTTGGAGGTATCTAGTACTTTTCCATTAACCAAGCACCAGTAAACTACGCAGTATTATCATGACACGTTCAATAACACGCCTTTTCGTCAATTTCCATAAACATACCCGAATGACCACGAGAAATTAGATATAATGAGCACTGCTAATGGTTATATCCACCAGAAGATGGACATAATCGATCAAGCGATTATTTCTTCGAATATTTCTGAACAGCAAAATTAGTCTGTATTTTCAGGTGAGTGTTGTTTATTAGCAGGGTCATTAGGGATCTGAAGTTTAACCAATGTGATCAAGTTGTGGTTTAGGTAGTGGGTTATGCTGAGATTGTACGGAAATGTCACTAGTGTTCATTACTGAATCTAGTTATATATCATTGTCTTGTCAATTACAGATGCATTATCAGTTGCATTAAGGGTATCGGGCAAAAATAGTCTCATTATCGTTAATAATATACTACCTGTTTCCTTGTAACCAACCATTAATAAACTGATGTGTTGATATATTTCTCGTTTTAAGATTTACTCGTGTAGGTCGATGGTTAGATATGGAACAGATGTCATGTATGTAGAATAATTACAGGTTGAACCAACGGGAAATGTATAATATCAGTAGGAATGCCTGTTGTCTTTTCATACTTCTTGCATATCATATTACGGTGTTAAACACACAAGCAAACAAAACAAACATATTAAAATGCTTTGAATGATTAGGAGCAAGGGTGGCCCGTGAATCTCAGCAAGAGGCCGCAATTCGCTCTACAGGATTGTGTGTCAGAAACCTATTATAGTGGGTTCGAATCCCATATTTACCCGTGTTATGTGTCTAGGTTTGGTTTTATTTCGCTTTTCAAAGTGGCGTTAAATCCAAATATATATCCCCATAAATATTGTTCTTGCAATTGTTCCTCATTATGAAATAATAAAACTGTCACGAATTTTCTATTAAAACTTGAATACATAGCATTAAATGCACTATGTATCATGAGTGAGTGAGTTGAGTTTAGCGCAGAGTAATGTACAAGCGGTTATCAAAACGTTTTGATCCAAGCATACATAGAACTGAAATATTGTCGTGAGCTTTATTAATTTTTTCATATAGTCCCTTTGCACTCTTGTTTGTTCCCGGGATCATAGTGATGGGTGCAGGTCTCATTACCTGTCAATAGCCTAAACTGAAAATCTCGTCTTCCCGAGGCAAGGGAGTTCACTGACTATAAAGGTCCAGTTTCCAGCCTTTCCGAACAAGGCTGCAATTATGGAGTTATATTGTGGCTGGACTAACAAGTCTATGCATATATAGTCCAATCAAAATCGCGTAACGAAATCGACATCCGGTTCGTAAACAACATGGATTTTCAACTACCTTGCCATGTGAAGATGTGAAGATCCAAACTGCGATTATATCTGGTTAAACAGGGTATTTGAGGTAGTGATCAGCATACCTCCATTTCAGTCGATAGCTTCCTATGAACCCATCGGGCCCAAAATGTGGCGCTGTCCATGAAAGATTGTTTCCATTGACCAACATGAGTGAGTGAGTATGAATTTTCGCCGCTTTTAGCAATATGCCAGCAATATCATGGCGGGAGATACCAGAAATGGGCTTCACACATTGTACCCATGTGGGGAAACGAACCGGGGCCTTTGGATTGAAGAGCGAACGCTTTAACCACGAGGCTACCCCACCGCCCCTCTTGACAAATATGAGAAGTCTGTGGTCTTGAAGACAAGTCAGTGATTGATATCATGAGCATCGTGCTACGCAGTTGGGATACTATGACGTGCATCAATCAAGTCAGTGAGTCTGACCTCCCGATCCCGTTAATCGCCTCTTACGAAAAGCGTGGGTTGCTGAAACAATTTGAGGACTGCTATATACTCAGTTTTGTCCAGTGCAATGATGAGGAGTAGTTTAACTCAGAATCGAGGTCATTTATCAGCAGCGACAGCAAGTCACTGGACTGAAAGAAGCGAAATTGTGAAAGATAAATCAACAAACACAGGCCAATACTAATTTATGTCACACATAAGCTTAACAGCCTAGATATGCCAGACTCAAAACAGACCCTTGTAATGCTATGTAAATACACGTATATTATATCAGGAGTGATAAACTATTAGAATTATATACACTACATCATTTAATTTTACTATTTCATTCTCGATATTGATATTCACGAAAGAGGGAGGTGTCGATTCCCTAATCTATTAAAGCAACATTATTCAATTTTATACTTTAACAGCGTTCATCCATCCATCCATCCATACATACATACATACATACATACATACATACATACATACATACATATTTCTAGAATAGTGCCGTCAAATTAACAATAATCGTAAAATAACGAGGCATATTAATTACCTTGTTTAAAAATATGTATTTAACTTCCTATTAAAAGAATACTAGTTTATATAATGTTTCTGTCTCTTCTACTTCACGTGTGCATTCGTGATTCACTGTCACAACGAGTGAGTGAGATGGGTTTCGCCAGCTTTAGGCAATATTCCAACAAATTCATGGCGAGGTGCATGTCTTCACACATTGTACCCATTTTGGGGGTCGAGTCCTTGTCTTTAGCCAGATGAACCAACCCTTTAAGAACGAGACTACCCTAACGTACACGATTAGAAGAAAAAGTGTTTGAGTAGAGCTTTCAAAGGCTTGAACCAAAACCCGATATTGAAACTATCGAAATAGTGCCGGTCCCCTTGCGCTAAGTGGGCATTCAAAGGATTCCACTCAATAACAATTAGTGCCATGTTGTCAGCACCGCGTAGCGTTTATCGCTGGGGAGACTTCCACCCGATAGTTTACACAAACCAATATTGACACAAGTATAAGGGGTAGGAAGCAGGCCAGAGTGACCCACCAATTATGCAGTTTACTTCCCCACTAATTATGAACTGGTCAGTGGAAAACCTTTGTCTTCTAATCATACCCTCAGATGGGGCAGCGTGTGGTTGGTGGTGGACACTCGTCAAGCCAAGTTAAGGCAACAATTAGACAGAGAGACATTAATAATCCATGAACCAAGGGGACTTTGGCCATGCAGAGAATTGCACTCTGTGTAATCATATCCTGGTCAATAGAACAAATTCTTGAGATTATTAGGAGTGTACCAAGTTGGGTTAACGACCATGGGACGGACAATCCTCAAAGTACATCTCTGATACAGTTCGCACCTAGTTGCGATCGACACTCGACATGGCGTATTCAAATTGGTACGAGGAAATTAGGTCTACTTAAAAAGATCAATGACAGGTGTTAGTTTCACGTCTCCGCCAGTGTATATCGGTAGATGAGTAGTGAGTGAGTGAGGTATTACGCTTTTAGCAATTTACCGTAATATCACGGCTGGGGACACCAGAAATGGGCTTCACACATTATACACATGTTGGAAATTGAACCAGGCCTTCAGCGTGACGAGCGAACGTTTCAACCAGATGAAAGATTTAGGTGTATCTAGATAGAAATATATATATATATATATATATATATATATATATATATATATATATATACAGAGAGAGAGAGAGAGAGAGAGAGAGAGAGAGAGAGAGAGAGAGAGAGAGAGAGAGAGAGAGAGAGATGCATAAGATGATCAATAATTACATTGATACCAGACAGTATACGGATATGATGTTGTGGCTTTATAGTGTTGAGCCCCTTAGGTCGTATGATCGTGGGTTCGAATACTAAATTCGTCCTGATCGTATATCATTTGTCAGCACCATACCCGTGCTCCTGTGTTTCACCAAAGTAGTAAACGACTCAGACCTACATCAGGTAGGGCTTTCCTACCACCACAAGCTGACACGCTAATGAAACTGCAAAACTTTCAATGCGAAATTAAACCCAACACTCACTATTGGAGTGTGTTTGGGGATGGTAAATATCCTGCATTAGGAATAAACATTGTATTTAGCGAGCCTTGGCGAGCTAAATACATAGTGTTTATTGCTAATACAGGATATTTACCATCCCCAAACACACAAGCTTGATAACTTCTCTATCATATAATGTCATTCTTTAATTTTGTGGCTCAAAATCGCTTTCCCTCTCTCACAAACATTACCGAAACATTGCGAGTTGTCCTGGAATGCGCGCATTAATATTTATTACTTCATAGGGTAAGTGATGTGTCAGTCGGACAGTGACAGTAGACAATAAAGTTCCAACTGAAATCTGTTTCTTATAACAATATTTATTGTTTTTAATTGCCTTTCGCGGCAGTCCATCGGTCTGTCCGCTAGAGTAACTGCCCTTTGTTAAAGGGAAGCTACTCTAACCCTAGTCTAAGAGACGCCACGGCCACGGTCAGACGTTGTTGACAGTCGGTTTGTCCTGTCATAACGTTAAGAAGTGTAGTCAGATGTACACACAGCAGCAAAACGAAACAAGGTAACAATTCAAATATATTTCGGCCAAATCAAACTATTTTAATTTGTGGAGAACGTTTCAAGCCGCCGCAGAGGTCTACAAGCACAGATATGGCTACTGATCCCGCTTGGCTAGGCCTCGTGCCCTCGCAAAATTGTTTCGGAATTTATATCTCCAAAGTTGCAAAAACTTATAAAATGCCCTAGCTACGTCACAGTTAGACACGGATTTTCAGTATATTAGACTGTGCTTTTGATAATGATAGCAATTATCCCTGTAGTTTATCCAGATTCCAGATGGTTAATTCTGACTCGATCGCCGCATGACGAGGGCGACGCCATGTTTGTTTATAAACAGTGAAAGTAGTCCCTACTTGACCTTTGATATTTGCATCCCTATCCGCATATGACCCCAACGGATATCGTTTTTATCCGTTGGCTTCATCCTGCCGAGAAACCTCCCCATTATATGATAATGTAAGTTATCAACCGATCTCGAGGGGTATATGGTGTGATGTACCCTGTGTGTGAACCTATGTACACAGTGCCATAAGAATGTCTGCATTTTCATTGAGTAAGCAAAACTCGTAACAGACGACGCAAACGAACGATGCTACTTCCATTTACCCAACGAATTCAAATGAACATCGGTTTATTTCAGAAACTTAACTATACTTATGCGAGATAAGCAAGTTACCTAAGCTGTTATCCGATTTCCCAGTGAATTACATGAGAAATAATTGCCTAATCCTCAGCCAATCAATACCATTTTTTGGGCAGTTCCCTGGCAGAATTGGTCTTTGACAACCCATGCTTGCCGTGAAAGGCGACTGTGCTTGTAAGAGGCGACTAACGGGATCGGGTGGTCAGGCTCGCCGACTTGGTTGATGCATGTCATCGTATCCCAATTGCGTAGATCGATGCTCATGATGTCAATCTCTGAATTGTTTGGTCCCGCTCGATTATTTACAGACCGCCGTCATACATATTGGTGAGTGGAGTGCGGCGTTAAACAACACACATACTACAGGATGGGTCACTGTAATACATTTTATATAAAATCAATCGCAGTTATATCTTATCAAAATGGTGTCGACAACTCGAGCAACTTACATTCTCCTATATTTTGATCATATACTCAATCCACGGGATCAATGAATAAACATGTATTGACCAAACTGTTTTTCATGTTTGCAAAGAAATTCCTTTCATCGTTATAATTACTATATCAATACTATTGTGTTGCAATGACTGTAAGTTAATAATTGATTTCGTGTATCAACCCAAACTCAATCAGTTAATCTCTGTGTATTCACCTTCCGGGTTTCCCAGGCGAGGAAAGTCCCCAGCAGCAGTAGGATTCCCTGGATTCCGAACAGAGTTCCAACAAAGTAGATCTGTTTGGTCGACGTACACGTTTCCACGTGACTCCGTATCTCGACGTCCCTGTCTTCATACACCTGGGAAGATAAATCCCCGCGTACATTTCAAAATATGTATTTTGCTAAATGGGTGTAAATGTTGAAGGTAAAATGATATACTGAAATACACAATATTGGTAAATTAACCTCAGTGGGTCAGTCTGATAACCACACAGATGCTTCTTGGGTGGTCGGGTCGTTTAAGGAGCCCCAGAGTTGCGTCCCTTGGTCTTGTCAGGATTCATTGGTCAAGTGTTCGAATACCAGGTCTGATTATGATCCAAAGTTGGTCGGCAACATACTCGTGTTCGAGGGCTTCACCAAAGTGATAAACGTCTAAGACTTTAAGACGACTAAGCACCATTTAATACTTTCCTCTCGTGTTCAGTTAATAACTGAAATACTGCACTCAAATCGACATTAAACCCAATACAGAGGAAGTGCGGAAGTATGGCCTGTTCTCCTCGTTTGTAAACACGACCATTCATGTCATATCGGGACAAGCCGAACGGCGGTTCCGGATCCCGGAAAGGGGCGAAAGGTGCTTGGTTCGTGTTTTCCCCAATAATACAGGCCTTTACTAAGATTTATTTAAATATGTTGTACGTTTATGTAGCTGAAATGTCTTTGTAAAAAAACCACTTTCACATTTATCAAAGACGGTAAAAATAACAGATAGACCTTGTTAGATTAATTTCAGGGCTAACACACTTCAAAATAATAGCCGAATAGGCCGATAAAAATTGAGGCACTCTATCTTTCCATTAACATATAATACATTGGTACATTCAGTGGACAATAGTTTTCACTTCTACTTGTAGTCCTGCGTCGCATACCGCCATTAACCAACCTACATGTACCGAGATTACTAACACCAGCGTATAACGGTGTGATTTTACACAAATTATTTAATTGCAAAGTATCTTCATTATTACAACTAGCACAGCAATAAATGGTAATTTCAAGTCTTTTAGTATTCATTAAGAGCGATTACTTACAACTGGGTCAAGGTCGTTGTCAATGACCCTAAGTGGGTCAATGAATGTCCAACTAAGTAGGACCACTGTGTTGATTGCAACCAAAACTCCGACCATGACAAATAGTTGACTGTCTTTCAGCACCTGAGACAAAAACATTGTTATTTGTGATGAATGCATCTTTATTGTTATAGTTGACTTAGTTTTCTTCTAATAGAAAAATGAAATGGATCATTATTGAAAATGTACTTGCTTCAATTCAGCAATGTATGAGTTAAGTCATCACAAACAGATATGGTTACTTAAGCTACAACCAATAATTGCATACATTATACTTCGCAATGTATATTAGATGACTGTGGTGAATGTCTATTTACAATGTCCTTGAGTGTTGTATATAGTGTTTCAGGAAAATGAAAAACAAACTGCCTCCAAACACTTTGAACAATATGCAATTTTACCAGTGAGTATAGTCATAAAGTTACTGTAGTAAATAAGCCACTGTTATAACCTTGGGAATACATAAATAATGACGATCATTGTTTAGAATTATTAGAATTTGTTTGTGGTATTATTGCCAAACTGAAAGCCATTTTGGTATTGTCTATATGGTTTTTAAAAAGTGTGTATTTGCCTAAAAGCAGACAGTTCCATTTCCTTGACAGAGGCACTATTATCTGTATCCAAACGTCGTATCGTAAGAATAGAAAAAAAGTTGCAATCCACAGGTCAATCCTATCTTCAAAGATAATCAATGGGGAAAAATGATTTGTTGTCTAAAATTGTGACTGGGATTACGTGACCATGTTGTGTCAGTCCACCGCGGTAGAGTTGATTACCTTCTTCTGTTTCGTGGCGTTCGTGAAGATGACGTGCACCCTCCAGGTCTTTGCGAACAGCGCCCCGAACGCCATGGAGAAGCCCAGCGTCAGGAGGTACACCTTGGACTGTGACACACGAGCACGATACACAACAGAAGTGAGTGCACTAATTCTGTTTAACGCTACAGTCAGCAATATTCAAGTTATCAAATCGGCGTGTGTAATCGAATCTGGGACAGGTCAGTGATTGAGCTACGTTTTATGCCGTCGGGTACTATGCTATCCCGATAACCTCTGAGTATGACCACCTGATTCATTTAGTCGCTTCTAACGGCAAGCATAGGTTGCTGGGGAGTCGTGTTGACCTGGAATCCCCACAGGGGCAAGACATCAGTGGATGAGTGAGTGGCAAGCATGGAGGCATTGACATCGAGTGAGTGAGTGAGTGAGTGAGTGAGTGAGTGGGTGAGTATGGTTTTACGCCGCTTTTAGCAATAATCCAGCAATATTATGGCGGGAGACACCTGAAATGGCCTTCACACATTGTACCCATGTGGGGTATGTCGAAACCGGGTCTTCGGCGTGACGAGCGAACCACTGGGCTACCCCACCGTCCAATGAACATCGAAATGCCCCATGAGGTACAGAGTCTGACTACGCGACCCTCATCACCTCTTAGGACAAGAATGATGTACAGTTGAGTCTCAGTTTAACTAACAACTGGAAATAGAAAGTCTCATTTTTACCAACTGTCGATCCGCAGCTGGAAAGTCTCAGTTTAACCAACTGTCGATCTGGAGCTGGACAGTCTAAGTTTAACGCCAGCTCAACCTTCTAGATACGCATTTGTTACATATATGAGTCTCACTGCATCTTTCTGAAGTGAATGTTGACAATACTGCAATGTAAAGATATGAGGCCATTTCTGAAGTTACTCTTAGACTATGCGCTTCCACAGCGCTGCCAGAATCCAACTGGTTTGAACCAAACATTCGCCTCATATGAGCTCACAACCACCAGGGTGCACGGGCCGCATAGAGCAGAGTTGCGTCCCTTGGGCACCCCAGAAACCTATGATTGTGGGCTTGAATCCCGGTTCGTCCCGATTATGTTTCTAGGTTTGTCAGCATCTAAGTGGATTTCACCAAAGTGGTAAACGTCTGAGACCTGCATGATTTCGGGATATCCTCCCACATTAAGCGGACACGTCGTTATATAAAAGGAATATTGTTCAAAGCGGCTTTAAACCCAACTCACTTGCAACAAATATGTGGTTCATGTCGAGCTTTACTCCCACACTAGCTGACAGTAAAATAGAAACTGCTCAACCTACATATTCATTTGCGAGCCTGTACAGTCTTGCAGGTCCTCGGGGTAGGTGCAAGTGGGGTTTAGTGACCAATGCCATCATAGTTTCATACATACATGAAATCAGTTTACCAGATGTTTCAATCCTACAATCGTTAGTGAAGGACGAAAGAAATGTACGACACAAGCTCGGATTCAGCTTTGTGAAATGGGTGGAGGGGTGCCCGGAAAAGTAATAAAGAAGGTTAAGTCTACTCACAAGACAGAGGCCTGCCACAAGCTCCTTATCAGTCTGCTCTAAGAACACTGTGATGTAGAGGAGTACACATCCCGCAAGAATCACGTTGTTCAGGCGTGGTGACGACATCTTCACAATACTGGTAGAATATAAGTGGAATTATATGTCTGGAATTAGGATAGACTTTAGAATATAAAGTAGACAGTTACATGCGCAAAAATATTTGACAGGCAGTTTGACAATATATATACTTCTTGTTGGGTTCTCGTTGGTCCTGAGGGGCGGTCGGGTAGCCTAGTGGTTAAAGCGTTCGCTCGTCACGTCGAAGACCCGGGTTCGATTCCCGACATGGGTACAATGTGTGAAGCCCATTTCTGGTGTCCCCCGCCGTGAAATTGCTGGAATATTGCTAAAAGCGGCGTAAAACCATACTCACTCACTCACTCGTTGGTCCTGTCCAAGTTCATAACCGATTCGAGCGCAGCTTCCGAGACCCGGATGCTTGGAGGGTTAAATATCACTGGTGCATGGCACTGCGACACCCGCATTCAATCACATATCATGTTCTTACACCAACAATTGTTTCAGTCTCGGTATGACGAACTCAAGACGTGTACCCGACAGTCTCGACCTCTAGAGTCTCAATTAAACCGACTTCGGATTGTACCATCAAAGTCTCAGTTAAACCAACTGCAGGTTGGAGCTTTAAGTCTCAGTGTAACCAGTGGTAGATTTTGTCTCAAAGGTCTCAGATCAACCAACTGCAGATTGTATCTGAAAGTCCTATTTCAGCCAACTGCACATTTTTATCGAAAATCTCGGTTAAAGCAACTGAAGATTATATCTCGAAAGTCTCAGTTTAACCAACTGCAGATTAAATCTCGGAAGCCTCGGTTACAGCAACTGCAGATTATATCTCGAAAGCCTCAGTTTGACCAACTGCAGATTATATCTCGAAAGCCTCAGTTTAACCAACTGCAGATTATATGTCGAAAGCCTCAGTTTGACCAACTGCAGATTATATCTCGAAAGCCTCAGTTTGACCAACTGCAGATTATATCTCGAAATTCTCGGTTTTACCAACTGCAGATTATATCTCGAAAGCCTCAGTTTGACCAACTGCAGATTATATCTCGAAAGCCTCAGTTTAACCAACTGCAGATTATATCTCGAAAGCCTCAGTTTGACCAACTGCAGATTATATCTCGAAATTCTCGGTTTAACCAACTGCAGATTATATCTCGAAAGCCTCAGTTTGACCAACTGCAGATTATATCTCGAAAGCCTCAGTTTGACCAACTGCAGATTAAATCTCGGAAGTCTCGGTTACAGCAACTGCAGATTATATCTCGAAAGTCTCAGTTTAACCAACTGCAGATTATCTCAGTTTAACCAACTGCAGATTATCTCAGTTTAACCAACTGCAGATTATATCTCGAAAGCCTCAGTTTGACCAACTGTAGGTTATATCTCGAAATTCTCGGTTCAACCAACTGTCGATCTGGAGCTGGAAAGTCTCAGTTTAAGGCCAGCTCACCCTTCTAGCTACGTATTTGTTACATATATGAGTCTCACCGCAACTTCCTGAAGTGAATGTTGAAGGCAAGGAAACATATGCTGAGGGCGATGCCGAGCGCCGAGATGCAGCACATGGACAGATACAGAGGGAAGGACAGGCGGGTGGTGGTCCGATAGATCGTCAGAGAGTCCTTGGGTATCTTTCCACCTAAAACATTAAATGTTATAATTGTATGTCTTGTTGAACTTAATGTCTAAAAATAATGAAAGTAACCAATGCAAGTATATATAATTAATCATTGATCATCGTCATTCCTGGACATTTCGTGTCTTTACTATACGATTTGAAAATATAGAATATAAAATCAGGTGTTTTTACAAATTCGATAACATAACTATATTGTGTTAAGTGTTACGGCAAATTATAGATAGTGACTTAAATATAGAGATGCATAAAATAATGTTTCGGCGTTTTTAAAAACAAATTAATAAAAAAACAACATTAGTATGATTTATTAGTGGCACGATTGTAAGAGCTTAGCATGTTGCCACATTTGTGAATCAAGCGCTAAGATGGGTTCGTGGAGCGGGCCCTGGTCATTGTCAGTGTAACTGATGGCTTTCTGTATGGCCATGCAACAGTTTCGCGAGTGTTTAGGTTACAGATTAAATGCCATCGAACTTTATGTTAAGTCTACATGTAACAGATGGCGAGTGTTTAAATTCAATGACAAGACACCCTTGAAGAAACGGTATGCCTCAATACTCAAAACACATATGAAAACACAGATATACGAAATAGGATCCCTGTCTAACCAACATACCCCCTCTTTCACTGACCGATTAGTGACAAGCAAATATTGATGTAGACAATTACGAGCACAGTAAGAACTTAAGAGAGATTCTCTATTATGATAAACCCCATGTACAAGAACAAGTGTTTGGCGAGATATAACAGAATTGTATTTATCTTTCATATCGACTAAATAAACACTCGACCAGCGGTCCATTAGCGCCCCATCGTCCGGCTCTGTTTGCGCAAAGTGTGTACCGTGGCCTTAGCCTGCAGTGCTTCAGGTAATGAATGCACTGGGCATAATAGAACCAGTGTGATCTGAGAGTTATACCTGCCCATACGATGGGTGTAGCTGGGAGCCATTCGATCTTCACGTCGGCGACCAAGTTCGGATCATAGAGACCAACCATCTGAACCTCACCACCTGGGAATATATACATAGTCATGCGGGGGATCAATACTTGACTGTATTTGTTATCGACATTGTAAACAGAAAATATTATTGGTAATTTTCTTTGGTACTCTCTTCGTGAACTCCAACAGCTGTGGGACATTAATCTGTGTTCCTGGATTCAGAAGAAATCTTACTCAAAATACTCATGTGACGATATCAACGACTAATGTCGTGTCTGAAAAGCAATTTCTGACATGCATGTCACAATAAACTGAACAAGCGTGATCAGTTGTCAATTGAATGGTTTCCTGCCTTATAATCAATACCCCTCATTTCAAGTGTAAATTATTTTTGGGTGCTGTATATATTACTCATTTTTGACAGGTATATCTTTCCATGGTACTCAAAATTGATTCTCGTAATATATCACGTGAATATTGAAATATAATGACATATCGTGTAGTACAAGTATAGTATATTAGAAGTATCGTGTAGTACAAGTATAGTATATTAGAAGTATCGTGTAGTACAAGTATAGTATATTAGAAGTATCGTGTAGTACAAGTATAGTATATTAGAAGTATCGTGTAGTACAAGTATAGTATATTAGAAGTATCGTGTAGTACAAGTATAGTATATTAGAAGTATCGTGTAGTACAAGTATAGTATATTAGAAGTATTGTGTAGTGGATGTATCGTGTAGTACATATGTGGTATAGTAGAAGTGTGGTACAGTAGAAGTATCTTGTAGTAGATGTATGATAAAGTAGATGTATCGTATAGTAGAAGTATCGTATATTAAAAGTATGGTATAGTAGAAGTGTGGTATAGTTGAAGTATTGTGTAGTACAAGTGTGGTATAGTTGAAGTATCGCGTAGTACAAGTGTGGTATAGTAGAAGTATCGTAGAAGTGTGGTACAGTAGAAGTGTGGTATAGTAGAAGTGTGGTATAGTAGAAGTGTGGTATCGTAGAATTGTGGTATAGTAGAAGTGTGGTATAGTAGAAGTGTGGTATAGTTGAAGTATCGTGTAGTACAAGTGTGGTATAGTAGAAGTATCGTATAGTAGAATTGTGGTACAGTAGAAGTGTGGTACAGTAGAAGTGTGGTATCGTAGAAGTGTGGTATAGTAGAAGTGTGGTATAGTAGAAGTGTGGTAACGTAGAAGTGTGGTATAGTAGAAGTGTGCTATAGTAGAAGTGTGGTATCGTAGAATTGTGGTATAGTAGAAGTGTGGTATAGTAGAAGTGTGGTATAGTTGAAGTTTCGTGTAGTACAAGTGTGGTATAGTAGAAGTATCGTATAGTAGAATTGTGGTACAGTAGAAGTGTGGTACAGTAGAAGTGTGGTATCGTAGAAGTGTGGTATCGTAGAATTGTGGTATAGTAGAAGTGTGGTATAGTTGAAGTATCGTGTAGTACAAGTGTGGTATAGTAGAAGTATCGTATAGTAGAAGTGTGGTACAGTAGAAGTGTGGTATAGTAGAAGTGTGGTATCGTAGAAGTGTGGTATAGTAGAAGTGTGGTATAGTAGAAGTGTGGTATCGTTGAATTGTGGTATAGTAGAAGTGTGGTATAGTAGAAGTGTGGTATAGTTGAAGTATCGTGTAGTACAAGTGTGGTATAGTAGAAGTATCGTATAGTAGAATTGTGGTACAGTAGAAGTGTGGTATCGAAGAAGTGTGGTATCGTAGAATTGTGGTGTAGTAGAAGTGTGGTATAGTTGAAGTATCGTGTAGTACAAGTGTGGTATAGTAGAAGTATCGTATAGTAGAAGTGTGGTACAGTAGAAGTGTGGTATCGTAGAAGTGTGGTATAGTAGAAGTGTGGTATAGTAGAAGTGTGGTATCGTAGAATTGTGGTATAGTAGAAGTGTGGTATAGTAGAAGTGTGGTATAGTTGAAGTATCGTGTAGTTCAAGTGTGGTATAGTAGAAGTATCGTATAGTAGAATTGTGGTACAGTAGAAGTGTGGTACAGTAGAAGTGTGGTATAGTAGAAGTGTGGTATCGTAGAAGTCTGGTATCGTAGAATTGTGGTATAGTAGAAGTGTGGTATAGTTGAAGTATCGTGTAGTACAAGTGTGGTATAGTAGAAGTATCGTATAGTAAAAGTGTGGTATAGTAAAGCATCGTGTAGTAGAAGTGTGATTTAGTAGAAGCGTGTTATAGTTTAAGTATCGTATAGTAGAAGTGTGGTATAGTAGAAGTGTTGTATAGTTTAAGTATCGTATAGTAGAAGTGTGGTATAGTAGAATTGTGGTATAGTTGAAGTATCGTACAGTACAAGTGTGGTATAGTAGAAGTGTGGTATAGTAGAAGTATCGTGTAGTGGAAGGTTTTCTTACTTTGACTTACCAGTTGCAATTGTGAGGCTTTATCTAGTCTGTGACACTTTACAAGAATTCTTGATAACAAACTTACACGAATGATAATTAGAATAAGTTTAATGACTATTACCAAAATGTCAGTGTTTTGAATTTGCCTCCAAAATATACTGGTGCTGCCTTATACAATATTCACTAACTTACTGAATGATTCATATCTATAAATATGTTAGCGTTACGTCTTTTTTATATGTACAATTTATTAATCAGTTTAAGCCATATTGTTAATTCGCTATTAGTTTTCAACAAAAACCATGGTTAGGATCGGAGGTCGAACGAACTCTAGATCAAATCAGAAGCACTGAAATTTGGCAACGATACCGGTCCGTAGGAAAGCAGATACAAATGAATGGGTATTTCTACCGGAAACCTCGCATCCTTATGTACTAATCCAGGGAGGTTTGCGGAATCATTGTAACCGTTCATTTAATTGTTCATTTTGGTCTGTGATGGAGTAGACACTCTTCTTTATCTTTACGTCAATGACCAGCCACATCCGTTACAGATTGAAATAGACACCTGTTCGTTTCCGTGTACAGTGCATTCCTTGATCAGATAGTAATAATACACATTTATTGATTGACAGACGTTGCTTAAAAGCATCAATTCAAACAGGATACGGACACGTCTCCAGGCTCGTGATTGTATGAGAAGGTAATGAACTGGGTGTTGTGTAGCACCTGTAAAATTAAACATGTTTCCCCACGTTCCTTTTTGCAGTCTACAAGTAATTATCTTCAATCAAGATCTTAATGGGAAATCGCATGGATTGAGAAGCAACTGATATGACGGAATTATATTTTTGTCAGTGAATGAATCATGCTGGGTTAATGAAAACGTGACACGGAACTGTTTTGAAGTGTTTCTATAATTGTTTCCATAGTAACCAAACACGTGCACGTGAAATTACAAAGTTTGATCTGTAACCGGAGGCAACGTTATGTACGTCAAGCAGTAGTAGACGTGGCGCTTTTTTTCTGTTAGACTGTCCATCCACAAGTCTGTAGTCTGTCTACCTGAATGTGAACAGTTGTGTGTGTGTGTGTGTGTGTGTGTGTATATATATATATATATATATATATATATATACACACACACACAACTGTATATATATACTTTTAAAGTACGTCTGTTTCATTCTTTCGTTTGATAGAAGGTATCAGCATGAATTTGCGACTTAAGAATCCAAAATCAAATTTCAAAATTTGTATTTTGCATCTTTGTATTACTTGAACGAGTTAAAAAGTCCCTTATATGGCATTAAGTACCTATTCCTCGAGAAGATATGAGCTGTAAATAAAATGGCAATCACATCCGTATCATCATGACGCAGCACATATACTGCCATGAACCAGTCTCTGTAACAAGGCAGAGTGTGACAGCCGACGTTCTCGCTGTATGGGTTCTTTAGGCAGACTGTACGTACGCACAAATCAGTTAAACATGTACACTGATATCACAATCACCGACAGGAGAAGGCGGTAAAAGGTGTTGCACTTGTGCCCAATCCCTTTGTCTTGTTGGACAACAAAATATGTTTAATAAAAATCACTGACAATCCTAAACATATCGATCATTCACCACAACTCAGTCGCTAAACAGACAGACTGCGAAATTGTGCAGTTGGCATCTAATTAACATCTTATTTGATTAGGTGCATTATGAAATCTAAAGGTCTGTTGAATGTAATAGCAATACGAAATCGAGTATGAATACAATATTGATTGCTTAGATTAAACAAATTAAGTATTTGTGTTAAACATGTCAGTGAAACGCCATGAAGAAGTGACAAGCTATCAGAGGTTTGAAAACCGCGATATTTGTTGATTTTAAGCAAAGAATGATCTTAGTTCTCACAGTATTCACCCTGACTGATCTCACTCTGACTGAACTCGCCGATTGATCTCACCCTGACTAACCTCACCCTGAACACGATATGTCTATAGTTGACCTATTCACCCTGACTAGACTCACCCTGAACACGATATGTCTATAGTTGACATATTCACCCTGACTAACCTCACCCTGAACACTATATGTCTATAGTTGACATATTCACCCTGACTCACCTCACCCTAAACACTATATGTCTATAGTTGACATATTCACCCTGACTAACCTCACCCTGAACACTATATGTCTATAGTTGACATATTCACCCTGACTAACCTCACCCTGAACACGATATGTCTATAGTTGACCTATTCACCCTGACTAGACTAACCCTGAACACGATATGTCTATAGTTGACATATTCACCCTGACTAGACTCACCCTGAACACGATATGTCTATAGTTGACATATTCACCCTGACTAACCTCACCCTGAACACTATATGTCTATAGTTGACATATTCACCCTGACTCACCTCACCCTAAACAATATATGTCTATAGATGACATAGTCACCCTGACTAACCTCACCCTGAACACGATATGTCTATAGTTGACATAGTCACCCTGACTAACCCCACCCTCAAAACTATATGTCTATAGTTGACATATTCAGCCTGACTAACCTCACCCTCAACACGATATGTCTATAGTTGACATATTCACCCTGACTAACCCCACCCTCAAAACTATATGTCTATAGTTGACATATTCAGCCTGACTAACCTCACCCTAAACAATATATGTCTATAGATGACATATTCACCCTGACTAACCTCACCCTGAACACTATATGTCTATAGTTGACATATTCACCCTGACTAGACTCACCCTGAACACGATATGTCTATAGTTGACATATTCACCTTGACTAACCTCACCCTGAACACTATATGTCTATAGTTGACATATTCACCCTGACTAACCTCACCCTAAACAATATATGTCTATAGATGACATAGTCACCCTGACTAACCTCACCCTGAACACTATATGTCTATAGTTGACATATTCAGCCTGACTAACCTCACCCTAAAAACTATATGTCTATAGTTGACATATTCAGCCTGACTAACCTCACCCTGAACACTATATATCTATAGTTGACATATTCACCCTGACTAACCTCACCCTAAACACTATATGTCTATAGATGACATATTCACCCTGACTAACCTCACCCTGAACACTATATGTCTATAGTTGACATATTCACCCTGACTAACCTCACCCTGAACACTATATGTCTATAGTTGACATATTCACCCTGACTCACCTCACCCTGAACACTATATGTCTATAGTTGACATATTCACCCTGACTAACCTCACCCTGAACACAATATGTCTATAGTTGACATATTCAGCCTGACTAACCTCACCCTGAACACTATATGTCTATAGTTGACATATTCACCCTGACTAACCTCACCCTGAACACGATATGTCTATAGTTGACATATTCACCCTGACTAACCTCACCCTGAACACTATATGTCTATATTTGACATATTCACCCTGACTAACCTCACCCTGAACACTATATGTCTATAGTTGACATATTCAGCCTGACTAACCTCACCCTAAAAACTATATGTCTATAGTTGACATATTCAGCCTGACTAACCTCACCCTGAACACTATATATCTATAGTTGACATATTCACCCTGACTAACCTCACCCTGAACACTATATGTCTATAGTTGACATATTCACCCTGACTAACCTCACCCTGAACACTATATGTCTATAGTTGACATATTCACCCTGACTCACCTCACCCTAAAAACTATATGTCTATAGTTGACATATTCACCCTGACTAACCTCACCCTGAACACTATATATCTATAGTTGACATATTCACCCTGACTAACCTCACCCTGAACACTGTTTGTCTATAGTTGACATATTCACCCTGACTAACCTCATCCTGAACACGATATGTCTATAGTTGACATATTCACCCTGACTAACCTCACCCTGAACACGATATGTCTATAGTTGACATATTCACCCTGACTAACCTCACCCTGAACACGATATGTCTATAATTGACATATTCACCCTGACTAACCTCACCCTGAACACAATATGTCTATAGTTGACATATTCACCCTGACTAACCTCACCCTGAACACGATATGTCTATAGTTGACATATTCACCCTGACTCACCTCACCCTGAACACTATATGTCTATAGTTGACATATTCACCCTGACTAACCTCACCCTGAACACGATATGTCTATAGTTGACATATTCAGCCTGACTAACCTCACCCTGAACACGATATGTCTATAGTTGACATATTCACCCTGACTGAACTCACCCTGAACACGATTATATCTTTAGCTGGCATAATTCACCCTGACTGAACTCACCCTGAGCACGATCCATCTTTACTTGACAATATTCTTCCTGACTGAACTCACCCTGAACACGATCCATCTTTACTTGACAATACTCTTCCTGACTGAACTCACCATGAACACGATCTATCTTCACTTGACAACACTCTTCCTGATTAATCTCACCCTGAACACGATCCATCTTTACTTGACAATACTCTTCCTAACTGAACTCACCATGAACACGATCTATCTTCACTTGACAATACTCTTCCTGACTGAACTCACCATGAACACGATCTATCTTCACTTGACAACACTCTTCCTGATTAATCTCACCCTGAACACGATCCATCTTTACTTGACAATACTCTTCCTGACTGAACTCACCCTGAACACGATCAATCTTTACTTGACAATACTCTTCCTGACTGAACTCACCATGAACACGATCAATCTTCACTTGACAACACTCTTCCTGATTGAACTCACCCTGAACACGATCCATCTTTACTTGACAATACTCTTCCTGACTGAACTCACCATGAACACGATCCATCTTTACTTGACAATACTCTTCCTGACTGAACTCACCCTGAATACGATCTATGCTGAACATAGCCACGGGGTCACCTTTCTCATTAAAAGCCACTTGACCCCTGACCCCTCTGTACTTGACATTCAACATCTTGGTCCAAATAAGCAGGCCAAGTTCGGCATCACTGTAGGCAAAGTCCTCAAGCCGTTTAGGGTTTCCTTAAACGAAACACAAATTTCATAATGTAATCATGCTTAAAGCATGGAAGACCTAAAGTACCATGTGACATCCACACTTCCCAACATAACCCCCTTTCAATACGCGTCACCAATTTAGCTCGATTAAACGTTTATCACAAGACAAACTGTTAACACATATTGTATTGCCCAGTGCTGTTTAAAAGAGACCTGCTACTGTCTTGAGGTTTCCATAGCAAGTAACAACTTAGGTCGCGGATGGAACGACTTGAATGTCCCTTTAAGTTGTTCTAGATATTTGTTTCAGGTTTCGAGAAACCTTCTGGTTGACGGATAGGTCTGTGTAAACCTGAATAAACCGGCACAGAGGTGTACGTCATCTTAAAAATCAACATACTTCACTCTCTTACTTCATCACGACTGGGGGCGGTCAGGTAGACAATCGTTCACCCGTCACACCGAAGACCCGGGTTCGATTCCCGACATGGGTACAATGTGTGAAGCCCATATCTGGCGTCCCCCGATAAAAGCGACAAAACCATTTACATAGTCCTAAGAAATATCTGCTGTTGGCACAGAGGTGTTCGCATGAAAGTCAGGACGTTCGCTGGGTACGATGACTCGCAATGAACCTTGTCACGGTGCCTGATCACCTGATCAAATTTAGTCACCTCTTACGACAGCAGGGGTCAGTTATCTCCCGGAACTTCTACGCGGTGACTGGTGACAACGTATTTCTTCTGAGTTTCTTTACGTTGTGTAGGTATGCCCTTGTATTGTTTGTAAACCAGTTACCGCCACCACAAACATATATACGAGCATGTTATCCCATTTCAAACTGAAGCTCCCCCGTATGATTAAAACCAACATCATAGTACAGTGAACCCTGGTTATTCCGGACGGCAACGCCCCTAGTTAAATCTTCCGAATAAACAAACTCATGTCTTGTATATACACGGGCGGTTATTTAGGAACAATATATACACTACCGGGCCAAAGAAAATACACACTTGGAAATTGGATTTGACGAAATAATTACAAATAAATGAAATATGAAAAAAAGTAAATAGTCGACGAAACACTGCAAACTTAATTCGAAAACACAACTGTGATACCCGAACAAAATATATCATCATAGAATAACCATTACTTGCTTGTTTTATTTCTAGCCACCATCAAACATGGGGGTGTACTTCCTTTTACAACAACCAACATCGTTCGACCATATTTACTTTTCAGTATTTGAGAAAGAAATGTTTGAAATCATATAAAATACAAAAATCATTCTTCTAGTCTCACCAGTATCAATAAGTTCCGTGAGAGTGTCATTCAGAGCTAAAGCCAGGGCCCAGATGGAGTCGTACCCCATGGGTGCGGCCTTGGTCCCTGGGTAGTTGACGTTGTTGGTTCTGTTGGCGTATACAGCCAGGTACTGGGAGGGGGTGAGGCCGGATATAGCCGGGATCTCTATGGGGCTGATGTAGAGCCTGTCGACGGCGATGTAGCCTTCTACTGCTCGCGACATCTCCTCCGGTGTGCAGTCCACATTGACGTCGGGAACCAGCCACCAGAAGTCGTCAAACCATCCGTTGATCACCCACACGATCTTATTGCCGTATAGTCCTACCTTGTAAGCCTGTAGGAACACGTATGTGAGAAGGTTGTGTTTGATAGCGGTATAGTCCTACCTTGTAAGCCTGTAGGAACACGTATGTGAGAAGGTTGTGTTTGATAGCGGTATAGTCCTACCTTGTAAGCCTGTAGGAACACGTATGTGAGAAGGTTGTGTTTGATAGCGTTTAAATAGCACTTCATTCAGATCAATACTTCTCAGCTTAATAGGAAGCAGAAAACAAAGTGATGTTGGTCTAAGACATGTATTACGTTAGCGAAAAACTCGGCACGAGTTTGCTGCACACGGAGAAAGGACAATAATCGGATTGAAACTTAGATTCGAACCGAAGACCAGCGGATCCTGTCACCACAAGTCACACTGGGAGGAGTGATAGTTTGCATATGGTAGTAAAGAAAGCTTGTATGATATGGCCCTAAAAGACTCCCGTACTTTAATGATATAAATGTGATTATATCAAACATTGATTTCATTGATTACATGACACACGAGACCCGTGAAGATCCGAGGTAGAATTTCGTCTTCAGCAACCCATGGCCATGCTGCCGTAAAAGTCGACTATGATTGTCGCAAGAGGCGACTAACAGGCGGTGGTCAGGCTCGCTGACTTGGTTGATGTAGGTAATCGTATCCAAATTCCGTGGGTCGATGCTCATGATGTTAATCGCTGGATTGTCTCGTCCAGTCTCGATTATTTACGGACCGTCATCATATAGCCGGAATATTGCTGAGTGCTTGTAACGCGTTGGCCATTATTATTACAAGGAGTCCCCCTTTGCCAACGTGTAAGTCTCTGTAACACTTTTCATACCACAATACACCCAACAGACTCCATCCTTAATACTTTGAAATTCGTCGAAATGTAGTGTAATGTCTCGATACATGATACGACTCTAACAGTCTGTTCTTATGCGGTTACAACAAACTCCAATATTCTATCTATACAAAGGCTGCATGTGTATAATTACGTCAGAATAATCTTTAGGTGACATTTCGAAATTTCTCTAATGTTTGCACTAAGTTTTTCACGCAGTTAATCAACTGTGGAACGATACTGGTCTCACAATGGTAATACACGTAGAACATATAGGTTATTTATGACTACGCTAAACGTTTCTCTTTATGTACTTAAGGTCTCAGATAGATCACAACGCAGTTTATTGGCTAAATTAAGATGTGGCACTCTGCCTTTAGAAATAGAATTAGGCCGTCAATTTTGTCACTCCTCTCCTGTTGTGCATGAAGTGCATTTACCTTCCTCCTGTGAGCATTACGGGGACCTGATCATGATCTGAGGCAACATAGACCTTAACTGAGGATATGAAGCCGCTATATCCACTAGTGTTACACTTTGACCAAATTACATTAATTATTGCAAGTAAGGAATCATGTTATCTTTTAGCTGTATATGTTCAATCTTCATTTATACGAAGAGGTGAGGTGAAATTGGGTTTAACGTCGCCTCAAAGATTATTGCACTTATATAGCGACGTGCATGCACGTGTGTGTGTGGCTGCTTGTATTAGTCCGGACTGATGCCGATTTAAAGTGCTAGCTCACTGAGATACCATGCCGCAGTTTAACATGAATACCCCACTCAGGCACAGTATACTGACTCTGAGCCGACCAGTCCTTGTTTTAAGCCCCTTAATGCCGAGCGCCAGACAGTGTAACAACAAGTACCATCTTTTAACGTCTTTTGGTATGACGCGGCCGGTGATATTTAAACAGAAAACAGTATAACTAAATTATCATTTTAATAAGATATTCGCAGTTTTTTCTTCAACTTAATAACTAATATTCACGACGTCAAGGAGGGTATTATGTTTTGTTTATTCTTGATTATTTCCTTTCATCAAACTCGCGATCGGAAATAGTGTTCCAAAATAATTATTCTATACAAATGTCTTTTCACGATTTATGTCGTGTCACATAAGCTAGTACTGGCTGGTGTTTTTATATTGTTTTTTTACATATTGGTTCATTTTCAGTGTACAATGTGCCACTCTGATAAACTTATCATATGTTAATGAGCAACTGTCCCTGCCGTCGGGGCAGGGTGACACGGGTAGTCGGTCAAGCATTGTGCTCTGGAATTCCCACGGGTAATGACCTTAATGCTTTGTTGAGGGATATCTGCATCATGCATGCAATCTCACATGGCACATGGTAGACGATACCAGTGACACATTAACCTGGGGTGTCAGGGGATCGGCAGATGAAATCATATCCATGATAAATTCAGAACAACGTCATGGCAACGGCGCGACCGAGAGGTACCCTCCCACCTTTGCTTCAAAGGGCAATAATGTCATCTTGAAACCTGAGCAAAACTCATCGCAAGTATTGATTTCCTGTCGTTTTCCTAGATAATACACATGATGATATATTCATGTATGGAGATTCTGTTATGATGAATATTCATTAATTCCAAATGAGACATTATTAGGTTTTATTAACATGTTCAAAAAAGAACTTGTTAGTGATATACGTGTGTGAAGCTGATGTCTCTCTGTTAGAGTATTAACACACAAAGTAGAGGTGGACTTATCATTATACTGGTAAATAATTGATGCCCTTTAAGGGCACTTATATTGCCTTGTTAGTGAGTGAATGAGTTGGGTTCAACGCCGCTTTTAAAAGTATTCCATTTATATCAAGGCGTGTCATCTTAATGTGGGAGGAAAGCCCGAAGTGATGCAGGTCTCAGACGTTTACCACTCCGGTGAAATCCACAAGCACGGGTATGGTGCTGTCAAACCTAGAACCATAATCGGGGTAAACCGGGATTCGAACCAACAATCATAGGTTTCTGCACTGCGGTTCCCTAGACGAATGGGCCACCTGTGCCCCCCCCCCCCCCCCCCCCCCCCCCCCCCACACACACACACACACAGCCCTTGCCTCGTTAAATATTCCTGTACTTTTATCAATTTAGCTTGTACATTTTGATGGAATTGCAACTGAGAGAAACTCTTTATTTATCTATATATTTCAATACAAATTATAACACATCTCCTTATTATTTCTGTTATATGAAAATATTTAGCAATGTTCAGCAAGAAATCTTTTAAGTCAACATCAAACTGTTCATGTGTTGCTTATTAGCAAGTTTACTTACCTCACAAAATACTTGTCGTGCCATATTTTCGTAAAAACTGCCAACAATGATTCGCACATCAGCATCCTATAAAAAGATTAATATTATAAAAGTAGGGCTATTTGCATTATTATTTTTAGTAAACTTTCGGGATAAAAAACGGATATTTCAAGATGCTGTGTTAAAATTTCAAGATGCCATGTTGATAATTTAAGATGCTATGTTGAAAGTTAAAGATACTAAATTCAGATTACAAGATACATGAGTGGAAATTTGAAGAAAATGATTTTGAAGTTTTAAAATAAGAATTTCGACTGATTATAACAAATTTCAGTGTTTGAGTGAGTTGGATTTAAATTTATAATGTGTACACGTGTTGCTAATACATGACGCTAATAGCGGCAAGTTGTCTACATGTAGTAGTGAATCTTGAAATGTAGCATCTTGAGTTTCACCTTTGTATCTTGAAGTTTCAAAAAGAACAATAAAACAGAAAATGACCCCAAAAGAGTTCCGTATAATGTGAAAGAGGAAGGTGGGGTAGCCTCGTGGTTAAAGCCTTTGGTTGTCACGCCGAAGACCTGGGTTCACAAGGTACCATGTGTGCAGCCCATTTCTGGTGTGATACTGCTGGAATCTTGCTAAAAGCGGCGTAAAACCATACTCACTCACTCCGTATAAAAATATAAATGTCGTAAAAACACAAGTAAATGTCACAAACGAATGTGTTCAGTAAATCGAACTTAATGACACGGACATTGCGATGACATCAATGTGTGTAATTAGGTATGGATATGAGAGTAACATCAGAAGTATTAATTCATGTATATTATCTTTATTAATTCCCCAGTCGATAGCTTCGGGCTTACCATCAAGGGAAGCGGAACAGAGTCATTTAGAGTGACGGAGATGCTGTCCTGTAAATGTATTTTCAGATATTTGCAATTACTGTAATTTTGAGAGAACAAAAACAAATGTCTTGGTAATGATGTATAACAGATTATGATGAAGACCGTTGAGGAGGATGACATACGAATCAATATTAGCCTGTGTGTGGAGTGGGGTGTGTTAGAGCTGTACTCATTACCTCAGACAGCGTGTAAGCAATATGACATTCACATCCCGACAGATGACTGTAAGGATGGACACTACACTTCCATATAAGGAGTCGAAACCAGGCCTTTGACGTGACGACAGAGCGCTTTAACCACTGAAGTACTATACAGACCTTTTCTTTATCATAAAACCCATGTAGGTCCAAGGTTGGCAATGACAAAATAATTCAGATGTGTTTGTTAATACAAATGTGTTACATTATATAATACAATAACTATATTTTTGTTATACGTGAAGGGATGTTGGTAAATTGTACTTTAATCAATCTTATTTATGTGTGGTTAGACGTGAATGAATGAGTGAGTATAGTTTTACGCCGCTTTTAGCAATATTGCAGTAATAAAACTGCGGGGGACACCAGAAATAGGTTTCACACATTTACCCAAATCGAGAATCGAACCCAGGTCTTCGTTGTGACAAGCTTTAACCACTGGGCTACCCCACCGCCCCTTGAAGTGAAAGAAATACCCATATCTTCAAAAGAGTAATATATTTGCATGACCGACTGAATGTGTACTAGTTGATTAGAAACATTTGATAAGTATGTCCTCTTTAGCTTATTTATGAGATAGTCCAAGAACAAAGCTGGTGTCGGTTCCACGCCTTCATCTATATCCGTGCCCCTGATAATAATACCTCTAATGTTCTACACAAACACCATCCAGCCGCCTTCGACCACCACGTTACCTGAAGGGCCTTCACCTGTACGGCTGGACTTCCGGTGATAATCTCAGATCTCACGATTGTCATGTTGGCTTCTTTTAGTCGAGCCATCAGATCCTCTGTTGGCTGTGGACATACAGACTTTGGATAAGGCTAACTAGATGACGACTTCCACTAATTGCGAAATCAAACATCATTCCATGGTCAGACTTTTTTAAGCCAATAACAAATAAAAGGTAAATGTTGTGCAATGATGACAAACAATTAAAATGTAATTTCACACTTTGATCAATATTCATTGTTTAAGGTCAAATATTCCAACAATGAGTTTTTTCAAATAATGGAATATTTGATAAACAGATTTATATAAGAAATCGATATTATCATTTTCCACCACCAAATACTCTGATGAAATATGTAACGTCTGGTGATGGAACGGAACTGAGGCCACACATCCCGTTTCCTCAATTCCCTGTTCAGAGAGTGTGAGATACACCAGAATATCAATCTACATCCGAACCTCGTTATACAGCATTTTATAAAGCTAACACTCACTACTGTCCTTCCCCTCAAACTCGCACAGAGCCGGGTCAAGAACCTTTCATTTTGGTAGCATAATCGCCTTGAGACTTCCACACAAGCTATGGACATATAGTAGCAAATGCCACAGGGACTATTTGTCATAGGAAAATACGCATAATTTATGCATGTATTGCTCGAACTTGTTCCCGGAAATCGTTAAACGTTAAAAGTGAATAGGAAGCGGCATCTCTGAGATGAGACCTTTAATGGACTTTCTCGACGTACCTGCAATGCTAATCTCAGAACAAAGTTTCATTAAACGTTTGCTATATCAGTTATTGGTAGGTCTAAAAATGATAACTAATACCAGAAAAATTGAAGGTCACTTAAAGCCACTGACCACTGAGAAGAGTTCAAAGGATTGGTGCAGCGTGGCGATGTTTGACCAGCCAAACTGTTTGAAGATCTCCACACGGGCCGGGTTAACATCCACATCCGGGGAATTAGAGCGGACGAAACGTGGAAACCTGTTCTTGTCGGACAGGGAGGGGGACACAGACACGTAGGACATCTGAAAGGAAGGGGTAGTATTGGCAACAACTGACATATATACAGACTCACAGTGAAGCCCGTTATTCATGACAAGAACTGTATAGAAGGGGGATGTATTAATCCGGACGATTTCCTTGGATTAACGAGGTTTATTTGAATGTCAATTTACAAAGGCATTTGCATGGACACGTAAAAATATCAATACTTGATTTCGAGGCTCATCACGTACTGGTACTGGATTTTCTTGCTTTTTCCAATCTTTCCTGTCCAAACACAAAGTATTTCAGACCTATTGGTGTCCACTCAGGACTTTATAACTATATGTCGGACAATCAGAAGATTTACCTACACACACAATCCCAAAGAACCTTGCAAATTTAGACTTCATCTTGTTATCTGTCTAAAAGTACAAGGTTTACATTATGCGTTTTGTTTGTTTGTTGTTTGACGCCGCACTCAGCAATATTCCAGCTATATGACGGCGGTCGGTAAATAATCGAGTCTGTACCAGACAATCCAGTGATTGTTTTCATGAGCATCGATCCACGCAATTAGGATACGATGACATGCATCAAACAAGTCAGCGAGCCTGACCACCCGATCCCGTTAGTCGCCTCTTACGACAAGCAGAGTCGCCTGCTACGGCAAGCATCTGTTGTTGAAGACCTATTCTACCCCGGATCTTCACGGGTCAGTGCAGTATGTAGTTGAATTACAATGAAAGGCTTCAGGGGTTCAGTTGTCAATGCTTCTCTTGAAACGCATAATGCACGGGGTTGATTCCCAACATAGAGGAATCCTCACAGGTCAGATAAGCAAGTGATAATATTTAAGACGGAAACGAAACGTGTTGTTACAATGTACTATTCAAACATTTGTGAAGTTAAAGCAGTGTCTCCAGGCGACTTGTATTTCAATGATATAATATGATGCTGTCCCACGTTGTGTAATGACAGCTGAACAATGTAGATGAATTCGTATACCGCCTACCTGGACCAGATTCCACAGGTGTGAGGACTGTCCCGTGGCCTCGCTCACCCCGGAACAACCATCCCCCAGGATCAGGATCTTTGTGGGTGGGGCGTACAGGTGCTTGTACATGATGTCCACCCCCAGGCCGGGATTACACTGAAAGAATAACGGGAATGATCAGACAAATCTTCATCTTCACTTCATCCTGAGTGTATCTACATATTCCAACGTATCATCTATAGGTTTACATCTACATATTATATGTCCATTGGCTATAAATAGCTCTACACGTGTGCAATATACCATATAGTGAGTGAGTGGTGTTTAATGTCGCTTTTAACAGTATTCCAGTCATATCACAGCGTGTCAACTTAATGTGGGAGGAAAGCCCGAAGTGATGCATGTCTCAGACGTTTACCATTTCGGTGAAACCCACAAGCTCGGGTATGGTGCTGACAAAGCTAGAAACATAATCGGGGCGAACCGGGATGTGTGTGTGTGTGTGTGTGTGTGTGTGTGTGTGTGTGTGTGTGTGTGTGTGTGTGTGTGTGTGTGTGTGTGTGTGTGTACCTACGTTGTGAAATACAGGTGCCAAGATACAAAAGCCGTACGTCACTCGTGTGTCGTACAAGGTTGACCTCATTATATTCGTTTTGATTGGATAACCGTGACCTCTCTCACACCGGAACTACATTTTTCATTCAAAGAAAAAAATCACGAGATTTTACTCACTTTGAGAAAACGTTTTACAACTACGAGGTTGAACTGAAGGAATCTCATGAAAGCGAGATACATTAAACACACACTTTATTATACCCAACAAGATAGTCACACGCATCGAATTCGCTTTGCAATCTATATTAGTTATGCATAGAGCCACTACAGATATTGTATAATCGAATTATATCCGTATGCAATGTACGACTGCATATCGATAGATCGAGGCTCCCGAACACTTTCGCGACTTTCTACATCTTATCTGTCCATTGCATATACATATCTCTACAGATACTACGTGTACTAAACTTTCTAACATTTGTGCATACATCATATTACGTGTGTATATATATTTGATTACATGTGTGTATATATCGATTTACTTTAAACAATATTTATTTTTTTATAAATATTGAAAATCGGATCGGCCAACAGACAATGTCCATCTAAAGACCTATTGTATACAAATATTACAATTTACAATTCACAACACACAGTTGATGAAAAAAAGTCGACGGTATATATAAATATCTAAATGTACGAAACTGTCTTTGTCGTTTATTGGTTTACAAAATAAAACCAAACGCAGGACGCATAAAATCCACATAAACCCCGACGGATACAACAGCAACGAATATATCTTTCCGAAATGTTTCAATGTGCTATTGCAATGCTATTGCAATAGCACATTGAAACAAATTGAATATAGATACAAAATAGCTGTTCGGTTGAGTTGATGTTAACTTGCCTTGTGTCACGTGCCTTTCATTGCCTCATATACAACGTTTCGTCGTGGGGGATATGAGGGATTTATTCCCCTACCCAGATAAGTAAGTCTACGTCGATTTCTACAGTGAATTATTTGGTTTGTTTTAGTACCAAATAAGAAATGAATTATGTGCCTTAAAATGTCCTCTAACATATTCCAATCATGCACAGCAGATGGCGACCCGTAGGTTGTTAGATCAGGTCTACAGCAGCCCGTGCTTGTGATAAGAGGCGACTAACCGGATCGGGTTGATGAATGTCATCGTATCCCAATTGCGTAGATCGATGTTCATGATGTCAATCACTGGATTGTCTGGTACAGACTCGGCTAATTACAGACCGTCGTCAGATTGCTGGAATATTGCTGGAGTGCGGAGACAAATATAGTACATATAAACTGCGTTCACAAATATATTCTCATAAAAAGTAGGGGATCGTGAATTATTAATGTGAATACCAACCAAGTATTAGAACAATGGTACGCAAGAATGTTTATGTACGTTATACATAACACCAAAACACACCCTGTAGTTTGCACGTGCCTCACACAGTAGCGTCACACACCTGCCAGTCTTATTGACTCTGCGTATCATACTGGTGTGATTTACTTTATTTCATTCATTGTTTGTGTAAGAACTGGCGATGACGCGTCGGCAATGCACGGAGCGTCCACGGGCTATTGGCTAGAAACTGGCAAAAGTAAGCGGGCAGTGGCCAATACGTTCAATATTTCACAAACCGGTGATAAGCAGACTATGGAACAGGTACCAACAAACCCAAAATGTTGACGATCGACCCCGTTCAGCGTGTCCCAGGTCAACGACAAGAGTACAGGATTGATTGACCCGAAACTAGGCTCTACGGAATCGAGCTCAAAAAGCGAATCGAATACGTTACTTTCGGGACAACATACTGACACCCATTGTTGTCCGGTTTGCAAGGAGTGTGGGTCGACGTGTTGTCTTTCAGGATGGTAATGCCCGTGCTCACCGTACACGAATCGTTAATGCTCACCTGCAACATCTATACAATGCCACGGCCAGCAATGAACCCAGACCCTCCCTCCATTGAACGTCTAGGACGTCAACGTCATAGGCCACCGACCACGTTGGCCGTACATGGTCAGGGTCTGCCAGAGGAGTGGGACAGACTCCCTCAAATCGCCACTGGGAGCTTCGTCGAGTGAAGGAATGTTTAACAAATCGGGATTGTATAACGCACTTCTGATCCAAAAACGTCATCTTTGGAATTTCCCTCTTACCTCTATCGTTCATGATCGTCATCTGTCATAAAATCTACCGTCATACTTCGCTACTGGTTGTAATGTGTTGGCAGAGAAGTGTGGATCTCAGAGGGGATTAGTTTTACAATTAAGTAGCAACCAACTCATTGACTCAACCGCAGTCAATCATTGTTAGACGTAGAACTGTTTATCCATTCCACGTATTCAACAACTAAAGCAGTTTTAGCAAGTTTGAAATCTTCAAAGCTCCGTGTTTTTCTCGATTGGGTTTAAAAGTAAACATTGCTGCAGCCAACTGACAGAAATAAGATATGGCATACACAAATATTCGACGGTTATTCAGAAATCGTCAGAAATATTCCGTTGAAATTTCGTCCATGACCGTACAGTGTTAAAATAAAGCGACAAAACTCTTTCCTTATCCATAAGAAGAGTCGAGTCGATTGTACGATTCCGACTATATCATGAGCATGTATTTATAAATCACTAACAAACAGGGATGTCAGTTGTTCACCTGAAAACAAACAAAACACGGGAACATATGGTACAAGTCAAAATAGGGGACTGCATCGGACATCATTTTTGTCATGGATGCGTCAAATTTGGAAATGTCCTCCACATGTCCACCATAAAACTTTACTGAGGACTTGGATATTGTAACCTTGATCAAACAACCTCTGAGCAAGAGTCGTATGGCGCTCTTTGAAATCTTGGTATAAAGAGCCGGGCTGATGTGTGTTCTTTAGGGATTGATTATGTTGTTCATGCATAAACGAAACATTTACAGATCACGTGTGTCCTTCATCTGATGCAGACACCATCTCTCTGCGGGAATCATCTCCTGTAGTTACAATCAAAATAAACAGCGGTATCGCCATGAATCTGTTTTCTTTTATTTCAATCGTTTCAAGTTTGGGGAATTTAAAATCAATTTCCAACCGTGCAAATATTTTCGTTATGTAAATATACCGCTGAGCAAAAGAAAGTACATTTTCATCATTCTCAGATAAATCCAAATTGAATCGATAAACTGCCCATTACTACCAAACGTTGTAAATGTAAGTAATAGTGAGTGAGTAAGTGAGTTGGGTTTAACGCCGCTTTTAACAGTATTCCAGTTATATCGCGGCGTGTCAGCTTATTGTGGGAGGAAAGCCCAAATTTATACAGGCCTAAGACGTTTACCACTTCGGTGAAACCCCCGAGCATGGGTATGGTGCTGACAAACCTAGAAACATAATCGGGGCGAACCGGGATTCGAACCAACAATCATAGGTTTCCGGCGTGCCCAAGGGACGCAACACTGCACAGCGAATCGCGGCGCCTTAGACGACTGGGCCACCCGTGCCCCCCCCCCCCCCCCAAATGTAAGTAATAACATTTATGAGTAATGTGTATATGATATTATAATCCCGAGTATCCTAACTCAGACAGTGATACAGTTCGATAGTAGCTGATACTTTCTTCTACGTAGAGTATAATAACATATACGTAGATGTAAGTATCATCTACATAAATGATATTTTAGAATGTGGCACAAATACGCTTCCATAAAATTCCATTTCATGTCAATGGTGACATTTTATACAAAAGAAAATCCTGAGCTTTAGCATTGAAGTTTTATTTCAGGATGTTTTGATGCGCATGGGCACATATTGATCTATGCTCTTAACATATGGCTAACGTTCTCACATTGAAGAAAGTAGTCACACACACACTGAAATAAAACAAACAAAGAAACAAAAATAATAAAAAAACGGATGCACTCTAAAAGAAGTATTAGTTTCCGGAAACCAGTTCTACAGAATATCGACTTAGATGGAGAAATGTAAATGTCAGTGTGCTTCCTCTTGTGGTAGCACTAAGCGTTTTATGATATTTTTGTAAACGGGTACGTGACTGTTCTATCACAATCAAATTGTGATCTTCTTCTGCAATTAGTGGAATGAAGATAATAGCTGGCTGGTTGTCCATAACGTGAAAATAAACGTAAACGACAAGATACAATGTTATTTCTACTGCCATCAACCGAATGAGACGACCTTGTTGATAAAGGCCAGCAATACCGTCAAGGGGCGCCTGATGCTTAAAATATGGCGTTTTATTATCTTATCGCAAACACTGTGTTCCTTGATGAAGACCATGAGAAAAGTAGAGGTTGAAGATCTCGTGTATATGATGAAGTGTGAAAATCACATTTGTGTTTTAAATATGCATCTATCTCGAGCATTCGTTGTGGTTTGACGATTGACAAACTAACAATTCATTGGCCATGAATATTTTCTGTGTTTACCGTTAAGTGGCTATTAAAGGCGATCCTTCGGTGCGATGAGTGAAACCCACAGAGAAGATTAGCAATATCATTGACACATAGAAAGTGGTTCAAACAGGAAAATTCCTGAAACAGAGACCGTTATTTTAAACAATTTTGGCTAGAAACGTTTTAGTATTAGAAGGTGTTTTCTCCTAATATAAACCAGGTTCTCAAAGGTCAGTGGGAGGTGAATACTGAACGGCCCTGGCGGGTGGGACCTTGGTCCACACTTGTTGAGTGGGAGGTGACCATGGTACACACATGACGAGTGGGAGGTGACCATGGTACACACATGACGAGTGGGAGGTGACCATGGTACACACATGACGAGTCGGAGGTGACCATGGTACACACATGACGAGTCGGAGGTGACCATGGTACACACATGACGAGTGGAAGGTGACCATGGTACACACTGGGCGTGTGGGAGGTGACCATGGTCCACACATGACGAGTGGGAGGTGACCATGGTACACACATGACGAGTGGGAGGTGAATACTGAACGGCCCTGGCGGGTGGGACCTTGGTCCACACTTGACGAGTGGGAGGTGACCATGGTACACACATGACGAGTGGGAGGTGACCATGGTACACACATGGCGAGTGGAAGGTGACCATGGTACACATGGCGAGTGGGAGGTGACCATGGTACACATGACGAGTGGGAGGTGACCATGGTACACATGGCGAGTGGGAGGTGACCATGGTACACACATGACGAGTGGGAGGTGACCATGGTACACATGAGGCGAGTGGGGGTGACCCTGGTAAACACAGGTCGAATGGGAGGTGACCATGGTACACATGGGGCGACTGGGGGGTGACCATGGTACACACATGACGAGTGGGAGGTGACCATGGTACACACTGGATGAGTGGGAGGTGACCATGGTACACACATGACGAGTGGGAGGTGACCATGGTACACATGGGGCGACTGGGGGGTGACCATGGTACACACTGGGAGAGTGGGAGGTGACCATGGTACACAATGGGCGAGTGGGAGGTGACCATAGTACACACTGGGCGAGTGGAAGGTGACCATGGTACACACTGGGAGAGTGGGAGGTGACCATGGTACACAATGGGCGAGTGGGAGGTGACCATAGTACACACTGGGCGAGTGGAAGGTGACCATGGTACACACTGGGAGAGTGGGAGGTGACCATGGTACACAATGGGCGAGTGTGAGCTAGGTGACTATTGTACACACATGTCGAGTGGGAGGTGACCTTAGTACACACATGTCGGGTGGGAGGTGACCATGGTACACACTTGGCGAGTGGAAGGTGACCATGGTACACACTGGGCGAGTGGGAGGTGATATGGTACACACTGGGCGAGTGGGAGGTGACCATGGTACACACATGGCGAGTGGTAGGTGAGCATGGTACACACTGGGCGAGTGGGAGGTGATATGGTACACACTGGGCGAGTGGGAGGTGACCTTGGTAAACACTGGGCGAGTGGTAGGTGAGCATGGTACACACTGGGCGAGTGGGAGGTGATATGGTACACACTGGGCGAGTGGGAGGTGACCATGGTACACACATGGCGAGTGGTAGGTGAGCATGGTACACACTGGGCGAGTGGGAGGTGATATGGTACACACTGGGCGAGTGGGAGGTGACCATGGTACACACATGGCGAGTGGTAGGTGAGCATGGTACACACTCGGCGAGTGGGAGGTGAGCATGGTACACATATGACGAGTGGGAGGTGAGCATGGTCCACACTGGGCGAGTGGGAGGTAACCATTGAACCGTCATTGCGAGTTGGAAGTGGAATGATCATTAATCCTTTTCTATTCAAGTATTTAATTTTAAATCGCACTTTAATTAACCGTGTGAATTTTGTATTTATGAGTATGGAGGCGGGGATTCAAACTAACAACATTAGACACAATAGTTCGAGTGTTCTAATCTGTCTGAACAACGGGTCATATCCATACAACATATTAAGATGTAAATTGCTTTTTACAACATCGTGTACATCAGATCGTCATATGTTAAATAGGTCTTTGGTGACTTGGGTTATTAAGCGCTTGTCTTAGGGAAGTGTGATTTTGCATTGTTTGCCAAAGTTGATGGGTCTGTATGAACTATAAAACAACGGCTACCAAATTTTTTTCGTTCAATGTAGGTGCAATGTGTAGCAGAGCCATGTGGCTGAAGCATACGTGTATATATCCCCATTCAAAAACAGATATGCTCTCCGTTTTTATGTAAGTACATATTCAACAAAATATAAAAATAGTTTGCATGTCGCTGTGCTTGAAGAGTACACTACACTTCGCCTTTCGAATCCCGCTCTCAACACACACGTTTTAATCGTATTAATCTGAATCAATTTGAACCAGGAAATCTCACTGACAAATGCAGATTGGACACGGTTTTAGACATACATCCCCAGTGTAAGACTAGCTAATCATCTGATATTTGTCTAAGTGTTCAATGATATGGGCCCGCCGTCATATTGCTGGGATATTGCTAAAAGCGGCGTTAATCCATACTCACTCACTCACTCAATGATATGGGTTACTATATTAGCTAAAGAAGTAACCACAATAAATGTTGTTTCAGAAAATGAGAACATTGCTCTCGATATAAACTTAATCTGATTAGACTTAATATCTTCGTTAGATAGATCCTATCGCATAGCTGACATTGAACGTGGCAGTCTTGTTACTTTTATATTAGGGCAAAGAGATCGATGAAAACACGGATTTGAACCCTTACATCAGAACGATGTGTGAAGCTCACTATTTGTGATATTGGTGGAATATTGCACAAAGAAAGGCATACCATCATACTAAGACGCTTTCTATCCTACGAGACAAAAGGATCAACTGCAAAATGTCTACCTCGGTATCAGTGGAGAATATGAGTGTACAATAGTAACTACACTGGTAGATTAACTTAAAATACGTGAGATGGATAGTCTTTTCTCAGTGTGTACGTATGACCAGATTTATTATATGACTAAGCTTTATTAAGTGAAGGGTTGAACTATCCGTGTTATAACGAGAATGTGGGCTCCACTGCCTATGAGATTTATTCATCCACTTTGCCAGTCCAACATAATGCCAACAATTAGAATTCCTTTCATTCTTCTTCATCACTTATGTCACATGTGCTCGATGATTGAAATGTCAGTAATAAATACTTTCCAGTTACATGCGCTCACCGATTGAACCACCATTCCTCCTGCTTGGCACATCTATACTACAGATGACAAATTACTAGTACATGACAACAATTTGATCGTTATTAACATACATGCCCAATACGACCTTCATTATTACTGTGTAGAGATTAAATGAAAAAAATGCAGCAAAGAGGGTTTAGGTGATCCTGGCACAGTCAGGCAGCCCCGACAGCAAATGGGACTTCTCCGAGGAAGCGCTGCCTAGTCACACCCACCCAGAACTTTTCGGAGAATGTGAAGACTCCCCAACACTGCAGCCTTCTGCATTACCCAGATTGTCAGAAGGGCTGTTTTTCTGGTAGCAAACCCGGGTACTCTTCCAATGTCAGTCAACAGATTGGGAGGTACCAAGCCTAAGGCTACGAGAACAATAGGGAGTCGGACAACATGGTGCTTGGGATGCAAGCGTGACATTTCGAAAGCGAGGTCTGCATATTTGCCATGTTTTTCCTCAATCTTATCAATCACATCAGTGTCAAAGGGGACAGAAAACCCAATTATATAAATGATTTCATTGGATTTATCAAAAAGGACAAGATCAGGTTTGTTGGCCTGGATATGTCTGAGGCTGTAAATGGGCCTATTCCAAAGAATTTTGTATTTATCATTTTCCATGACACCCTCTACATATTCTGGGTCGTACCATGGATGGACCTCTGTGTCAAAACATAAAAGGATCGAGCCACCCCATCATGTCGCTTAAGACACTGTGTCTGTGCCTAAGCTGGGCATCCACTCACAATGTGTTTGACAGTCTCATTACATTCATTACATAATCTACGTGTCATATTCATATTTTGATGCAAAATCACACATTGACGGTTTCGAGTGTGAAGTGCCTGGTCCTGAGTAGCAAACAGAAAGCCTTCTGTTTCACTTTTCAGGCCAGACGACTTCATCCAAGTGAAGGACTCTGTAGGATTGTTGATCTTCTCAACACACTGCACATAAACTCGATGCAGTGGTCGTGGCCTCTCCTTGAAAAACTGAGTCTGGGCCGATTTGAAATGGCACTTCGCTTGGTTGACACTCATTTCTGTGCTGTCCAGTAATACAGAACCATCAACAAAATCAACACCGACATTGAGATTATGTCCCACATCTTTGGCTCGTTTAAGAAAACTGTGGAATACCTTGTTTTCATCATGAGTATTGACATGCTTCACAAGAAGATCATCAGACAAATAAATGTGTGCAAAAGTGCTATTATTATTATTATTATTACTATACATCGCACCTACCTTTGAATTATTCCATATTAGGTTCAGCTTATATCCCGGAAGGACATCCTCCCGCTCGTTAATCTGTTCCAGGCCAATCTGGACAGCGTTCAACAACGCCACCCCTCCGGGCCATGCCCCCTCGAAGGGGAAAAGTCCAAGAATATATAAGTCAATTTGGCAAAAGCACTTCGTCAGCATGACGAAAATGGCAGATACAAACAGCAAAAACATACTGAAAATTTAACTCGTCGTCCAGTACAGAAACAATATGTCAGCTCCTTGACAAATTATCACAGTACCATTGGGACTTCGTTTGCATCATATGCTTCGATGTTTTCACTGGTTCCAAAGAGTTTCCCCATAACCGGCTGTGGACTGCACACCTTAATCCACAAGGTACAGTCTATTGGTAAAAAGAATATATTCCATGCTAGGTGGTCAAACCATTCTTGTGCAGTATTTTAGCAATTTCAGTGAAAGGTCTTCAAAAATCACGACAGCATGGCGTTTTTAACTCGCAACAAAAATACAGGAACAGGCACGACTCGGCAGTTTGAAATATATTTGACGAAAATGATAAACATCGTGAAAATATTTTATGAGAATCAGTCTCACCAGCACTCCACATCAACGATTATCCTAACCATTCACTCAATATAGTTAGGACAGTGTGCCATTCGCTCTCGCAACTCCATCTTAACAACCCACATCGGTTTGAGTGGAACTGACAGTCTTTATCCTACATAAACATGAGATTTAACTCCAGAGCACATGTCTCTTGCCATTCGCCCGACTCCGCTCTCCAAGAGCCAATGGTGCCACTCGAAGGCATACTCATTGATTTATCTCCCAACTCCGGCTGTCGTTGAGACTGGCGTCATTGGTCAGTGAACAGGTGGAGAGACAGACTGAGTACCTGGTCAAAACCCGTTAGTCCCGTTAATCTGTTACATGATGTTGAAGATCAAGGCGAATGAGTATGGGTTGTGGTATTGGTAAATCCGAAGTTGAGCTTCATGAAATTGCGTGATCTACCCATCGGTTACAAGGTCTTTAATAATCCATTACAACTGGCAGAGATTTTGAAATGTACGTCCAGATTCATCCTCAGAAATAATCAGCCGTGATAGAAACGACGTAGCGAGGAATGAGTTCTGTGTGGCTGACATATAGTTATTTCCGTTATGAATGATAATTACAACTGTATAAGGACGACTGTATTGAGTTTGATATGCTATTGCAAACTCGTTACTTCAAACAAGAGCCGATCTCTATGCACATGTGTCGATGGAGGAGACTGCAGGGAAGAGACAATGACATGTATTTGGCTAATGGTTAGCTCCTCGTCCCACAAAAAACGTCCAGGGTTATACCACACGAGGGCTTCACTTCAGTAGTCATCAAACATGAATTAACATGAAGAAGTAGTTCATTCTTCTTGCCACGGAAGCACTCCCTTTGATATCGAGGTTGCTTTTGATGTTATTGATTGGGCCATTCATAGTGACTATATACATTTTACAATTTCTCACGTAAATAATTATTCTAGAATATGAATGGTAGATCTAAATTATGGTTATAAATGGAGTTCATTTGGAAACCCTATCTTTAAATAAATAAAGTTCAAGGACATTTTGAGAGCGCCCAGTCGACTCTTTCAAGGAACATGTAGAACGGTAAGCCGGTTAAGTATAGGAGTGACTTGAGGTGAGGTGAAATGGGGTTTAACGTGTTCAAGATTATTGCACTTCTACAGCGACGTGCATGTACGTGTGTTTGCGTGTATCTGCTTATAATAGTACGGACTAACGCCAAACAGGGTAACAACAAGTAACGTCTTTTAACGTCTTTTTGTATGACGCGACCACGGGATGGAAGTACCGCTCTTCAGCTCTTGTGCCAGACGCCCTAGCCACTAGGCCACGGAGACGGCCCGGTTTACTATTGATGTCCGTGTACAAGGGATCGGCAGTAGAAGCAATGACACAAGTCGAAGTAGTAATAATCTACACAAGGAGTGTTGTTGCAGCTGCAGTCTCTAATAATAATAATAATGATGATGATGATGATGATGATGATAGTAATAATAATAATAAAAATTACTCCACAATGCCCATATCAAGGGCAAATTTTGGGCAGAGTACAAGTGTAGACTTACGAAAATCTGGAATTCAGAGCTAAACGCTCGCAATAAAGTAAAATCCACAAATATTTATGCTGTACCCGTCCTTTCATGTTCTTTTGGTGTTGTTGATTGGACAAAACAAGAAATTCAGGGCATTGACACCCTCACACGAAGAGTCATGTCAGACAATAGATCCCAACATCGCTCTTCCCTCAATCGCATATATTTACCAATCATGATGGGAGGGCGTGGTTTGATTAACGTTGGGGCTGTTCATGATAAAATTGTTTTGTGCACTTTTGCACACATTTTTCTTCTGATGATCCTCTAGTGAAGCATGTCAATACTCATGATGAAAACAAGGTATTCCACAGTTTTCCTAAACGAGCCAAGGCTGTGGGACATAATCTCAATGTCGGTGTTGATTTTGTTGATGGTTCTGTACTGCTGGATAGTACAGAAATGAGTGTCAACCAAGCGAAGTGCCATATCAAGTCGGCCCAGACTCAGTTTTTCAAGGAGAGGCTATCTAAACGACCACTGCATCGAGTTTATGTGCAGTGTGTTGAGAAGATCCGCAACCCTGTAGAATCCTTCGCTTGGCTTTCTGTTCGCTGCTCAGGACCAGTCACTTCCCATTCGAAACCGCCAATGTGTGATTTTGCATCAAAATGTAAAATATGAAATGTAGATTATGCAATGCATTTAATGAGACTGTCAAACACATTGTCAGTGTGTGCCCAGCTTTGGCACAAACACAGTAATACATTATCTGTCTTAATGAGGTTGAATTCAAGTGAGTACTCAAGATTGCGCATTATGTAATGTTATAGATAATACAATAGTGGTGAGTACATGTAGAACGTAAGCCGTAAGGTCATATCGCGTTAATACCTGAGGTAGCTACATACACATTAGACATAATCACCAAATACACAATGTCATCTTCATAACTGCGTATGGCATAAGCGCGAACGCTTTACAAAAGGTCGATGGACTCTAGGGCTGTTTTCGAATATAAGGTGAAACTAGGAACATGATTGTGCTCAATTTCAGAAACGTGTTACAAATAGCCAGATGTTCGTGAAGAAGAAAACATTCATTCATGTATAAAATAATTCAATTATTTCAGGCCATTTACTTTTGGTTTGAAAGTATTAATAAAATAACATTCTTTTATCTTTCTCAATGCATCATTGTCACATTTATAAAATGGGAATATCACAAAATTTGGTGTTTTATTCCCGGCACACTGATGAATGTGTTGACTGAGTGGGATACACCGACAAGAGTGGTCTCTTATTTGTTGTCGGTGAACCCACACTGTCGATCTTAGGGTGTCCCCTGTCTGTCCAATATATTCGGCCTTGCATCCAGCACATTGTATGACATAAATCAAGTTTTTTGAAGCACAATTCATATTTTCACGGACATAGAAAGTTGTTCCGTCTTTGAATGTAAGAGAACAACATTGTAAAACATGAGGGCAAGTACCACAATTTGGTCTGTTACGCTTCTGTACTGTTTTACATTCTTGTTTTCCATTTGAGAAAGAAGCCCTAGTAAGAATCTGTTTCAGATTTTGGCTCCGTCTTTTACTTTTAATAAGTTTATATTGTGATATGTTTTGTTCTAGTTCTTTACACTTATTTAAGGGATATAGTGTTTCCCGAACACTTCCAAATATTTCCGGGTTTTGGGGATTAAAGGTTGTTACAAAAGGGAGAACTCTCTCGTTAGGTTTATCTTTAGGTTTTAAAAGATCACAACGGTTTTGTGATTTAGCCTTGTTTATTGCGTCTTCTACTATTTTTCTAGGGTAGTTTCTTTCTAATAGTGACTCCCTCAGTTCATCGAGTCTATATTGTGCATGATCTGAATTAGATACTATCGCGCAGATTCTACGTGCTAATGAGTAAGGAACACTGTTTTTAGTATGACGGGGGTGACAGGAATTGTAATTGAGGTATTGCTTGGAATCGGTTGGTTTGTAATATACATCTGTTTCAATGTTACTGTTTGAAATTGTAACCATTACATCTAGAAACGATAGATTGTTATCGCTTATCTCCAAAGTAAAGATTAAACTTGGATGGAGTGTATGTATGTTTTACATGGCATGTCATGGGGTACTGTTGTACGGCATCGGGCAACTCACAAAGCCTTTTTTATGCAAATTGTGTGAGAAGCGGGTTCCACCGGTAAGTCAGGAGATTTCCAGGCTTTTCCAGATATCAAGGCTATTTTATCCCATCCGCCTACTATGAACTCATTAAGCAATAGTCACCCCACCTATATATATACTTATCCTGTTAAATTGGCTTCCCCATCATATGTTCTCTGTCCATCATGTGTTCTCTGTCCATCATATTGTTACAGTATTATCTCTCTGTTGTCATTACTTAACCTACTCATGTTAATCTCTCTCTCTCTCTCTCTCTCTCTCTCTCTCTCTCTCTCTCTCTCTCTCTCTCTCCGTTGTAACTGTTTATCCTTCACCTACTATATTTATTCTATACCATGTCCATCATTCAGTCTTGCTTGACAACGGTATAAGGATCTATACCGAAACGTCGCCTTGACAGTAATGAAATAAGTTGTTATGCAAATATTGTGTCTACTTTGTGATCTGTCAACTTCTAAGTAATGCCTATCAAACAAGTCAGGATATGTTTATCCTTTTTGCGAACACCTGGTGTCACCACTGATTTTCAGTGACCTATTCATGTAATGTTCGCCGCTATTTTGCTTTTTACTCCAAATATAAACTGTTCCGTCGGATAATCGAGACTTGTTATTCTCTTGCGTAGACATTTTCTAATAATGTAAACACACAGAACACCCAACATGTTTTACTGCCGATGTTCGAAACAAGCTTATTTCTTTACTTCGAAAAGCAAATTCAAACTTAACACAAATCGGCCTTGTTCGAATTGCTAAATAAACCACGAAGCCGAAGGACATTTAGAAATCTGTGTATATTTATTGCCTCATATTCCCACTCGAAAGCTAGGTTTAATATAAGATAGGCATATGTGACCACATACATTCACAAGCCTCTACCCAGCCACCCGTGACGCACACTGCACGTTTTCTTTCAACACCCGACCTTGTTCATTCATCTGCTGACGATCAATAACACTGATTTGAAGAAAGCTAAATGTCAGTTAATCTTTTACACCTTTCAACACAACACAAAGCCACCCTTATAGAGTACGTAACCTGCATACCACATCGAAATTGAGGGACCGTATTATTCACAAAGGGAAGTAACTGAGGGGTATTCATAAATGCGTCATTCTTCTCTATGTCAATATAGGATTTCAAAGACGTTATACCTTCGCCTCATGTCTTTCTTTTGATTGAATCAAAACTGTCCCGACAACTATGTCATATCCTCAATGTATACCAAGTCGTGAAACTAGCGGATATATATAACAAGAACACAGCATGTTGGTGTAAAACAAGGATATGTGCTGGGCCCGGATGCGAGAAAATGTGGTGAATAAGTTATGTTATTACTCAGCCTACACCTGTCCAGTTGATTTGTGATTTCATTATTGGATGGATGTTACTACCTAGTAAATCAGCGAGGTAAGTATACAGTGAACACTGTGACATAAATAAGGGGTAGGGCAAGGGTAGTTCCTACCTCTGTATCTATTTACGAACTATTGTCGAAAAAAGGCTCTAAAATTGATATCACGTTTCTACTGTGGCCTTGTAGCATCAAAAGTCAACATTAGTCACAACACGCCCGTAGATTGCTTTACTAGTCATGTGTTTCATACTGTGGTTATACTTCAGTGAACAGAACTTTTTTCTCACAGGACGTGTGTCACGCATGACTTTTAGTGAAGCAACGACACACTATGTAGGACCTAGTCGGCTTCTCATTGCCAAAGCATGTATCATAAACATTAAGCAGACCAGGAATATCTTAAATTTAACACATATTTGACGATGAATGTTTGTATTCTCTTTTTCTGTATATGGGTCGAACAGATCTTATTTCCACTACTAGTATTTAGCAACCATATATATGAAATAAGTTTCCAACGTAATTTTAGTATTTTAAATGATTCGTAGTTTATCTTTATTGCGAAACTAGAAACACACTATGTGTGGAAACGTATTCGTAATAACGTAAGCCACACTCCAACATGTACACATCTGTCTTATATATTTTGACATATTTTGCGACCTACCCACATGTGCACCCATCTTATAAATAGTTTATGATATTCAGCCTACACAGCCAGGCACTCTGTTGGCTTTGTCCCAGTTCGCATAAGTGGCCACACCCATTAGTGACTTCGTCTTCTTCATTGTGAGAAGATTACATTACATCCAATAGCCTTGCCCACTAGACCACAAACGAGTTACTCAAAGGATAAATATATCCTATATAACTGTAGTCGTACATCGCGTTAAACACACGTTTACTTCGGTTTCCTGCGGAAAGCAGTGTTGTGTTGCTATTGATACAATGTCTTTAAAAATGTTTATATATAATTCATAGGTGTGGCAGAAGATATTCGGCATTTGTTATCTGTTCTTTTTGTTTTAATAAAGCAAGCTAATTCTGTCAACTAGAAAACAGAAACATAGGCGAGTGAGTATTGTTTAAGGCCGCTTTGAACAGTATTCCAGTTATATCACGACGTGTCAGCTTCATGTTGGAGGAAAGTCCGTAGTGATACATGTTTCACACGTTTACTATTTTGGGTGAAGAATATTATGTCAAAAGTATATTAACTTATGATGTTTAGTAGGAACTCAAAACTGTAACAGGAAATAACTAACATCAAGTGCTCACTGTACATCTACAGTAAACTACGGTTATAACGAAACACCACTGATTTTAATACGTTATAACCGTAGTTCGTTATAAGTAAATGTACACCATCTGTACGGCACAAAGAAACAGTTCGTTATATCCGACAGTTCGTTATAAGCGTGTTCGTTATAAACGTAGTTTACTGTATATGGATAACAGAGTTTGTAGTTAGAAGTGTTTGCACAATAAAACGCAAGCATGTAAGTACGTTAATGCCCTGTCAGCAAACACAGAACAATCACGAAGACAACTGTGCTAAGCTCAAACATCAATCAATAAATCTAATAAATACGTATGCTGTTTCATATTGTAAACCGAATGAAAGTGTATGCGGCAATCTGATTGGTTGAATAACGTTAAGGAGGCATTTGAAATCTGGAAATATTTTGCAAAATTAACTGCGTATGAATTTCTTTCCTGATTAGAATCAGATCGAGGATCAGGCAACGTTACTCTCAGCATTGCAACAAGAATACCTCATCCATTGTATTTTTGCGTTTGATAAATACTTGTGAGAAAGTTGCTGATTTAGCTGTTTTGGTTCTGTACTCTGCAAACAAGGCGGATTCTGTAGTGTTGGACACACACGGCTTCATCAGTCTATCGCGACGTTACAGTGTTCCAGATTGACGGGCTCATAGCTACTTAAATCTCTGCGTAGAATGAGAGTGAAACGGAAAACTACAGATAACTTTTCGTATTTACAATGTCGATATATAAACGGTATGTTTTTGGTTGATGTTGAGTATTCGATGCCCGGAAGTTTGAGAATAAACACCGCAAATCACATATGTTTATCTACTCGGCGTTTTAAGCGTTGGAGTACAGCTTAAATTCCGTTAATAACGTAAATACCTTATGTTTATAGTTGTCTTCAGACTTAAAGAAATAGCTGTGTACATTCCGCTGACGAAGATATATGTCAACATCATGGAATAACGGTTCATTTCTGTCTTATATTTTTGTTTTTTATTCATATGTGGATACTTAGTAATGGGGAAATCCAGATTTATGCTTCAATGTATAAACTATTAAAAACCATCGATGCAATCATGTAAAGACAACACCTGCGAAGCTGTAAGTCAATATTGATACATTCGCAGTCGACACATTCAGAACGCAAGACAGGCGATGTATTTAAATGTGTCTGTTTGAAGTGGGCATACCATTAAAAACTTCACATTCTGCAAATATTTACGATACATCTGAGGCAATAATAATAATAAAGTGTTGGATGGAATAAAAACTTTGGCATTATTATAGGAAAAAGGTGGGGGCTCGGTACCACAGCTGAACTTTTTGTGAAAGATAAAAATATTGATTCTATCGAAAAAAAGAAATTATCCCCTAAAAGTCTTGAACATAATGACTGTTGAAAAAAGGAATTGCCTGCCAAAAAACTTTCATTGTCGCAAGGTGTTAATCTTAAACAGAAATTCAGGCTTAGAGTTTTTAAGTAAAATATCTGGTTTTGTAGCTGAAAACAATATCTTATCACGGAGTTTATCGAAGGTCAAACGTTTCTCACCCTTTTGAGCTTAAATTGGATCAGGATAAAAATGATGAAAATGGATAATCGCACGAGATATTCATGTCTCAATCTAAACGCTGAAAAATATTTATTTGATAAGATTATAGTCGCAAGAGGTCACATTGACCGTTGGGCTGCAACACTGTATGTTAACATGCACACGGTGCTACATGAGGAGTGAGTGAGTTTAAATTTAACGTCACATCGGCAGTATCTCAGCCATATAGTGACGAGGCTACATGAGGAACAGACACCATGTAAGCAACTGGCACCCCCTGGCGATTGAGGGGCATGATAGGTCACTAATACTGTATGTTTGTAGAGACCTATTTCTATAAGATGGGCTATGGCCTGGCTGATTGTGTCTAATCATACTCCGCAGACTGAATCTTCTCTCATGATGTCATAGTTTCTCTAGCCGCCGTGATATAGCTGTACCATTGCTGCCAAAACAACATTGACACACGTCAGTTCATACTTTCTGATAAATCAACTCAACTACATTGTATTAATAGGATATGGGTGGCCCTTTACGGTGACGCCAACCGATCCATTTTGTTACCCCGACGAGCACAGGTTGTCAGGAACCTACTCAAACTATTAAACACGTCATGATATTATTGATCAACTGATATTCATATCAATCGACCACATCCGTGGTCTAGTGGTAGAGCGTCCGCCCGAAGAGCATAAGGTCCAGGGTTCGATACCCAGGCACGTCATACCAAAATACGTTAAAACTTGTTATTACCCTGCCTGGCGCTCGGTATTGAAGGGTACAAGAAGGACTCGGAGTCAGTATGCTGTGTCTGAATGGGGTATTCGTGTTACACTGCGGTGGGCTTGCACTATAAAATCGGCATAAGTCCAGACTAGTACAAGCAGCCACACACACACACACACACACACACACACACACACACACACACACACACACGAACGTCGCAACCATACAATGTGTGAAGCCGATTTCTGGTGTACCCCGCCGTGATATTGCTGGAATAGTTTTGTAAACGGCGTAAAACCATACTCACTCACCTAAACCCCATTTCAGATGAGTGAATGAAAGTTGGAGTACTCTGTAGTCAGTAATATTACAACACTATTATGAGCACGGAAATTAATTGACTCTGGACCAGACAAGCCAGTGGTTGATAGCAATCTTATCTGTCGCTACATCCCCTGTCTTCACTGTCACAACGACCCACGCTGTTGGATAAAGTATGTTCCTGATGTTATACATAGATACATGTGACAGATTCTATCCCGAAATCCCAACGGGGGAAAGAACAAAATCAGCTTCATACAGTTTTTTCAGTTGTGTAATCTTTTCTTATTCCACAGAAACTTTCATACAATGACAAGGGAGTGACACAATGGTCAACAGATACGCCGTGTGCATCTGCGCTGTCGTGCTCATATGTTTTGGCTGTCAATCTGAAGCAGGTGGCGTAAGTACTGCAGGGTTAACGTGAGCTGCTACCTGTTACTGTGGGATTGAGAATTAGTTTAGTCTTTTTGCTTCAATTATGCCAGTGTCAGGGCTGTTTATATCTTTCTACAGCTTTATGTGAAAAAAAGAACTTAGAAATATCCGGTCAACCAAAACACAAGGGATCATCAGTGGAGATGCCGTACAAGTTGTGACAGAATACAAGAACATGTACCTCGGGACCATCACTGACAATAACTTGACGCTTCCCAAAACACAGGTGCCACATACAGCAAGTGTCAATCTCGCCTCCAATTTTCATGAAAACTGAGATATTTTGATATTGACTCTACAATAATGCTTTTATTTCATGAAAATTGTGTTCAGTCAATCTGAAGCAATCTTATCTGTCTTATCACTACAAAACAAGATTTGATTGAAGAAAAGTGTAAGATTAGGAGGAAGATTACCTAATGTCTATGTGAATCTTGACGTTTTATACCACAAGAATGTTGTCAAGTTAGCCTCATAGATATTAGACGATTTATTTCACTTTTTAAACTCTTGTTATTCTGTTTTACCATCTGGAGGAAGATGTCTCATTCCGAAAGTTAAATCTAGACAATCCAACACCTCTTTTATTCCTGTTAGCATATCACTTTTCAACAAATGTTAAATCTGAATGTTTTTACCAACTGGACGAAGATACCTCATTCCAAAAGTTAAATCTATACAATCAAAGACCTCTTTTATTCCAGTTAGCATATCACTTTTAAATAAATGTTAAATCCCAGTGTTTCTAATCTTTTTAAACCAACATCTATAGCCCATGTATCGTGTAATAATAAACGTTTTAATGCTCTTAATGTTGTATGTTCCATGTTATGTTTTAAATGTCTATTTGTATTCGTTTAATCCCCTCAATGTATTATGTTTTGTGTAACATTTGTGATGCTCTGATGTATGAAGAATCCCCTTACGGGCAACAAATCTTTTGTTATTGTCCAGTAAAAGACATTTAAAAAGCCTATCTCAACTCGGACTGGGTAATGTTTATTGGTTATCTTCTGTTTATCAGTCGGAGTTTGTTAATGACTAAGACAAGTCTTTATACTGTGAACACATATCCTCGTTTCAACAGAGTGAAGAGTTTGTGCACTTTACATGTTCCCGACTGTTTGCCATATTCCACAGAGAAATAGGCTGTCAAACAATATTACAACGTAATCACGAAGGCACGTCAATCAGTCTGTGCCTCAGGAGAGATTGGTTGATAGAATTATTTATGTATAATTTGATTCTACGCAAAAATGCACTTTGACAAAGTCGTTTCTCTTCAGGAAAGAACTAACCCACCGTCAGACTGTAAGACTTTCAAGGTGATCTCGATCAAAGTCAACATCGCCCCAGGGGAGTTAATTGAGAGTTGTTCAGACACTTCTCGTCTCACTTTCACTCTTGAAGGTAAAACCTTTGCTATGCGAGACGTGTATGTTAGTTCTAAACACGAATCTACATTCTGCAAATAGATTGCTTTACTGTTGCTATAGAATATTATATTTGGGCAAATACATCCACTGACACGTGACATGTCATACTCTCCATTGTTTGGACTTCTGGATCCTTCCTTTCTGTTTCCACTGACAACTAACAATAGAATGTTTCTCTCTGTTGATAGAACATCCGGATCTTTTTTCTGTTTACCACTGACAACTAACAATAGAATGTTTCCCTCTGTTGATAGAACATCCGGATCCTTTTTTTGTTTACCACTGACAACTGACAATAGAGTGTTTCTCTCTGTTGATAGAACATCCGGATCCTTTTTCTGTTTACCACTGACAACTAACAATAGAATGTTTCTCTCTGTTGATAGAACATCCGGATCCTTTTTCTATTTACCACTGACAACTGACAATAGAGTGTTTCTCTCTGTTGATAGAACATCCGGATCCTTTTTCTGTTTACCACTGACAACTGACAATAGAGTGTTTCTTTCTGTTGATAGAACATCCGGATCCTTTTTCTGTTTACCACTGACAACTAACAATAGAGTGTTTCCCTCTGTTGATAGAACATCCGGATCCGTTTTCTGTTTACCACTGACAACTAACAATAGAATGTTTCCCTCTGTTGATAGAACATCCGGATCCTTTTTCTGTTTACCACTGACAACTGACAATAGAGTGTTTCTCTCTGTTGATAGAACATCCGGATCCTTTTTCTGTTTACCACTGACAACTAACTATAGAATGTTTCCCTCTGTTGATAGAACATCCGGATCCTTTTTCTGTTTACCACTCACAACTAACAATAGAGTGTTTCCCTCTGTTGATAGAACATCCGGATCCTTTTTCTGTTTACCACTGACAACTGACAATAGAGTTTCTCTCTGTTGATAGAACATCCGGATCCTTTTTCTGTTTACCACTCACAACTAACAATAGAGTGTTTCCCTCTGTTGATAGAACATCCGGATCCTTTTTCTGTTTACCACTGACAACTGACAATAGAGTTTCTCTCTGTTGATAGAACATCCGGATCCTTTTTCTGTTTACCACTGACAACTAACAATAGAATGTTTCTCTCTGTTGATAGAACATCCGGATCCTTTTTCTGTTTACCACTGACAACATACATGATTGTATTATCCTCTATTGACATTATCATCCCCTTCCCCGACACACTCAAACAGGTATTGTTTGAAATATGACCTGCTATTTGAACTGTACATGTCCTCTAATCTGATTCCGTAATTTGCTTATAGATTCGGATTCATCGAAATACTTTCGAGTTGATACGAAGCCTGGCGACTTGCGATTGTATCTGTTGTCGTCACTGGATTCGTTGAACAAATCTGTCTTGACTATCAAAATCAATGGCGTGGATGGCCAGAGTAAAATACAGAAGTCGGTACAATTCGACATTCAGCTTGAAGGTAACAGTTTATTCACGTTCGATCAAGATAAATATATCACTTATATGAATGGATATATGTGGATTGTTTAACCCTTAATTAGGCACCGTCAACATTGCTTTGTTCTAGGCTAATGACGTCAGCCGTTATTTACATGTAATTTGTATGCATGGCCACAGAGACAGACGTATATGCTTCTATGAGTTGTCATAAATTAACATAATGTTGAAAGACCGCACCGTACATACTATAATCCTCCGGATTAAAAAAACGCCCGGATTAACTAGTCAGGGTCCCAGAGTAATGTTACATTGTTATATGGGAACGTTCCCGAAAGTAATCATCCGATAGATGCGTTTTAACGGGGTAGGGAGTAGTAAAGTTTCACTGTAAAAAACAAAGCATTATCGATAACAATTCTGCCGATAACATGAAGTTACTTCGTCCTGAACGATATACGAGTTCTTGTAATTTGAGATAAAGAGTGAATTGACATTTAAAGTCAGGTGCAAGACTATTTTGTCAGGATAAGAGCGCTGTATAAATTTATAGTACTACACCATGACTGTGGAATATAAATATGTGATGAAAACAAAGTATGTAATGAAAAATATATCTAAATTTATGTAAAAAACAATTCAATCAGATAACACAGCACCAGGAAAAGAAATCATTTTAGATAAGAGAAGTGTATTGTTTAATAAAAGATTTCATAGACTGTAGTCTATAAAATTTTACAATATATTAGTATATATACTCGCAGCCAAAAGAAACTCGAAACATAAAAACATGTAGAGACGTATGTACGTTAAGAAGAGACGTTTCAAATGTGTACCAATTAATGACAAAACTAACAATCATTTAAGTGTTACCGCAGAGTGTCTTTATTCTTATCACGATATGCTGCACGTGAGTTCCAAACTTTACACGCTAATCCTGCATTAGACAAATGGTGCATCTCCAGTCATGGACCTATGACGTCACGTGGATGCGTGTCATGAGTGTCGGTTCACACAACATAACAGCATGTTCGTTTGCACATCGAACCAATCTAATATCTCTTAAATATGAGTAATTCTTCATATATTAACCAAAATGTATGGTATTTGATTTTCTTTTGTCTGTGAGTATATATATAAATTGTTTCCGAATATACGCAATTCTAGGAGGGGTTTTCAGTGACATTTTCCAGACAGTATACAATTATGGTGTATATTTTCTTGCTACAGGTGCAATAAAAAAGGAAATAAAACTCTTCACTGATCCCCCGAATTCGTTGTTTGAAAACGGAACATACGTTGAGATCGTGTGTGAAGCTGACCAGTTCTCGGACCCGTCGTTCACGTGGGCTTTATCCGGTCGGGATGTGACCCTTGGCCTCACCGATCGTTTCCGGGTCAATTACACAACACGAGGGAGCAAGAGCATTGGCGTGTTTAAGTTCAACCCAATACTTCACAGAGATGCCGGTTAGATAAAATCCTCCTTCTAAATGTTTTATATATTTTTTTCAATGTTAGATAAACCCCTCTATCTCACTGTTTGATACCAATACTTCAGTGTTAGATGAACCCCTCCTTCCCACTATTTGATAACTATACTTTAGTGCTAGATAAACCCCTCCTTCCCGCTGTTTGATAGCTATACTTTAGTGTTATAATTAGATAAAACCCTCCTTCCCAATGTTTGATATCTATACTTTAGTGTTAGATAAACCCCTCCTTCCCAATGTTTGATATCTATACTTTAGTGTTAGACAAACCCCTCCTTCCCAATGTTTGATATCAATACTTCAGTGTTAGATGAAACCCTCCTTCCCAATGTTTGATATCTATACTTTAGTGTTAGATAAACCCCTCCTTCCCAATGTTTGATATCAGTACTTCAGTGTTAGATGAAACCCTCCTTCCCAATGTTTGATATCTATACTTTAGTGTTAGATAAACCCCTCATTCCCAATGTTTGATATCAATACTTCAGTGTTAGATGAAACCCTCCCTCCCAATGTTTGATATCAATACTTTAGTGCTAGATAATACCCTCCTTCCCAATGTTTGATATCAATACTTTAGTGCTAGATAAACCCCTCCTTCCCAATGTTTAATATCAATACTTTAGTGCTAGATAAACCCCTCCTTCCCAATGTTTGATATCAATTCTTTAGTGCTAGATAAACCCCTCCTTCCCAATGTTTGATATCAATACATGTGTACTTTAGTGTTAGATAAACCCCTCCTTCCCAATGTTTGATATCAATACATGTGTACTTTAGTGTTATATAAACCCCTCCTTCCCAATGTTTGATATCAATACATGTGTACTTTAGTGTTAGATAAACCCCTCCTTCCCAATGTTTGATATCAGTACTTCAGTGTTAGATGAAACCCTCCTTCCCAATGTTTGATATCTATACTTTAGTGTTAGATGACCCCCCCCCCCCCCCCCCTCCCAATGTTTGCTATCAATACTTTAGTGTTAGATAAACCCCTCATTCCCAATGTTTGATATCAATACTTCAGTGTTAGATGAAACCCTCCCTCCCAATGTTTGATATCAATACTTTAGTGCTAGATAATACCCTCCTTCCCAATGTTTGATATCAATACTTTAGTGCTAGATAAACCCCTCCTTCCCAATGTTTAATATCAATACTTTAGTGCTAGATAAACCCCTCCTTCCCAATGTTTGATATCAATTCTTTAGTGCTAGATAAACCCCTCCTTCCCAATGTTTGATATCAATACATGTGTACTTTAGTGTTAGATAAACCCCTCCTTCCCAATGTTTGATATCAATACATGTGTACTTTAGTGTTATATAAACCCCTCCTTCCCAATGTTTGATATCAATACATGTGTACTTTAGTGTTAGATAAACCCCTCCTTCCCAATGTTTGATATCAATACATGTGCACTTTAGTGTTAGATAAACCCCTCCTTCCCAATGTTTGATATCAATACATGTGTACTTCAGTGTTAGATGTGCTTGTCTTGATTTTTCAGGAAGACGATATTGAGTTTATGAATTTGGCTAATTTTGTCCAGTAACATCGAGCTGCCTGATGTATTTTTAACTGCTATGTCAACCCGCGTGATGACATGTGTTATCCGACATCATTAACCAAATATCTTCTCCGTTTAACTTTTACCCCCTTTAAACAAAGCAGCACAACGTTGAATTCCTCGTTATGATATTGTCCCGTGACACGTGGTGGTGTTATTTGCATGAATAATTTCACTGAATTTGGGTGCAGTGTGTGCAATCCAATCCGCCACCCCCCCGGCCCCCACCCCCACCCCCGTGGCATTGCTGGAATACTGATACAAGCGAAGTGAAACTATACCAACATACTCACACAACAACCTCAATAAGAATTTATGATGAAAGCCATAACTATGATCACGTACATTTACTATCAGCTGAGTAGTAATAATAATAATAACAATGATATGAACAAGATGACATTCCTGATCGGTCTTCTGACAATATAGATGGCAAAAGGGGGTCTATGGGCAACAGAAATTCATTTACTAAACTGTATTTCTCTTTGTACAGTTACCTTTGTACCTCAATAATGTGGAATGTATAACTATACACCAATAAAGTTCAAAACTGCAGAGAGAGGAGGGTTTTACATTCTTAAAACAATAATATGATAAATAAAAATGAGTACAGTGACTTTCCCCACATCTCCTCGAGGCAAGAGTGTCCACGAATCTTTATCAAAGTTTCCCTTGAAAACTAGACTTTGAAATAGGCTCATTGACACTCTTACTCGGGGAACATGGTTTTCCCCCTGAGTATAATTGTTTACATCTTGTATGTTGTATGTTTGTATGGAGGCATGTATGGGAATTTTACATCAGAAGAAAATGCATAATGGATTATTGATGCAGAGTATTACACCACGAGTGTTTTTTACTTCATGTTTTAGACCCGTGAATATCGGGGTCTTCAGCAACCCATGCTTATCGTAAGAGGCGACTAACGGGATCGGGTGGTCAGAGTCGCTGACTTGATTGATGCAAGTCATCGTATTCGAATTGCGTGAATCGATGCTCATGATGTCAATCACTGGATTGTCTGGTCAAGACTTGACTACTTAGAGACAGCCGCCTTAGATAGCTGATAGCTGGAATATTGCTGAGTGCGGCGTTAAACAACAAACTCAACAAAACCAACAACAACTTGATGTTTTTGGACATATCTCAGATACTTTACAAACGTTATAGATATACTCTGAAATATGTCTGAAGTTTCTATTCTCTAATACCTATAGACATACATACCTATACATACCTTATAGACATTTCAAATCTCTGATAGTAAGTAGATTATTGATGATCGTTTATTTACTTCACTATAATATAACTGACATAACCTATTTGCAGGTCAGTTCAGTTGCATTCTGACCGGAAGTGAGGGCAATGTCCGGGTCAGGCAGGACCGGACACTTGGTCTCCACGTGGTCAGTAAACCCCACGTGGTTGCGAGACCTCCGTCCGTGTATGTCCGAGGAGACACAGCTGTGAACCTGACCTGTGTCCAAGACGACCCCCCGGACACGAAGGTAGAGGTGAGATGGTACAGGCTAATAGGCGGGAAGAGGTCAAGGTTGTCGGTCAGCAAAGGTGAGTTCGTTGATACATTAAAATAATGACATTGATACTTTGAAAGGTTGTTGTCAATATTCAAAAAGCAAACAATCAGATAATTATCTTTTTTTTTAAATTTAAAAAAAGATCAACTAATGAAAAAAAGGTTCTTGAATTTGTTGCTCTTGAAACTTCTTATACTCTTACACAGCCTTTTTGTATATGATCCATAAAATCTTATAATGCCATGTATTATTCCACTGAGAGATGAATATCATCCTCGATACATAGATAATAGAGTGAGTGAGTGAATATGGTTTTACGCCGCTTTTAGCAATATTCCAGCAATATCACGACGGGGGACACCAGAAATGGGCTTCACACATTGTACCCATGTCGGGAATCGAGCCCGGGTCTTCGGCGTGACGAGCGAACGCTTAAACCACTAGGCTACCCGACCGCCCCCATAGATAATAGAAGATGGTGTGATGCTATGTATATGTGCGATAATAGAAGATGGTGTTATACTGTGTATATGTCGGATAATAGAAGATGGTGTGATACTATGTATATGTGGGATAATAGAAGATGGTGTGATACTAGAAGAGGGATAATAGAAGAGGGTGTGATACTATGTATATGTGGGATAATAGAAGATGGTGTGATACTATGTATATGTGGGATAATAGAAGATGGTGTGATACTATGTATATGTGGGATAATAGAAGAGGGTGTGATACTATGTATATGTGGGATAATAGAAGATGGTGTTATACTGTGTATATGTGGGATAATAGAAGAGGGTGTGATACTATGTATATGTGGGATAATAGAAGAGGGTGTTAAACTGTGTATATGTGGGATAATAGAAGATGGTGTTATACTATGTATATGTGGGATAATAGAAGAGGGTGTGATACTATGTATATGTGGGATAATAGAAGAGGGTGTGATACTATGTATATGTGGGATAATAGAAGAGGGTGTGATACTATGTATATGTGGGATAATAGTAGATGGTGTTATACTGTGTATATGTGGGATAATAGAAGAGTGAGTGAGTGAGTATGGTTTTACGCCGCTTTTAGCAATATTCCAGCAACATCACGGCGGGGGACACCAGAAATGAGCTTCACACATTGTACCCACGTCGGGAATCGAACCCGGGTCTTCGGCGTGACGAGCGAACGCTTTAACCACTAGGCTACCCGACCGCCCCGATAATAGAAGAGGGTGTGATACTATGTATATGTGGGATAATAGAAGATGGTGTTAAACTGTGTATATGTGGGATAATAGAAGATGGTGTTATACTGTGTATATGTGGGATAATAGAAGATGGTGTGATACTGTGTATATGTGGGATAATAGAAGAGGGTGTGATACTATGTATATGTGGGATAATAGAAGATGGTGTTATACTGTGTATATGTGGTATAATAGAAGAGGGTGTGATACTATGTATATGTGGGATAATAGAAGATGGTGTTATACTGTGTATATGTGGGATAATAGAAGATGGTGTGATACTATGTATATGTGGGATAATAGAAGATGGTGTGATACTAGAAGAGGGATAATAGAAGAGGGTGTGATACTATGTATATGTGGGATAATAGAAGATGGTGTGATACTATGTATATGTGGGATAATAGAAGATGGTGTGATACTATGTATATGTGGGATAATAGAAGAGGGTGTGATACTATGTATATGTGGGATAATAGAAGATGGTGTTATACTGTGTATATGTGGGATAATAGAAGAGGGTGTGATACTATGTATATGTGGGATAATAGAAGAGGGTGTTAAACTGTGTATATGTGGGATAATAGAAGATGGTGTGATACTATGTATATGTGGGATAATAGAAGAGGGTGTGATACTATGTATATGTGGGATAATAGAAGAGGGTGTGATACTATGTATATGTGGGATAATAGAAGAGGGTGTGATACTATGTATATGTGGGATAATAGTAGATGGTGTTATACTGTGTATATGTGGGATAATAGAAGAGGGTGTGATACTATGTATATGTGGGATAATAGAAGATGGTGTTAAACTGTGTATATGTGGGATAATAGAAGATGGTGTTATACTGTGTATATGTGGGATAATAGAAGATGGTGTGATACTGTGTATATGTGGGATAATAGAAGAGGGTGTGATACTATGTATATGTGGGATAATAGAAGATGATGTTATGCTGTGTATATGTGGTATAATAGAAGAGGGTGTGATACTATGTATATGTGGGATAATAGAAGATGGTGTTACACTGTGTATATGTGGGATAATAGAAGAGGGTGTGATACTATGTATTTGTGGGATAATAGAAGATGGTGTTATACTGTGTATATGTGGGATAATAGAAGAGGGTGTGATACTATGTATATGTGGGATAATAGAAGATGGTGTTATACTGTGTATATGTGGGATAATAGAAGATGGTGTTATACTGTGTATATGTAGGATAATAGAAGATGGTGTGATACTATGTATATGTGGGATAATAGAAGAGGGTGTGATACTATGTATATGTGGGATACTGTGTATATGTGGGATAATAGAAGATGGTGTGATATTATGTATATGTGGGATACTGTGTATATGTGGGATAGTAGAAGATGGTGTGATACTATGTATATGTGGGATAATAGAAGAGGGTGTGATACTATGTATATGTGGGATACTGTGTATATGTGGGATAATAGAAGATGGTGTGATACTATGTATATGTGGGATAATATAAGATGGTGTGATACTGTGTATATGTGGGATAATAGAAGATGGTGTGATACTGTGTATATGTGGGATAATAGAAGATGGTGTGATACTATGTATATGTGGGATAATAGAAGATGGTGTTATACTGTGTATATGTGGTATAATAGAAGAGGGTGTGATACTATGTATATGTGGGATAATAGAAGATTGTGTTACACTGTGTATATGTGGGATAATAGAAGAGGGTGTGATACTATGTATATGTGGGATAATAGAAGATGGTGTTATACTGTGTATATGTGGGATAATAGAAGAGGGTGTGATACTATGTATATGTGGGATAATAGAAGATGGTGTTATACTGTGTATATGTGGGATAATAGAAGATGGTGTTATACTGTGTATATGTAGGATAATAGAAGATGGTGTTATACTATGTATATGTGGGATAATAGAAGAGGGTGTGATACTATGTATATGTGGGATACTGTGTATATGTGGGATAATAGAAGATGGTGTGATATTATGTATATGTGGGATACTGTGTATATGTGGGATAGTAGAAGATGGTGTGATACTATGTATATGTGGGATAATAGAAGAGGGTGTGATACTATGTATATGTGGGATACTGTGTATATGTGGGATAATAGAAGATGGTGTGATACTATGTATATGTGGGATACTGTGTATATGTGGGATAATAGAAGATGGTGTGATACTATGTATATGTGGGATACTGTGTATATGTGGGATAATAGAAGATGGTGTGATACTATGTATATGTGGGATACTATGTATATGTAGGATAATAAAATATGGTGTGATACCATGTATATACATGTATATGTTTGTTTAATTTACCTACCAGGTCTAGTGTCGAGGGAGGCGTATACTGTCCAAGGACTGGTGGGCGACACGGAGTACGTGTGTGAGGGGTTCAACAACATGGGGCAGCATTACAGCAACGTTGTCAAAGTACACCAGCTTACACCAGGTGCGTGTCCCACTACATCCGAGGGTTTTGATGGCCCATCAGTATACTGCGTTTGTCCTGTTGGACAGTTTCTGTTTTAGAATATACTCAATCGCCCACCAACCCAGGCGGAGGAGTAACCTGGTGGCGAGGCGTTGTTAGCTCATCACACTGGAGGTCAGGGTTCGATTCCCAACACTGACTTACTCGATCAATCAGTTGTAGCCCTTACGCCTCGTCAAATGTATATAGCTACTTTGAAATCTGTTGACATCAAAATGTAACAATCGTTATCTTTATCCTATCCCGACACATGGACCACCGATTGTTTCACCTGTCTAAGCTAATTTGTGCACAGGATTCTTAACTGTAGTGCAAAAAAAGGAATTTATTCACGGAATTAAAATACTACTTTTCAGCCATAGTAGCAGCTTGATAATTTTCGTCTATATGACTATGGATAATTTAATGGGAAACTGCCAATTTGTTCAAAGTGTGTTTTCATCTTTTGGTTTAACGTGAAACATGTTCCTCTTGTATATGCGGGGTCTATTTAGGACTAATATCAAGTTTAGTCCAGCCTTTAATCAAGATATATCACTAAGAGTGAGAGATTGCACTTCTTGCAAGATAATGGACGTACACTTCAGTGACGAATGAAGAATTTGTAAAGCTAACATTCCTGAAATGTAAAACGTAAATATGCATATTTCTACAGCATTATATGTGTGGTTATCCAACATCTGTGAGGTTGTGTTTTGATGCTGACATGTTTAATCATATTTTAATACGTCACAGTGAGTGAGTGAGTGAGTTTGGTTTAACGCCGCTTTTAGCAATATTCCAGCAATATCATGGCAGGGGACACCAGAAATGGGCTTCACACATAGAACCCATATCGGGAATCGAACCCAGGTATTCGGCGTGACGAGCGAACGCTTTAACCACTAGGCTATCCGACCGCCCCTTAATACGTAACAGTATGCATATAATATGTATTGACATGTAAACGGTGTGATGTGTGACACTTTAATATTTGTTTCTCATAAGTTTACGTATCTGTGTGCTCGTCGTGGCTCCGTGTTTATGACTCGGATGAAGGTTTTGCCATTTTATTTTGTTTGCCCCTGAGATCATAAGGACAATCTTCACGCCTCGAAGTGTCATATTCTACGTGCGCTTCTTGTACTTACTGTAACCGCCATGAACTTGTATCAGTTCACCTGGAAACGCCGTCGCATTGTTTGTTTGTTGTTTAACAGTGCAGAGATCAATATTCCAATTGTATTACTACAGTAAATAATCATTACTTGCCACAACGAGCATCGTACGACGCCGTGCGGGTAACACGACAAGCATTCAACCACGTTACAAACCCCAACCGGGGTAGAAATGGTCTGCAGAAACACATGCTTGCCGTAAAAGGCGAGTATGCTTGTCGTAAGAGCCGACTAACGGGATCGGGTGGTCAGGCTCAATAAATTGGTTGATGCATGTCATCGGTCCCTATTGCGTGGATCGTCTGGTCCCGACTCAATTATTTACAGACCGCCGTCATATAGCTGGAATAGTGCTGAGTGCGGCGTTAAACAACAAACAAACAAAAAACAACAAATCCCAACCACCCGATCCAATATTCAATTAGTCACCTCTTACTACAAGAATGTAGTGCTGGAGAAAAGCTTTAACCCTGATCATGAGTCCCCACGAAGCTTCCGTCGAGTTAACCTTAAGTTCTGTATGTTTGTTTGTTGTGTGTCATGATCAACATTTTGTCTGGACCACCTGAGTTAATATCAACAATGATGATACCACATTCAGATTATTCAACATATCCGATACAATGAAAAACAATATGAATCTGAAAACTTGGTGACATAAAAATTACAGCTTGCTCTCACTGTATGATTATTATTGTTTGTTTTATCAGGTATGAGCACGTGTCAGGGAGAAGTGGACGGTTCTGGCATTGTTTGGCTGGAGACACCGGTTGGAGAAAGCATAATGTCAGATTGTCCCAGGAAACTACAAGGTAAAGTAATTAGGCATGTAGTGAAGATGATAACCAGTGTTTTTTTTGTTTGTTTGTTTGATTTTTGTTTAACGCCGCACTCAGCAAATGTTCCACCAGCTATATGACGGCGATCTGTAAATAATCGAGTCTGGGTCAGACAATCCAGTGATTAATATCATGAGCATTGATCTGTGCAATTGGGATACGATGACATGCATCAACCAAGCCAGAGAGCCTGACCACCCAGTCCAGTTAGTCGCCTCTTACGACAAGCATCGTCGCCTTTTACGGAAGCATCTGTTGTTGAAGACCTCTTCAACCCCGGATCTTCACGGGTCAGTGCAGTATGTAGTAAAATTAAAATGAAAGGCTTCAGGGGTTCAGTTGTCAATGCTTCTCTTGAAACGCATAATGCATGATTGGTTTGATTCCCAACATAGGAATCTGTATTCTGGGATATCATGGATGTCTCACCCATCTAGCCTCTTCACTCAAACAACACTGTTGTCAAACTTAAAGAAATAAAATGTCACTGTCTTGTTTTTATTCAGTATTTGTCATGCTTCCAAAATACCCTTCTTGATCAATTAAACCTTTCTTTATGAAATGCGATTTCAGGAACGTCTTCACGACGTTGCAATATTCTTGGTCAGTGGGACAATGCCGACTACGACACGAACTGCCGTCAGATTACACTAGACATTGCCCTTCAAACTGTAAGCAACTTCCCCTTGGCTGTGTAAAATTAACTTGTGTTATCAATATTACTAACTTAAACAGTGCATGATGCTTAAGGGTGGTGTGTTTTAAATCGTTCTCTCGTAACACATCAATCCCAGATTCTCATCATGGGTACAATGGCTATTCTTGGTACCCTCCATCGCTATACGCCGGACAATTGCGCAATAAAGTTTCACGAAACCCATCCTTTATAAAGTGTATTATATCTTCTTTCCAGTTTTGATAAATACCCTTGACCAAGTCACCACCACACCTTAAAAATAGTACTTGGTGTTACCCTAATGGCATTAATGGGCTAAAACAAGGACTGGTTGGCTCGGAGTCGGTATACCGTGTCTGAGTGGGGTATTCATGTTAAACTGCGTCTCGGTATCTCAGTGGGTTAGCATAAATCGGCATCAGTCCTGACTAGAACAAGCAGCCACACACACACACACACACACACACACACACACACACACACACATGCATGCACGTCGCTATACAAGTGCAATCATGTTGTACGCGACGTTAAACTCCATTTCAACTCAACTCACCCGCCTTCGTTCTGAGTCCGATCCGAACTCGACGCAAAACATAGCCGACAATCAAATTAATCTCAAGAGCAGGAGAAAATATGTGATTAAGAAGCGATGGAGGTGACGTCACTTCCGCAACAAAGCTTTGATGAAGAATGGGTCAATGGTAAATAACATAAAAGAATGGATATTTAATAGACAAGATAATTAATGCGAAGCATGAAACCACTCCCACGTCTTAATGCTGATGCGCATATAAAATCCACGATTGTTACTTTTTAGGCGATACAGGCAAAAGAAGGGGTGTTAAAAGGCTCCCTTGGCGACGTCCTGGAGGACCTGCAGGCTGCTAACGACACGGAACTGCTGACGTCTAACGACATTGATGTCATCTTGGAAGTGCTGGAGATCATTGCAGAGGGATATATCCAAGGAGAAGGGGGACGTAGCGTGGAACCAGATGACGTTAAGGTACGAAATAGGCCCTCCCTGAGATTTCCGGGGCAGCGCCCAATGCTTAGTGTAAGAGCCGACTAAGTGAGGATCCGGGGATCACAAATGTAAACCTTGTATGCCATCATCGTCATCTCAATAGCGGAATTGTGTGAACATCCAATTAGATTGTGTGCTTGTTTGTTTGTTGTTTAACGCTGCAATATTCCAGCTATATGACGGCGGTCTGTAAATAATTGAGTCTGGACCAGACAATCCAGTGATTGACATCATGAGCTTCGATCCACGCAATTGGGACCGATCACATGCATCAACCAATTCACCGAGCCTGACCACCCGATCCCGTTAGTCGCCTTTTACGGCAAGCATGGGTTGCTGAAGTTGCCGTAAAAGGCATCCAAGTAGATGATAAATATTGTTTGACAGTTCTATTTTCCTTTTGATTTGAAGGCCACAACAAATTAAATTAATTCTTTTTCGGATATTTGTATACATCTAACAGGAAACAATATCATAGTGATGTTTATGTTTGATCATATAAACGTTGGGCCAGTCGTCGAAGGCGCCGCAATTCGCGGTGCAGAGTTGCGTCGCTCAGACGTTTCAGGATCCTATGATGGTGGGTTGGAATCCTTGATAAGGCTGACACGCCGTAGTATTACTTCAATTCTGAGTTAAAACCAACTCACTCGCTCCATACTTACCTGATTACATGTGTTTATATTTACATATTTACAGAAAATGGTCACAGTTGTAGATGCTGTATTAAGTGTTGATAATGAGAAGTGGAAAAAGCTCAATGCACAAGTAAGTATCATATGACAAATGCTTGATCTAATGCAACTGGCACGACGGTTGACAAGGAACATGACTTTATTTATGTCACAACGAATTGGCAGTTTTTTTAGCTGCCATCAGCTGTTGAAATTTGGTCAAATCTGTATTGTTGGTGGTTTTATGGAAATTACCACAGTATTGATATGTAAAAAGACCAAGTTTACAGAACAGAAATCAAAGAATGTTTGAAATGTCTTCATGAAGATATGTATGCACATTACTCGATATGCTGCAATCTTATTTATTACACATGTTGTAATACACATATTTTGAAAACCAATTTTAATTGTTCTTTTTAAAGAAGTTGAAATTTATAATTGATCAGTTAAGTTGGTTGGTTTGTTGTTTAAAGCCGCACTCAACAATATTCCAGCTATATAACGGCGGTCTGTAAATAATCGTGTCTGGACCAGACAATCCAGTGATTAATATCATAAGCACCAATCAACCAAGTCAGCAGGCCTGACTACCCGATCCCGTTGGTCGCCTCTTACGACAAGCATCTTCATGGGTCCTGATCAGTAAATGATCCCATATTCCTGAAGCACCATTTCAATGGATACCAATTAAAGGGCTTTGGGTGTACGTTTTAGTGTTTATTATTTAAACTAATTTAGGTTACAATACCAATCTTCTTTCTGTTCTGAAACTGCAAAACAACCTACGAGTCTCTTATGAGACTCATAAAAGTGCCTATAACAACTTGATGGAGTCTTTGAGGTGCATTTACAGGAATGAATCCCAAGGGAAAACCCTTCACACAGTGCATGTGCATGACGTATTTGACAATGAATAATAGATAGATATAGTCCTATACCCATGGTCCCTTTTTTCAACGATCTAAAGGTTGATTACAAAACATGTATATATATAGTTGGATAATTGGTAATAAAAGGTGGGTGGACAACCACAACTATCTGCTAAACATGAGAAGATATTGAGTGTCAAGGTGTCTTTGACGATCGAAAACCGGACTATTTGATTATACTATTGACATTTTAATTTGATGACACCATCAGGCAAACCTCTCTGGCAAGTGCATTATGAGCATTCCGTGTCAGAAGTACCTCAGTGACATGTGAACCGACACAACGTACATGTAAGTAGTTGTGTGACGTGGTTGACCGTGTGTCCTCGTCCTAGGCATGGTAGATCGTTACTTTATTAACCACTTGTTTCAGAGGACCAGACATGATTGCTACACGTTACCGTGTAGTAAGTACCGTAGTATTATGTAGTATTATAATGTATTTACTCATGATTGGAAAGTGTAACGTGTTTTCGACATTTCAAACATTTATTCGACAGAAGAAGCGTGGCCCTAAGTCACTGTTGTGGTCAGTTGACACAATACTGCAACTCGCCGCCAAGAGGGCAGCTACACAGGATTCATCCGGGGCGGACTTCAACGTCACCATCAGCACAGAGAATATATGTGAGTTGCATACACCGTCACTGCTCAATGGATCACAGCAGTTAAACAGTTGGTTCAGTGAGGCTCTCTATTGTTTCTTCTCATTATTGATTTATTCTTCTCATCATTGACAGTTATATCCAAATCATTTGTTCTGCATGAACAAGTACTCCCTGAAACCTAATAGCGCTAGTGACTGTAGGGCAGCCTAGTGGTTAAAGCGTTTTCATCACATCGAAGGTTTGGGTTCGACTCCCAACACTGGTAAACCCCATATCTGGTGCCGATTCTAAAAAAATGCTTAAAGCAGCGTATGAAGATTGCTTGAACTGCGTCTTCTTTACTGCAATCTATAGCTTTGTCAAGGTTGTGTGGGTAGGGGGATGTGTCGACAACCACAAATGTGTTTCGAATTTTGCGGGCAATAAAACTTTGTCAGGCGATGAGAAAGTATAAAACGGTAAATAAAAAGCAATCTGTCGATCCTTTTAACGGATGTTGTGTAATAATCAACAATTCCGTTTAATTTCTTTACATTGTTATTTCACACAGTTGTGCAGATTGGAAGAGTACGAGATGAGAAGGTCAGCTTCCCAGAGATGGAGATTAATCGCATCTCCTGGGTGAGCGAGAGAAGTTCCTCGGCAAGGATGCAGCAGGAGTCCTTCCAAAACATGCGACGTAGGTGTAGCAGCGGAACGTTCAAACGTCGCATGTAATTTGTTTAATCCTCGGTGAATTGTATGTCATCTGACTTTTATGTGCCCATTTTTAGTGGAAACGGGAAAAGCTTCGTCTGATCGCTCTGGAAATATCAATATGGTAGCTCAGAGGCCATCTTTGATTTTCTGTAAAATGTATTCTTTTAAAGCAACTGAAAAAGGTAACTGACATGGGTAAGGCGTGCAATTAAATTTAATTAAAAGGAATATAGCAGCTCGTTGTCATCTTGGTACAAATGACTGAAGCGTAACACAACAAACAAAACAAGATACACCAACAAAACTAAAGACATCAGCCGACATCCGATTGGTCTCTTGCCGTGGATTTGAATCAGATGTGTCCATTAGTGTCACTACATGCATGTTAGTGTGTATAGTGCATGTATCAGTTAAATGATAAAAGATAACAAAATCTAAGGGAACCAGCTCTGTGGCTCCTCAGAAGACTCGTCTCCTCTTACTCCAGTTTTAGCAGTTAACATTAACTTGCTTCATCAATGGTGTTAACCTAGCAGAGACGACAGTGGTATGCGTGCATCTCTTAACGTACCGTCAAATATCACTTTCCAAAAAAGCGGTAAGATCGGAGTTTGTTAGTTTCGAACTTCCATTGTTGGGCATGACTTGGGTCGTTTTGCACCAGGTGGAAGTCCTCACCACCTCGTTCGAGATGCACGCGCTGCTAAATATAACCGCTGGCAGTCACCTGACAGCCGATCCTTACCCGGATAGTAACCACGTGATCAAAACTCAACGGTGATGTGTACAGCTAGCAAAAATAATATTTCTTGAAATATTTCTTGCATTTTTGGTCAATACTGTAAGTAATATTTCGTCTGGCTTGTTTTCACTTTGTAAGCATTTGCATGCATGATAATCGCGTATTTCGTTATTTTATTGTAAGTGGCAATTCCTATAGTTTGTATAAATATTAGTTTTGATTAAAACCCTTCATTTATTTGCAGATGATCGGGCCTGGTTCAGTGGTGTGATCTATCGGTCTCTCAGTGCCTTGATGCAAGGACAGGTGCTGGGGAATGTCACCATGGAAAGCAGGTCACTCGTCAGGTAAACACGCTTCAAGTGTCTCCTCAAAACATTTCATTGATCGGATGGGTTATCCGAGATGGTAAATAAAAGGGTATCCTTTTTCAGTTTTGTAACAAAAGACACAAGTGAATAATGGATGTCCTGTGTTACACGCCCATGACACTCTTCCTGTGAAGTTTGATATACCCTTACATACACGATGTTGTACTTGTGAAATAATGAAATATGTACATGGGTACATGTAAGTGAGTGAGTATTGTGGTACGCCGCTTTCAGCAATATTCAGCCATATCACGACCTTGTTTACACATTGTGGGGATCGAGCCCATCTTTCGGCGGGACGACAGCTATTTTCCTGCTCTTCACCCTACCAGCCTTGTGCAAGTGGTCAAACGTCCTGGTTAGGATTGGTCTTTAGCTTGTCGTAAGAGGCAACTAACCGGATCGGGTGGTCAGGCTAGCTGACTTGGTTGATGCGTGTTATTGTATCCCAGTTACGTTGATCGATGCTCATGATTGTCTGGTCTAGACTTGATTATTAACAGACCGCCGTCATATTGATGGAATAATGCTGAGTGCAGCGTTAAACAACAAACAAACTCAACTAAAAGGTATATGAGGGATAAAAAAACCTTACAAAACATGTACTCGAGATCTGAGCTCTCTGCGTGTCGTCTAACTTTGCTTCTAGGCTGACTCGGCTGCTACAAGAAAATAATATGGGTCTAAATGTTTATTTGAGTCTTTGGTAATCAAGTAGAAGCAATGAACCACCCCAGACACCCATCTTTCAGTGAGGACATAGCGGACATGTCAGCGTCGGGGAAACAGCAACCACCCACAGGGGACGTGGTCTCCAGGGTCATGTCCTTCAACGTGTACCCCCGGCCGGTCAGCCTCACCCCACCGCTGTATCTCTCCATGCAAGTCAATGTACGTGGTTACACTGTAAAATCACTTATTGATGATGCTCATAATTATGTTCCCATAAGTATGATACTTCTTTCGAATTAATGTTTTGGTGCCCGAAGAGTGTGATGGAGACATCAATGTTTTCTGTAACATCTGAAATGGTTCGTTAAGGTTCGTTAATACGATAGATCGACGCCTTTGGTCATAAGCATGTTTGACTGTATTTGACTTCAAACGAGCCCGAAGATTGATGCTCATATCGATCATCGTTTTGTATGTTCGTGTCTCTTCATATACCCCTGTCGCCTACCCTTGTACCTCTGGTGAAATCTCTCTGTATTAAGGAATGACTTCCTTTCCGCTTTCCTTTCAGAGAATGAACTCCCAACCAGTGTGCAGCTTCCTCGACTATAGCGAGTCGTAAGTGTCACATTTCTTGCAGTAGAGGTGGTGATTTGGGGTTTAACGTCGCGTCCAAGATTACTGCACTTTTATAGCGACGTGCATGCACGTGTGTGTGTGTGTGTGTGTGTGTGTGTGTGGCTGCTTGTACTAGTTCGGACTGATGTCGATTTATAGTGCCCGTCCACTGAGATACCATGCCGCAGTTTAATACTCCACTCAGACACAGTATACTGACTCCGAGCCGACCAGTCCTTGTTTTAGCTCTGTCGTAACTGCTTTCGGGCGTCAAGTGCGACCCTACTACAGTTACTAAATGTATTGCCGTTCCTTGTCATCATGGTCAATTACGCCATGACTTTGCCCCTCGGCTTGTCCGCAGCGGCTCGGCTCCGCCAAGGAGTGATTGGTCTAACGACGCTTACTCCAAGTTGTCTCTATCAGCATTCATACTCGCATAATAAAGAAACGCAACACCAGCTTTACACTCACATAGTTTAACTTACTCTCAGCCCATCTATCAATACAGGAAGGATCAGACCGGCCAGACTCGTCATTAAATTGGGAAAACTTATAACGATCGGGATTCGACTCGATCGATTGCAAACCGCGCTCTCCTCTCCTAATGTTAAAGTATCATTTTATAGTGTCTTTGTCACTTGTCACAGTACCTCATTTTGATTCGCTAAAAGTTAGATCTGACCATGAACTCAAGTGTGTCGTAATCGGAAAAATACAGAAGACTACGTGCCAGATTGCTCATCTCTCTATTGATTTTGTGACTCGCCCCGGATGCTCCAAATGAAATATATCTTGAAATTCTCTGCTTGTTTCATTAACTAATGGACGATAACCTGGAACCAATCCAATGTCCAGAATACACTTGTGATAAATGTGAAATGTCTTTTATCTATTGATTCCTTTCGAACTAAAGGTTCTCTGTCACCAACTATATCTAATGCAACTCCTCATTGCAGCTATAACGGTTTTATTTGATACCATTTTCTAATGTTCTTGAGATGCATTTTTAACCTTATAACATCCCCCGTAATGCCGAGCGCCAGACAGGGTAACAACAAGTACCATCTTTTAACGTCTTTTGGTATGACGCGGCCGGGGATCGAACCCCGGACCTTCCGCTCTCAATGCGGACGCTCTACCACTAGACACCCCGGAGGCGGTCTTTTGCAGTAGAAAAGATTTGGATTTATGTCATTGTAAGGTTTTCTATTAACAATAATGTTTCCGCAATGAAGCACTGATATGTTGCATGTTCGTATCCTAGGCAACGGTACTCCCGCTCTGGGGTTTGGGCTACAAAGGGATGCTGGGAAATGTCACGTGATGATCACGTCATAGTGTGTGGCTGTAATCACACCACCAACTTTGCTATTCTCATGAGCCCAGTGGATACAGACGTAAGTAACTGTTTTGTTTGTTCAGAGTGAGGGGGTGGTTGAATGAGCGCGTGTTTCAGCTTTGAACAATATTGCGGTCATATTACGGCGTGCCAGCTTGGTGTTGGAGGAAGCGGAAAGTGATGCAGGTTTCAGACATTTACCACATTGGGTACCACGAACACGGGTATGGTGCTGGTAAACCAAGACACATAATCAGGGCGAACCGGGATTCGAACTCACGATCATATCTTTCTTGCACGCCACTGCACAGCGAATCGCGGCGATCTGGACGACTGGACTTCGCATGCTATCTATCTTGCATCAGTGGCATAGTCTACAACCAACTATAGCAATGGAGCACCGGAAATGTACTATCATACACTATAATACCAGCTGTGTATCACAACCAGAGACATATTCACCGTTGAGTTTCCTAGACACAACCACCTTATTCATATTCTAAAATTAGCCTAATCTATGAATTGTTCCAGTTCCTTGAGTCTGTGGAGACAATATTGTTTGATTCATTATTACGTACAGATTAAAATAAAAAATGCAGCAAAAGGGTTTGGGTGGCACAGTCAGGCTGGTCAGGCTCATCATCAGCTCAGGGCCCCTGCCCCCTCTACACGCAGCCCAGACAGCGAATGGGACTTCTCCCAGGAAGCGCTGCTTAGTCAAACCCACTGAGAAGTTTTCAGAGAATGTGAAGACTCCCCAACACTGCAGCCTTTTGCATTACTCAGATTGTCAGAAGGGCTGTATTCCTGGCAGCAACCCCGGGTACTCTCCCAATGTCCGTCAACAGATTGGGAGGTACCAAACCTAAGCCACCGAAAACAATGGGAGTTGGACAACTTGGTACATGGGATGCAAGCGTGACATTTCGAAAGCGAGGTCCGCATATTTGCCATGTTTTTCCTCAATCTTGTCAATCACATTAATGTCAAAGGGAACAGAAAACTCAATGATATAAATGATTTCATTGGATTTATCAAAAAGAACATGACCATGTTTGTTGGCCTGGATACGTCTAAGGCTGCATACGGGCCTATTTCAAAGAATTATGAATTTATCATTTTCCATGACGCCCACTACATATTCTGGGTCATACCATGTTTTGTTTGTTTGTTGTTTAACGCCGCACTCAGCAATAATCCAGCTATATGACGGCGGTCTGTATATAATCGAGTCTGGACCAGACAATCCAGTGATTGACAACATGAGCATCAATCCACGCAATTGTGATCGATGACACGCATCAACCAAGTCTGGACCAGACAATCCAGTGATTGACAACCTGACCACCCGATCCCGTCAGTCGCCTCTTACGACGAACATAGTCGTCTTCGTACCATGTATGGGCTCTGTGTCAAAACTACAAGCATTGCGAATAAAATGATCGAGCCAATTATTATTATCATCATCATTTTTATTATTATTATTATTATTCCAGATCGGAGAACACGGCTTTGTGCTGGAGATGATATCTCTAGTCGGGTGCTGTACATCCCTCTTCTTCCTGCTGCTAACAATCATCATCTACTGCATGGTCTGGAGGTAGGTTCTTGCAATATAATACATACTATATTACCATATATCCTTCTTTTATAATTCCGTCGTCACCCCTGTCTTGAATACCAACCCTCTTTTCCCATGGTGGGCCATAGTCGTCGTAATGAAAATATAAAAAATAGAGGCCAGTTTCTCTTTCAAACGTCGTAGTATTGAATGCGCGGCTTGGAATCGGCTTTTAAAGAGCTAAGTTCGGGAATCCGGGTAGAATAGATTCCAGTCACAGCAAAAATAATGCAGTTTCCGGTATCCGGATCCCTTCCGGATACCTCCGGACACTTACCCAAAACGCACCCTGGTACGCGGTGGCAGATACCTCGCCGGATACCAGATCCAGGTGGGGTATCCGGTGCCGGTCCCTTGGACACCTTCATTGAGGTATCCGGTGAGGTATCCGGTGCCGGATACCCGGATTCCAGGAGGCATGCTTGCCAGTGAGGTGTCCAATGCCGGATACCATGGATCTGGTATCCGGCAAGGTATCTGCCACCGGATACCAGGATGCGTTTTGTGTAAGTGTCCTGAGGTATACCGGAAACTGCATTTGTTTTGCTGTGAGTCCCCGTGTGGTAAGAGCCTTTAAGTGGAGGCAATGTGTGACACATCTGCTGAGTCATTCAATCAGATAGTTACCACCTCGCGTTTACTTACCTTTTAACCAACGACAGTGCAGGGTGGATTTTCCAACAAACAAGACACAGACCAAATGTCTCTTGGTCTATTGTTCATATGAGGATCCGGATCAGAACATGGGCCTATTATGTTCATATTATGTCATCCGATATCGGAATTGTACTGACTGCGGCGTAAAACAATAACTCTAGTGTTGATACCATGTGTCTGCGGCAGGTATATGGTGAAGACGCAGGTGTCACGGATCAAGTCCATACTGCTGATGCACCTGTGCGCGACTCTTATCATCAGCTACACGCTATTCCTGGCCGGGGCCAACTACACTGATAACAAGGTATGTGTTTCTCGAAGTCGAAATACGTTTGACTTATTCGAAGTTCGTAAAGAAATTTAACCGATATGTGTAGTTAATTGAATTCGATTAAACGAATTGTATGTAAGTTTCATTGTGTATCTAAAAAATATGTGAAGGGAGGTGAAGTGGGGTTTAACGTACGTGTTCAAGATTATTCTACTAACATTACTACGTGCATGAACGTGTGTGTGTGTGTGTGTGTGTGTGTGTGTGTGTGAGAGAGAGAGAGAGAGAGAGTTCAAGATTATTCTACTAACATTACTACGTGCATGAACGTGTGTGTGTGTGTGAGAGAGAGAGAGTGTTCAAGATTATTCTACTAACAATGCTACCTGCATGAACGTGTATGTATGTGTGTGTGCGTGTGTGTGAGTGAGCGTTCAAGATTATTCTACTAACAATGCTACCTGCATGAACGCGCGCGCGTGTGTGAGTATGTGTGTGTCTAGATCTGCTTGTACTAGTCCTGACTAATTCCAGTTGTATAGTGCTGGCTGACTGAGATACCATACCACAGTTTAACATGGATACCCCACTCAGACACAGTATACTGACTCCGAGCCGACCTGTGCTTTATTCCCTTGATGCGGAGAGACAGGGTAACAACAAGTATTAAACATTCAGTTAAACAGTACTTTGGGAATGACACAGACGAAAACGAGCATCTGCTTCACCATGGTAAATGTATTCTTTCGGATGACAGGATGACAGTAATTCTCAAACAGGATAGTGGTATCTGCAGTACTGTACATTATCTTAAACAAGAAAATTCTTAACCAAGATAGGTCATTTCCGCGGGACGGAATATCTGCCCTACTTTACCGTAAAAAGATACTCGATCCTTAGCATATTCCCGAACAGGATATACCAAATCTGCAAACAGGATTGATTATATCAACTGTATATTATGTCAATAGGATAAGTAATATCTGCAGTTCATAATCTCTGAGGGGCGAGTCATTGCACCAGTACATGATCTCCTCAAACGAAAAGTAGTTGATCATATAATGTTAAAATGATTAATTAGAACGCGATTCTGTAGTTTTCCCATGGTTGCCCAAGGAATGTGGAAGTTGTCCGTCATTTTTTACGTCATTTCTAGAAACAGTCTCGTGAAAAACGTATGCACGTCCAAATGTGCCTGATCAGTAAGCATAGGAACGTTTGTTTAGCCGTGACCGGCCTTTCGTCAATGTGAAGTACGTATATGTTGTAAAACCACATGGAAATGCTTGTGTTGATGGTAGCCCCTGTGACCTGTTCCAGGACGTGTGTACTGCCGTGGCGGCACTGCTTCACTACTTCTTCCTGGTGGTGTTCTGCGTGATGCTGGCTCAGGGGATCCAACTCTTCATCTCCATCGTCATCGTCATCAACTTCACCTCCTACCTCAAGGCCCTCCTCATCACCATCTGGGGTGAGCTTTAGTAACACACCCATGGCGTTGCGGGTTTGTGTGTGTGTGTGTGTGTGTGTGGAGGGGGGAGGAGGTGCGGGTAGCCCAGTCGTCTAAGGTGCCACAATTCCTTGCGCAGAGGTGTCACTTGGGTTCCATCAAAGTGGTAAATATCTGACAATATCTCAGATGTGCATCACTTCGGGCTCTCCTCACACATTTAACCGACGAGCTGTTTTATAACTGGAGTATTATTTAATATTCACTCACTCATCCTCGTTGGGGACAAGCCACTTAACATATTTCGGGTTGTCAATGTTGTCAATGTACAATGAGAAAATACTCAACTATCGAAAAATATATTTAAGACTCAAGTTTTACCAAAACATATTTATTCGCTAAAACTGTCATAAAATGTGCCAAAACGCAACTTACGTCTCGGTTCCATCACATAACTATAAAAACAGGTGAATATCTCTGTGACCAATTACATCTGTGTCACTGAATTGAAATAAATTGTATTCGGTGCCTTTGCCTGGATTGAAACTGGGTTATGATTCGTGTTGATGTGGAGGGTGGGGAATGGTTGATTGTGTGTTATCGTTTTCTTTCGATTAGCATTCTCGTAGAAACTTTGTTTAGAAAGCGCTAAGAAAACGATTAGAAAGTGACTTCAAATAGCATACGAGCGACATCTAAAGGCTTGTTTTTGATGACATGTGTATTGTTCTATATTGATTAGAAAGACATTTGTGTCTCAAAGGTATAAACATGAACAATGAAAGTTATAGATTGAGTATTTCATTATCAAAAACATAAACATAACTTACTAAACTTAATCTCCAGTCAGGGGAAAAACAGAACAATGCCATTATGAAAACAATTAGCAATATTAATTACGTGTTTAGTTTGTATCGCTGAGTACATCCTGGAGGCTACCATTGATCATCTCTCTTGTGAGATGAATAGAATAACCTGTTTTGTGTAAAGACTTTTGTTGACGGTTGTAAGACAATTAAGTTCAACAGTTGAGGGAGTGCACAGAACTCGTGTCCAGGTCGGGTTTGGGAAATAGTAGACATTGACGTGAAGAATGTACAGTTCATTCAGACTCATAGGAAATGGGATGGAAGCTTATATATACTTCTTATTTAAAGTCGGATATTTGTCTAATAGATTATATTTTCTTTCCCTTATGGGAGAAAAGGGAGGATGAAAAGAATATCAAAACAAAAGGATTCAATTTGTATTGACTTTACGTACAACACACAGGGCGGTATAATTGGAGGGGGTCTCCACGGTTTTCACTTAAACGAGTGTAGTCCCGGATTAGATGTGATTAAGGTTAATATCAACAGAGTGTTTAATCCTCTGAGGTTGTGGAGATTGTGGTCCATTTTGCATGTCACAGACCAATTCCTTAACGGTTTAAACGGTTTCTCACCCTTTGGTTATTGGTTAAACTAGAACAACAGTTGAGCACGTTTTGGTTGTAGGTTTACGTCTTAGTGGCAATCTATGAGAACAGATTGATGCATTACATAATCTCATGTTGGCGAATAAGACAATAGCGACATAGCGTGATGAATGAGCGACGTTGTTTACTCAGATATCAATTTAGACAACGAAACGTATGTCTGTGAACTGACACATTTTGTTAAAAAGATAGTATCAAAAGCACAACTAATTGTTGTCGTCCAAGGAGAATACTCTCGTCCAATGAGAGATCATTACTTGATTATACACTGATGTGGATGTGAAATGGAAAGGAATCTAATGGCAGTAGATTACGGGGATCTAATTATATTAAACCACAGAAAACAATACTTGTTCCCGTCCACTGTCTATTTCACACAAGGACGGCAAGGAATATTCCATTTATTTCGTATCTTCTTAATTATATATTGTACCGTTACTTATAGTGATATCTTTTTTTTATAGTTGTATGCTAGTTTTATATAATAATCTGTGATATTCTTGTAATTTTACTGTCCATCGATGACAGGTTTTTATTTAGTTTAAATATATGTGTTAAAAATGTATAATTTCTCGTCACGATATGGCTGAAATGTTGCCGATGTGACGTAAAACATTAACTCACTCACTCTTCTTAATTATCCCCATGATATTGCAAGGAAAATCCATTGTCATTGAGACAGAACGAAAGTAGTTTTGTCAGAGAGTCTTTTTTCACTAGACTGGAACACCGATTTTACAGAATATCGCTCATTTTAAAAACGACAGGGCTGGGGGCCCCATCCACAAAACATTCGTAGCTAACACGTGAGGGTTTACGATCCAATGTTTCAGTCCCGCCTGCAGTCATTGTGGGAATCACCCTGGGTACCGTGAAGCTGGACGGGTATCGGGGCCTGAAGTAGTAAGTAAATACCCTACATCCACCACAACCATGTTCGTCACCATCTCGGACATGTGATCACGTCATTTTGTGTCCATGTTATACCAACAGATGCTAAAATATGGTACTTGTTGTTACCCTGCCTGGCGCTCAGCATTAAGGGGATTAAACAAGAACTGGTCAGCTCGGCGTCAGTGCAATGTGTCTGAGTGGGGTATCCGTGTTAAATTGCGGCATGGTATCTCAGTGGTCTAGCACTATCAAACTGGCGTTATTCCGGACTAGTACAAGCACCAACACGCACGCACGCACGCACGCAGGCACGCACGCACGCATGCACGAATCATGAATAATGAGGATCTGGCGAGTGCAGTGTTTGAGCTTTGCTAAATGTGTCTCATCGTATCTTGATGCTTTCAACCGCTGGTTTACAATTTACAAAATAATTCCACTGTTATAAATAAACACAAATGTTTTGTTTCGTTTCAAAGTTGCTGGTTATCAACAGAGAGGCATATCATATGGGCATTCGTTGGTCCCGCTCTCTTCATAATTGTGGTAAGTGCAAATAAGGTTTAGAATGTCTATAATATGTTCGTTTCATTTTGTTCGGTTGTTATTTAGCGCAGCACTCAGCAATATTCCAAAAGTGACTATGACCTGTAAATAATCGAGGATGGACTAGACAATACTGTGATCGATACTGTCAACAACAACAGCAGGCGGTCGCGGTACGATGACATCCAGTTTATCAAGTCGCCGTGTCTAACCACCAGATCAATTTAAGTCGCCTCATATGAGGCATAGGATGCTGGGAAATTCCGCATTCCAAGTCCCCCACAATACCTAGCATATGTTTGTCTACAAATGTGTTGTGCTTTAAAACAGCTGGAGCGATGAACGTGAAATGATACGATCTGTCGGTTACACGTTTTGACGTGATGTTGTTAAATCTTTCTGAAACAAGGAATACGAAGCTGAGAGCGTGCTATGATGTGTATCAACTCAATGAAAGTGAGAGTTAGGGCCAGTTAAAAACTTTATAACCATTCAAACTTTTTGCATACTGTCATATGTAAATAAAGACATATGGCTTATGGTAAATCATATAGTTATCATTAACCGAAGTGGTAAAGGTCTGAGACCTGCATCACTTCGGGCTTTCCTCCCACATTGAACTGACGCGCCGCGATGTAACTGGAATACTGTTTAACGCGGCATTAAACCCAACTCAATCACACTGATCTTTAGAATATGTTTTTTTTCCTCAGGTAAACACGTTTATTCTGATTCTCTCAGTAAGAAAGATGATTACAAGGAAAACGTGGGATGACAACGTACTGAGCCAGGGAAAGTAAGTAGCAAACATAGATGTGTTGTGCTTCAAAGGTACACATGTGTAATCAGTCAACGTGAAGTGTGTGCATTAATTAAGCAGAAAGTGTGTGGGTCGGTATCATGCTTTTGGCGTTGTGAATGACGTTGAGAAAAATCGGATAAGTAGAACTTCTTCTCAAGGGCTTCGAGTTCGACACAACAGTGTTCCACTGTATATATGTTTACACATTTGATATACCATGAGGTTAATTGATCGTTATCTTATTCACATCATGCGAGGATGGGCATTTACACACACAAAGTCCAGTAACAGACAGCGCGCACAATCAGAAGAAAATATCTAGCATATATACAAAGACGAGACATTAACAGACTAACATAGTTTAAATGGCTTTCCTTTAAGTTCTGGTTCTGTTTTCTTCCCCAACAGGTATTTGGCCCGTGCTCTTGGCGTTATCCTGCCAATCATTGGTATTACGTGGGTACTTGGGGTATTCTCCATCAACAGAGAGGTGGTTGTCTTCCAGTACCTGTTTGCAATCTGTAACTCGCTCCAGGTAAGGTTGGGGGTGATGAAGCCTCGTTTATCCGGACGGTACTCATCCATTTGGATAATAATTTATTCAGTTTTTTCGAATTAACATGGAACGTAAACAGTAACGTCTCTTTGATCATGATTATGTCCAGAGGAAAGGGTTTCCAGAATAACGGGGTCTCGATCTTTGATACGAATTATATGTTACTGCAGCGTGTAGATTCTGAATGAAATATTAGCATTTACAGTTATGATTATGAAGACAAAAATAGCTTCAAAAGTGACTTTCAAGTTCCCACAATGAACCGAAAAGTAATTTGTAAAGACAATTGTGATTAGAAATATTATTGTATTATGCAGTAGAATAAATGGATGTAGTCTGTAGATGGTTAAGTGTAAGGAATTTGTTAGATGGTTATGTATCTGTTACAGGGGCTCTTCATCTTCATCTTCCACTGCTGTACCACCAACGTGAGTATCAAGTTATTATTGGTTATGTTATGTTACTTAAACCAGTCAGCTATTAAACTGCTCACTGTAAGTCATATTTACTCTTTCGTGGTGAAATGTTGCCATAAACGTAACAATGAAGATAGTATGTGTGAACCGCTGTTATGTGAGTGTTCTCGTCGAGAGGGAGAGAGAGTCCAACCGGACGACTCCTCATCACTCAAAGAAAAGAGAGAGAGCTTAAGACCGGACAATCTCTCACAACGTTTGACTCCCTAGCTGTTAAAGTACAGCTACGTTTATAAACACTTTCAGTTCCATTGTATTCCGCACATGACTTACATATGTTTTTTTTGTTGTAGCTTGAATGTGTTTAAACTCCAAGAAACCGCGACAAGTGATTACTAGTAACACATGAATTATATCTGTATGAACGATATTTGAATAACGACTTAGTGAGTTACGCCTATATCTGTTCTGTGAGACAGAGGGTTTTTGACAGGCAGGTAACGTGAAGGTAGCATTTTTCAGAATAAGCCTACATTTTCCGCACTTATCGTTCTGATGACTACACGGTGAGTGATTGTGACTGATTGTCATCCTGACAACGACTTTGGTCTTTTGTTCATGTTATCAACCACTGGTTTAGCTGGTCCAGATTCGCACACTTTCAGGTCACCATTAAAAGTTGTAATATTACTCAGTGCGTAAATATAACATTCATTCACTCACGCAACCGGAATTTCTGGTTGACTATGACTGTAATAAATTGTTCTTGGTCGTTTGCAAAATGTACAGAAACATCTGTATCTTACTACATCTTACTGTGAAGTAATTCACTGGTAACATAGAATCACATACACTTTTGCATTCCAACGTCAACCACGCGGGTATCGGGTGGCTACATCAGTATAAGGAAAACCGCGTGACATACAGGTATCGCTGGTTGGGATAATGTTGAATCGCACCCCGATCATGGATGACTGTTTGTTTCAACGTTAGGTCAAGGTACAGAACACGGACACTGCCAGCTGCTGAATATTTTTTAATACGTTTCTTATTTCTACTTTAGTTCATGCACATAATCGTTTGACGTCGTGAAGAAATTGAAAGAAATGTGATTTATTAGAGTTTATATTTTCCAGGTGACGAATTCGTTTAGAGAGATGAGAAACCGATTCAAGCGGAACTCTATGTCAAAGTCTACCTTGAGATCCAAGTCCCAGAATACATTAAACAGTTCCACGTCCAAGTCCATCAAGTCCTACAAGTCCAATTATACACTGGTATATTTCCTGAGCTCTTAATCCTTGTGAGGCGAGGTGAAACAGGGTGCAAGATTATTGCACTTACATAGTGACGTGTATGCATGCATGTGTGTGTGGCTGCTTGTACTATCCGGACTTTTTATAGTGCTAGCTCACTGAGATACCATGCCGCATTTAAACATGAATACCCCACTCAGACACAGTATACTGACTCCGATTCGACCAGTTCTTTTTTCAGCCCCTTAATGCCGAGCGTGTGTGTGTGTGTTTAACCAGATTGCAAAACCAGTGATTGTCGTATGGCAAGAAAACGTTGCAGAGGCCACTATATAATAATTTATATTTATGTTGGAGTTTAATCAGACATCCCATCTATCAGTTCTAATGAAACCACATTATCTTTACACAGAGCCTGACGACAGCAGCTTTCAGATCAGATAGAGACGGCATAGACAACAAAGGTGTGTGTTTTAACCATTTGGATGATAGTACGATGTATGTTTGGCCACCAGGAAAGATTATTTAGCTATGACCAGAAGTACAGGCAGAGAGTATTTATTTTATACAAAACAAAAACGAAATACCTAATTGGATCCCTTGTGTTTAACAATGCTGAGCTGAACTGAATTTTGCTCAAAGAACAGATTATTATTCAAATTTCCAGTTCATAAAACATACATGTATACCAAGACTTGCATAGAGATGAGGTGCTCGCTCCTGTTTCTGGATCTACACAGCCTCTTCCAGAGCGATCGCAACGCCAGGGCAAAGAACCCCATTGATATTATACGATAGCTGTAAGACTTTGCGGAACATGGATGTGCTCTAGATCCGGCAAGGCAATATGTTCATGTCACTCTAACTGTCTACCTCCAACAGACTCTTGTATCTTAGAGCTGGGTGTGTTTTATATGGGATCAACTCGTCTGTTGCAGAATTTCTGTCAAGTGGTATCGCTAATTCAACAAGATCAGGTAATTCCATATCGGTGAACTGAACAATAGGGACATCTGGCACGTTCATGGTCTGCAGACAGTTATACATCAGCTGACAGTTATACATTAACTGGCAGTTATACACTAAGTGACAGCTATACATTAACTGACAGTTATACATCAACTGACAGTTATACATCAGCTGACAGTTATACATTAACTGGCAGTTATACATCAGCTGACAGTTATACATTAACTGGCAGTTATACACTAAGTGACAGTTATACATTAACTGACAGTTATACATCAACTGACAGTTATACATCAGCTGACAGTTATACATTAACTGGCAGTTATACACTAAGTGACAGCTATACATTAACTGGCAGTTATACATCAGCTGACAGTTATACATTAACTGGCAGTTATACACTAAGTGACAGCTATACATCAGCAGACAGTTATACATCAACTGACAGTTTTATACATCAACTTACAATTATACATCAACTGACAGTTTTATACATTAACTGGCAGTTAAACTTCAACTGACAGTTATACATAAAAGATTCGCAGACCATGAACATGTGAGATGTTCCTGTCGTACAATTACAATCCTTCTTAAGGATCAATAAATCACTTCTTAGCCTTATAGTACATCAGCTTTGTTGTCCATAATTGATTCATTTAATATAGATAATGAAGCTGATGAAATATACGGCGACGCACGTTAATTATTTGTTGATGTAGTTATTTTATGATCACGCTGAAGTTATTTTATTGAGGTAGTTAGGTACCTACATTGCCAAAATAATGACCATAATATATATTCCCTTTACTCTCAGAAAACACAAATAATGCTTGTTATATTTAATCAATGATATATGGTAATTTTAGGCCATGTTGACACACACCAAGATATATATCGTTATGTATATTCTTTGAAAACATTTTAGGGATCCACTTCGAATTATTTTTATTTGGCATCCCACCAACCACCCCACACCCACCCCACCCCTCCACCCGTATCCTAACTTTGCATCAAGATCAGAAGAACAAATAACCACTTTTTGGCGATTTGCCAGTGGGATGTTTCGGGTTCCAAATGCACACATCTTATGTTAAGTTCAATTATCCTCCTAGGGTTCCAGTTTGCACGGACTATAGCTCTGCCCAGCGTGTTCGACCAGAGCCTGGAGACGCCTACAGAGTACCTCATACAGGGCGATGCACGGAGTGACCAGGGCAGTAGCTCGCCCACGTCAGCACAGGTAATACCCACGTTAGCACGTGTAATTCTCACGTCAGCACAGGTAATACCCACGTAAGCACGTGTAATGCTCACGTCAGCACAGGTAATACCCACGTTAGCACAGGTAATACCCACGTCAGCATAGGTAATACCCACGTCAACACAGGTAATGCTCACGTCAGCACAGGTAATACCCACGTCAACACAGGTAATACCCACGTTAGCACATGTAATGCTCATGTCAGCACAGGTAATGCTCACGTCAGCACAGGTAATACCCACGTTAGCACGTGTAATGCTCACGTCAGCACAGGTAATACCCACGTCAGCACAGGTAATACCCACGTCAGCACGTGTAATGCTCACGTCAGCACAGGTAATGCTCACGTAAGCACAGGTAATACCCACGTTAGCACGTGTAATGCTCACGTCAGCACATGTAATACCAACGTCAGCACAGGTAATACCCACGTCAGCATAGGTAATACCCACGTTAGCACAGGTAATGCTCACGTCAGCACAGGTATATACCCACGTCAGCACAGGTAATACCCACGTCAGCACGTGTAATGCTCACGTCAGCACAGGTAATACCCACGTCAGCACAGGTAATACCCACGTAAGCACATGTAATGCTCACGTCAGCACAGGTAATACCCACGTTAGCACATGTAAGGCCCACGTCAGCACAGGTAATACCCACGTCAGCACATGTAATGCTCACGTCAGCACAGGTTATACCCACGTTAGCACATGTAATGCTCACGTCAGCACAGGTAATACCAACGTCAGCACAGGTAAGGCTCACGTAGGCCGTCAAGATGTGAAGGGCAGACATATTCGTATCTACGTCACAGAAAACGAGCCCGAAGTAAACGGTTACGACAAACTCAAGAACTTCCCCAAGGAATGACTGTCATGTTCCTAATTATCGTCAGTATTATTGAGGTTCTCGATGAAATGTTGACACTTAAAGTAAGTGAGAACAGAGGTGCTACAAACTAGTACTGATTGCACTAGTTATCAAAATGAGACAAGTGTGACAAGGTGTGACAAGGGTGAAGTTTCCGAATTCTGTAAAACCAAAGATGGGTTCCTTTCAAAGAAGGATCAGTAACAGGATAAAGCTGAGCTTTGAACCCACAAACACTTACGCCGAACACCCAGGGAACGCAATTCTGGAACAAGAAACTGAACTATTTGCGTTGAATTTTTATTATTTGAATATATTTTTTTTCATAATATTACATACATAACAGTAAACTAACATTATGACATTGTATATAGTCCAAGGTTTCATTTTTTCTAGCATGTGAATATTGGTTTCACTGATAACACGAGGAAACGGCCACGGGTTTCATTTTCTGTTGACTATGCAGAAGTGATTGGTTTCCAGGAAGACTTTGAGGTAACCACTTTCCTTCTTGTGACGTGAACTGAATTTAAAACATGTCCCTATAACATGAAGCCAAACTACACCGAGAAAGGCGCATTAAAACCCAACTATCGTTATCTGTAGTTCTTTATAAAGCTGTATAAACATAACACAAGAACGATATTAACGATCTCTCATTGCCCATGGTCAGTTATTTATGTTGATGGTTATTTGAAACTGGTTGAATTTTTCAACGATGACTTTCAAAGCCCCGGCCGTGTTTGTCTAAATGCCGTTTCCCATTGTGTCCAGTCATCTCCGGATCCGGGCGAAGGAAGGCGACGAATACACCACCATCCCAACATGGAGGAAGTCCCGGAAAGTGATATTGAGGTAATCAATTAAGGCCTGCGGCGGACTTGTCCTCAAAGGAGAAACAATATCTAAGTTTTGTGCTGGTATTGTGTGTTTTTATTATGTAATCATTAAAAAAAGGTATGAAACTGGATAAAATACAGTGTTTTTCATGGCAACCCCTCTCCTATACTTCGCAGAGTGTTGGGGTGCAATAATCTATCTGTATACAAAGGGTGGTAAACTAGGTCAACGAATGCTAATCTCTTTGTATTGTAAAGTGTTTTAAAGATTTCAACTCATTCCAAGATCCTGAAAGACAAAGTGTAACCTTGGCCAAAAGATTTCCCTTTTTGCGGACGTAACACGTACACACGTAACACGTACACACGTAACATGTACACATACGAGACATGTTGACACGTAACATGTAGACACGTAACATGTACATACACAAAACATGTACACACGTAACATGTACATACACGAAACATGTACATACACGTACATACATGTACATACGTTCATTCATTCATTCATTCATTCATTCATGTACGCACGTAACATGTACACATACGAAACATGTATACACGTAACACGTACACACACGAGACATGTTGACACACGTAACATGTAGACACGTAACATGTACATACACAAAACATGTACACACGTAACATGTACTCACGTAACATGTACACACGTAACACGTACACACGAAACATGTACACACGTAACATGTACACACGTAACACGTACACACGTAGCATGTACACATACGAAACATGTATACACGTAACACGTACACACGTAACATGTACACACACGAAACATGTACATACGTAACATGTACACACGTAACATGATCACACGTAACACGTACACACGTAACAGGTACACATGTAACATGTACACACGTAACATGTACACACGTAACACGTACGCACGTAATATGTACACATACGAAAAATGTACATACGTAACACGTACACACGTAACATGTAGACACGTAACATGTACATACACAAAACATGTACACACGTAACATGTACATACACGAAACATGTACATACGTAACATGTACTCACGTAACATGTACACACGTAACACGTACACACGAAACATGTACACACGTAACATGTACACACGTAACACGTACGCACGTAATATGTACACATACGAAAAATATACATACGTAACACGTACACACGTAACATGTACACACACGAGACATGTAGACACCTAACATGTACACACACGAAACATGTACACACGTCACACGTACACACGTAACATGTACACATACGAAACATGTACATACGTAACATGTACACACGTAACATGTACACACACGAGACATGTAGACACGTAACATGTAGACACGTAACATGTACATACACAAAACATGTACGCACGTAACATGTACACACACGAAACATGTACATACGTAACATGTACACACGTAACATGTACACACACTTAACATGACACACGTAACATGTAAACATGTAAAATATACACACACGAAACATGTACACACGTAACATGTACACACACGAAGCATGTACACACGTAAAATGTACACACACGAAACATGTACATACGTAACATGTACACACACGAAACATGTACACACGTTACATGTACACACACGAATCATTTACATACACGAAACATGTACATGCGTAACATGTACATACACGAAACATGTACACACACGAAACATGTACACACGTAACATGTACACACACGAAACATGTACACACGTTGCACGTACAGACGTAACATGTATTCACACGAAACATGTACATACGTAGCACGTACACATGTAACATGTACACACACGAAACATGTACACACGTAGCACGTACACTCGTAACATGTACACACACGAAACATGTACATACACGACACATTTGCACACGTAACATGTACACACATGAAACGAAACATGCACGAACATGCACGAACAGACGAAACATGCACGTACGTAGCACGTACACACGTACCATGTACACACACGAAACATGTATACATGTAACACGTACACACGAAACATGTACACACACGTAACACGTACACACACGAAACATGTACACACATAGCACGTACACACGTAACATGTACACACATGGCACGTACACACGTAACATGTACACACGTAGCACGTACACACGAAGCATGTACACACGTAGCACGTACACACGTAACATGTACACACGTAACATGTACACATACGTAACATGTACTCACGTAACATGTACACACGTAACACGTACACACGAAACATGTACACACGTCACATGTACAACATACTGACACAAAGACTTTTCAACAACTTATTCGAAGGAATATTGTACTGTCCTGCGTGTTTGTTACATGAATCCTTCACTCAATCTCACGCTGGTATTTTGAAAAGGCATGTAGCCAAGAAGGTAGGGTGGGCTTACTGATGTGAACTTCCTTAGATATTATCCACCCTGACTTCAGCGTTGAAATGTTTCAATGATTTATTAAGCATAGACCTAATTTAAATAGTTGTTGCATTTTCTTTTCTTTTTAGATTTTGTATATTGTTGAGTTTAAATGTTTCTCTTTGAGACGGCTGGATCCCTGTGGGGGCACCGGTTGCCCAGTCGTCTAAGGCGCCGCAATTCTCTCTACAGAGTTTCTTCCCTTTGGTACTCCAGAATGCTATGATCGTCGGTTTCACCCAAGTGATACATGTCTGAGACCAGCATCACTTTCCTCCCACATTGAGCTGACACGCCTTGACTGACATAACTGAAATACTATTCAAAGCGGCGCAAAATCAAATTCACTCTCACTGATGCGCAGCGAGATGTAGCACTGACCACTCGGCCACCCAGGTTTTAATATCTGTACCCAATTTATATTTCAGCGGGCGCTAAGGATTCGCAGGAAGCCAATCGATCAGATGTATAATGTGATGAGCGCCTTTAAAGACAGGCGCAAAACTGTAACGGAGGTAGGTATTGGAGTCTCTCAAAAAACAACGTTAAGACATATATCTATACACATGCGTGCGTGCGTGCGTGCGCGCGTTCGTGCTAGCGTGCGTGCGTCCGTCCGTCCGTCCGTCCGTCCGTACGTACGTACGTACGTACATACATACATACATACATACATACACATACATACATACATACATACATACATACATACATACATACATACATACCCTACAAAATTACAACATTGCATACATTATTGAACGTGTGAAACGACCTTTGATCTTGCCATTGTGAACAATTAACAATCGGTTAACAAACATTCTGTTTGGGTAATAAACCAGCCGCTGCCCTCGGCCCTATTTCACACAATGAATGTCTGTCAGGGAAGGCATCTTCAGTGTGGTTACTAATAAGGCATAAGGTGAACTCTTAGATAAGGTAATCAAATGGATGTGCAGACAGAAAATAAGCCGCAGTGTAGTAAAACATCCTCAGCGGAAGCAGGCAGACAACGCGTCTTGATTTTGGAAATTGCGGAACGCGTCAAACACCGAGAACCCTTTTAAAACCCAGTTACGGGAATCAGTGCTGGATATTTTCGGAGGGGATTTCGTCTGTCATTTTCATCGTTTGTTTGACGCAATATCAGTTTTTTTCAAATTAATGTTTGTCAAGCATTATGATTAAGTATGCTCTAATGTATTAATATCTGCAAATTGGCTATGTTGAGTTTACTTGCCCTTTAGATCGATAATGTATATCTTGTATCTCCGCTTCACCCTGAGACAAGTTTCACTACCACTGTTACAGTTGGGCAAATCTGTTGTGAAGTATTATCCTTGAACACCTTTGGTGTCAGATCTTCCAAGCATGCAGCCACTGTGTCATTGAACTCTCCCCCCACCCTACGTCTGAGATGCGTACCTTCATGAACCAACTTTAGATCCCAACAAAAGACCCATTATTTGCAGCGATATTGACATTTAGTGACTGTGTGTTTGTGTACGCTTAGAACATGCCCACGAGGCATAGACTGGTACGCTTTAGGTTTTAGATATTTGTTATTCTACATGATAAGCAATACGTGATATATTGATCTTTGAATTGCATAACTACAGCGTCTACACATGTCCACGTGCATTGGTATTTTTAATCTTATCATCATCCGGCGTGGGAGGGTTTTACGAGAAATAAATCATTCGCATTCTGTTTATTTCAGGAAATGGGGAAGCCTCTCACTGCTCGAGGGAGATGGAGGTCAGCGTATGACGCAATACAACGGGCTAAAACGTTCCAGATATCGTCTACTTTTGGCGGAGGACGTAACGTGACATCACAATATTCATAGACCTGAGCAATGCACCGATTGTATACAACATGTACAGATCACTGTCAATTGAATTCAGCACCTATCGCATGTATATTTGTACAGAGGTGATGTGAATATAGATCCTCAAAACAGAACATTGGTGTTGTAACAAACTACAGCATCACGAACCATTCATATATGGATGTTTATTTGAAAAAAGCTGTTGGCGATGTTCCAATCGCTTGTGTACCCAACCAATATATTATTGTACACTTATTTCTTTCAACACAGAACCCAGTTCATGTATCCGATTACATGTAATTTGACTGGTCCCTGATTCCGAATACTACTGCGCTGCTTTCAGTGGAATAAGGTTATTAGACTAGTCGGAGACTGGATTTGTGCAGTACTGTAGCTGCTATTCAAATATGAAACGTGCCTACTACGACATGCGTGGTTGATGATGGTACCCCTCTGTGTCTCGTTTCATGAGGGTCAGTTGCTGATACATCATTAAGGTGAATAAAGATCTTGAAAAACGAAAATAATGGAATGCCTGTTTAAATTCGATTGTATAATTACTGTCATGGCATTGTCCCGGATCAAAGTAGGGAAACAGTGTTGGAGTGAGTGAGTGAGTGAGTATGGTTTTACGCCGCTTTTAGCAATATTCCAGCAATATCACGGCGGGAGACACCAGAAATGGGTTTCACACATTGTACCCAGGTCGGGAATCGAGCCCGGGTCTTCGACGAGCGAACGCTTTAACACTAGGCTACCCTATGGCCCCCATTTTTTACAGTGTTTTGAAACGTCTTAAATACTGATAGCATGGTTCGGCTCTGTAACGCGTGTCATGCTTCCCAATAGGGAGCTCGTGCCTTCAGTCACTGGTCTAAACACGAGTATAAGCCGGTCGCCGAGACATACTGGAGACTACGTGTTGGGATGTTTTCTTTATCACATTGTAAAGGAAGTAGACTTTGTTCGTTCTAAAGCATCGTCTATCAATTCCAACTTCCACGCCCTTTTTCGGGCTGTCGTTTTCGTCCGTATACAAAACTATAACGGTGGGGGACACCAAAACCTCCCCACACACGTTGCACTCACACGCTGGGATCAAACCGGTGTCTTCAGTGTTGTCGAGCTGAGCCTTTAGCCATTAATTCAATGTGTGTACTTCTGTGTACATCGTGATGGTTGTGACACGTGTAGTCATGACAACGTCATCTCCAATTGCGTGAATTTATTTACGCCGCTGTCAGCAATATTCTATTTTTATCACGTCGGACTGTATATAATCGAGCCAAAGCAGTGGTTGATATTGCAACGATCCACGCCGTCCGGATACGATGGCAGGCAATCAACTAAGTTAGCGGACCTGCCACAGCAACACACATACTCTGATGAGACAGGCTGACGTATTTATTTCTCCCGAGAGATAGCGAACTGTACACTATATGCACTTGCAAGAAAAGAAACGCATCACTCAAATGAGGACACTAATTTCACACGACAATGACGTTAGTTAATTAAAACAATTTTACAACATGTTGTACGATGTAACTGGAAGTCATTACAACAATCTTGGAACAAACTCGAAATACCTCGGGAATAACGGTCCTGAAGCATTAAATAACGAGACGGGGGACTCTTGTTGTGGGACTTTCACGTCATTCAACTTTCATGATTGATATGTTTTGTTCTTGTGGATGAGTGGAACTTAGAGAGATAGCAGTAGACAAGAGTGTTCAGTGTCTCGGGAAAGGGTTCCCATATTTAACGTTATAATCAATGTTGACAAAACCCTTTGGGAATACCATTTTGGACCAGAGTTCAACGAGAAGTGTGAAAGATTAAAAGAGATTCGTGCATGTTGGAGACGAATGCTCAACACGAACGGACACCAATGTACAAACAATCAGTTTTAAAACCTACATGTATGTCGCTGTTTGAATCAATGGTCTTAACGTTAATGAGAAGTAGTGTGACACTCTCGTCGCTTGGCTAAGTCATGTCTTGGTCTCGGCCAATCGATACCCCCCCCTTCGATGGTGTATCAGGAATCTTGGTGTTGAGAAGCAATGTGCGTGATGGAGTATTAATCAGTACTGTGCTCTTCTAGTGTGTCATTTGTAATTTGTGATTAAGCATGATTTCTTTTTTTTAGGGGGTGGGGTGGGTGGGTGGGTGGTGTGGGGGGATGGATAATGGACTTAGAGAATCAATAATTGTTTGTTTGCAGGTACGAATGATCGACCATTAGAATTAATCAGCTTCGTTGTGTTAGTTCTATTTTTCTAGTATATTTTTCATGCCGTATGAAACACTGAACCCCATACTCCGTACACGGTTAAATACACGTGACAATGTAAAAAGTATGACAACGTCCCATTAGGAAATGATTAGCAATTTTGCAGCATTTGGCAAAAAAACTATCTTCGATTGTATACATAGTGGTTGGGTGCTTGTAACAAGCGATCAATCGTCCCAAGAGATATTCCTCCCATCAGCAACTTCATGCGATGAGAATAATGTCATCACTGGAGCTACTAAAGTTATAGAAGAGATCAGGATTGCACTGAAGCTTACCTGTACTTACGATAAAACACTCTGAAGCGAGGCAAGGAAACGACTTTGATCTATTGTACATGAGCTATCTTGTTACCACGCACATAGCGAACCGTAAAGCTACAGTATTCAGTGTGTCTTATTATAACTTTTTATAAGAATAGAAATATATTCTCGCATTGTCTCTGGTCGCATTTGAGGACCGCCTTCGTGGTCTAGTGGTGGACAAAGCCGAGTTATACCAAACGACGTTAAACGATTAAAGATTTTACTTGTTGCTACCCTGCCTGGCACTAGGCATTAAGGGGCAAAAACAAGGACTGGTCGGCTTGGAGTCAGTATCCTGTGTGTGTGTGTGTGTGTGTGTGTGTGTGTGTGTGTGTGTGTGTGTTGTTGTTGGCTGGGTTGGGGGTTGGGAGGCACATTATATCAACGTTTCACATGTATGTTATCTCGGGCATGCATGAAGGCATGTGATTATGGTATCGGTCAATGTCCTTCGGTTCGAACTGGACAATGTAGTACCAATAATGGTTAATAGATCCAGTGTAATACTTTTTCGACATTTGCATACGTTCATATGACCGAATGTTCAGGGGATACGTGCGATTAATGATTAATGATTAATCGAACCCCTGCCTTCGTCGTGACGAATGAACCACTACGCTACCGCACCGCCCCCGCCACGTTAGAAAACTAAACACGTAGATCTGAATTTAATCTGTTATGTTGAATGTCACGTTCAAACTTTACTAAGTTCCTGGTATCTAGAGTAATGGGCCAGAGGAGATACTTCATCGATCAAGTTTTATTTACCCTCTCATCATTAAAAGTGTGTCAGTATATGTATACAGACTACACTGGGATGAAAACTGTTGACATTCACAATAAAACAACTGTTTCAACAATTCTGTTAAAGACTACAAGTGTAAAACACCTGGTGTTCTGATAAGGAAATTTGTTAAATGTCATGCGCATGCTCATACATAACTCTTATCTATGGTTAAGTGCATACATTACGTAGAAGAAAAGATTATCAAATTGCCTCATATGTAAGACAGATACTCCGTTGTATAGTAGGGCAAACAAAATCACAAATATCTTAAAATAAAACACACACCGTCAGTTTTAATGGACATGAAGACATCCTTTCCATAAAAAATGATTTTTCAGGATTTTGTGTTTGCGTTTCAGTCAGTTTTTCAATGTAGACTTTCTCGCAACCTCTGTCATAATCAATGGGACTTACCGCCATGTTGTTACCAAACACTGAGGCTGGTTTCTAACTCGAATTTTTATTGGTGCATTAGACTTAGTAGCGTGGCAAATCAAATTAGGTAATGAAAATCAAGGGCGGGTAATTTGAGATCGGTAGAGAACCAGGGTTAGTAAAAGTTACCCTGCAGATATAGAGGATGGCTAATCAGTGGGTACATGTTTTCCTTTACATCTTCCCCTGTGATCAAGTCTGTACTCTCTAGGGAATGCATGTTGTTAGTTGTGCCTGTGAGTATCCCGTGACAAATTCACACACACTGTACAACAAGCCTTTATCACACGCGAACGACCTCCATAGCGGTGTGCCTTTGTTCTTCCGGCCACACGGTTTAGTGTCATCCGGGTACCCCGTTTCCCAGTTCAGGTAGGCTCCATACGGGGCTCCCGTCTCCCATGTCCACTGGCTCCCATCATACCTGGCTCCGAAGAAGAATCCATCATCTGGGAGTAGAAAAACACAGGTTTTTTGCATGTATTTTTTCAGCTAAAACAGCAAAACCGGATATTTTAAAAAATAAAACTATGACCCTAACTGAATACATGGCACTTTTTATGGGTAGCAGCTTCTTTGTCACGACGTTTCAGAGCTACCTCCTGCTCCTTCATCAGGTGAATTGATGATCATCAACCACAGTAGACATCTAGGTTGCCTTACTGCTTGTGTCACAAAAGCCAGGTCCTTTTCATCACTACACCTTCAGTGTACTTAATTAATCCTTTCCTATTAAAAACTTCGTCATTATGTTATTTTCTTTGTAAATTAAACCTATGTTTTGTCATTATATTGCTATCTTTGTACATTCGTCCAACCTTGTGTTGTGTAAACATGTCATGACTATACATATCAACTCTATGTACATACTATGCATTCACCCGATGAACGAGCAAGAAGTAGCTCTGAAACGTCGTGTCAAAGAATGTTGCTGTTTAAAACAAAGTGTCTTGATTCCATGTTCTCTCAATTTCTAACGGCATAAAAAGACTTCATATGACCGTAAATATTTTTGTTGTTGTAAAAAACACGTAACAACAATCCAATGTTTGTGGCAGACCATTTTCTTTCTTTTTTTCAACAGTCTGAAGTCTTATTTTCTGGGGCCACTTTTTTACGATAAAATCCCAGCCCCACTCCCACCCCAGAATATCCAAGAGATAGTCGCTGTTTTAAAACGTCTTCTGTGAAAAGAAGAGTTGTACCATTATATTTTTTTTAACGCGTTTAAAAACAAATTGTTTTCAAACAGTCCACAAACATTTTTCCAAAGTATCTACTTGAACAAATTATTCTTTAAAAACAACAATATTTTTGTCGAATCATAAGCTCTTATGATCAATCTTAAAATATTGAAATTTTGAATTTACAAATTTGCACAAATTTCATAAATAATAAAATGTTAAAATAGTAAGCTGCACACAACATACTGTAGACGGTAGCCTGGCCTGTCAGGAAGGTGTCCCGAGCGGCGGAAGTGACTGCCATGAGTTGTCCGCCCATGGCCTGACATGTTGTTCGGTGACTATCGGCCGTGGTCAATGTCTCCAGAACCTTATAGCAGATGTCTGCGGCGCTATCGTAGGCGAAACCTTTGTCAAGCGGACACTCCGACTGTGGACCTAAATGAGAACAAACGATCTTGAGTGCATGAACACTGTTCACGGTAACGTTAAACCGAACTTAAATTAGATGTTTAGATTTAAGAATTCGATGTATTACTTGAGTGAGTGGGTTGGGTTTAACGCCGCTTTTAACAGTTGTCAAGTATCACGGCGTGTCGCTGGAGGTGGGAGGAAAGCCCGAAGTGATGCTGGTCTAACACGTTTACGACTTTGGTGAAACCCACGAGCACGGGGATGGTGCTGACGAACCTAGAAACATAATCGGGGCGAACTGGGATTCAAACCCACAATCAGAGACTGACCCTCACCCCCTCCCGTGCACCCACTCCCCCATATATTACTGGAACTGGATATAGGCAGCTGTTAATTAACAAATCAGATTACCTCAGCTGGTAAGAATTATCTTTCCGGTTGTATTTTTAATGAGCGCTTCACCCACGAGCTTCTCTGGTGACTATACAATATAAACTGGGATATATATGATCACGGCTAAACCGGAAACACGCACCGACATTTTAGTGGGAAGTTGAACATAGGCCAGGAAGTGTTCTTTGGATTTAAAATCAACCACACAAAGTCGATTTGAATGTATTAATACAAAGCTGTAATCAGTATACTTGCGCTGCCAAGAACCATTCAGACAATTCTAGACGGAACAGACGCGCGTCTGTATGCATTATGATAACTATAAATTAACATCAAATGCAACAGGTCGACTTTTCCCTGGGCAACGACGAGAGATTCCTAATAGATGTTCAATAGCGTTACATAATCCTTGTGCAGGAAGTAGGTAAATGCATAAATCATCGGTTACCTAAAATGTACGATGAACGTCAATAGTTTTTTTAGTGTAATTTGTATATTTTATTCGGATCAACTTTTCAGTGAAATGTTTTCTTGGCATGCATGCTCAGAGGTAGATGATGTCAGCGTAAGATCCACTACAGGAGAGGCGCCGGGTACTCAGATCTGTGACATATGTCCTATTTACATGGTGGCACAGGTCACATATCAGGCGAGTTAAGCAACGGACGTCAGGAAGAGTGGTTGGATGGGTGACCGTGCTTGAATGTCTGAAGAGTTTCTAGGGCTTCGGCCCGGCCCCACGCTGAAACACATGTAGCACATGTGGTGTCTCTTCAGGCAAGTGACCTTGTTCGAAATATACCTCACCCAGCGAGTGAGATGATGACGGTTAACCTTCTAGCGCCTCACAGGCAGCTTGGGTTGTATACTCCCCGGGGAACTGAGAAAGAGAATCGAGTGCACACTGATCCATTGACCGTGGTAGTAATAGTACCAGCGCTCTACAACGGGTGGCCTAAAGCGTATTACAAACATCCATTTATTTTAAAGATATTATACGATGTTGTCTGTTATTTAACGTCACCCTCCCCTTGGGTATTCAACCGATAGCTTACACTGTAACAGTAGTCTATAAAGGTACACTCTTGAGTATAGATTATTCTAGTAGTTACACAAATTAAATATAGATTCATACGCTTATTGAACGAATGGTCGCATCTCTAATTGATTACCTGTTTGTGTTTATGGTTTAATGCTTTCTTTGAGTGTGATATAACGATAGGAATATACTCCCTTACATTTCCTTTGCTTACTTATCAATCTAGGCATACTTGAAATGAACCTCGTCTCTTCTAAGAAGACTAACTGGTACAACGCCTTCAATGTCCACAGCTATTTACCCCTTATGCCAAGTTGAATCTGTTTCGTCATAAAACAGACCTGGTTATTTTCTTGCAGTGACAATTTATATTTACTTGAACTGGGTCCATGTTTCTGCTAGTGGACTGAAGTCCCAGAGTTTCGTCATAAGGAAAGGAGTATTTATGTATGTTGAGTCAACTACAAAAAAAATGTTTGGGCCGAAACTTTTAAACCGCGCCCCTCTGTGTTGCAAAAGGAATATATTTCTTAACGTTTTTCTTTACTTGTAAGCAGCAAAATCTCTGTACTTGCACAGAGAAGACGTAATTCAAAATTAACAATACCGTTTTTATTAGTTTCAACAAAAGCAGTAATGATACGCTCGTGTCACTGGATTTTCTGGTTCATCGATCACTTGATTGTCTGGTTTGTTTACAGGCTGGCTGCGCATTGCAGGAGTACTTCTGTGCTGCGTCAGGCAATAAAAGTAAAAATAAATTGTATGAATGACGGGTGCTACCGCTAGGGAAGGACATGCTTACCCTTTTCGCGAACACCTGGTGTCATCACTGATCGTCAGTGGCCCATTCATATAATGTCCACAGCTATTTGCCCTTGACACCAAATGCTATCTGTTTCGGCAGAAAATCTAGGATGGTTATTTTCTTGCATTAACAATTTCTATTTATACAGAGTATGGATAGATGGATAACCATGAAGGAATTCAGGCACCATCCAGCTTGTTTGTGTATGTCATTAGGCATAAGTTCATTCATACACCATATATGCTTTTGGATTGAGTTTAACAGTATCTGGTCATGGTGGCCAGTGTTGAAGCTAATCCCAAGGAGACTCCTGCGAAGATGCAATAAAACCAAATGCTAACCAGCATACCTGAGGGACACGCCGACTGACAGTTTGTTCAGGCAAGTTACCTGGATAACCTTTGTCTCGCGTTACGTGTCGAGACCGTGTTATATTATGTTCACATGACTCCTGATCACATTTAAATACTGCATGCGATACATTATTCCGTTTGAAAGAAAACAGAAGGAGTTATGCTTCCGTTAACACAGGTAACATTACTCCTTGTGAATACGGAATTCTGTTGCAAGCATCCCCTTTCGGTGAATTGCATCCCTTTTCGGTTCACTGCATCCCTATTCGCTTCATTCAGTAACGACTTGAATTAGTATAAAACAAGAAACAACAAAAGAGACTTGGTCCTTAGACATGTCAAGAACAAACGCTCATCTACAGCGAACTAACGTTCCAATTATATCTTTAGTTCTTTGCTATGGTCTGACAAGGTCTTGCCGTGGAAGTAGAAAGCGTAGCGTCAGCCAAGTTACTCACGTTGTCACATACAGTGATGCACATCAATAAGCAGTTTAGCATTGATGCAGAAATGCGTTGTTCTAATTTGATGTCATTTAAATCTAACATGGATACCTGAGATCATGACTGGCACGGTTATCAGAGAAATATGGCCGCAAACATAAGTCATATACAGTGTATACAATGTCATGTAGAAATGGACTATGTGTATAAAAAACATTCGGCATTCGGTTCTATGGCTGCCTGGCTGTTTAATGTGGACTGAAGCCAGACGTGATGTCATTGTCCCGGTTATTGCGAGAGATACTCACGTTCAGGGGTTGACCTTTTTGAGATGGAATGAAAGTTAATGTGACTTCCGGGGGCACGGGTGGCCCAGGCGTCTAAGGCGCCGCGATTAGCTGAGCAGAGATGCGTCCCTTGGGCATGCCAGAAACCTGTGATTGTGGGTTCGAATCCCGGTTCGCCCCGATTATGTTTCTAAGTTTGTCAGCACCATACCCGTGCTCAAGGGTTTCACCGAAGTGGTAAACGTTTGAGACCTGCATCACTTCGGGCTTTCCTCCCACATTAAGTTGACACGCCGTGATATAACTGGAATACTGTTAAAAGCTCACTCATCAAGGAACATATTGGTACAATATGCCTCATCGTAACTCATCAAGGATCAACTTGGTACATCATGGCTCGTCATCTGTTTCCGAAAATGCTTGAAAGCTTAATAAACAAACAATGGGCTCATAAGTCCCCCCCCCCCCCCCCCCCCCCCCACTCCTCCCTCCCTCTCCAATCTTAAATGGACAGTGCCTGAATACGCTAGCAGTGTTCACAAATACAAAATAATGTTCTTGTTGGAAATTATCTTTAAATACATAATTATAAGGCTCCACGTGGCTCAAGAAAAAATCAACATGCATGTATTTAATTCGGCTGAAGCCCTGTTGACCTATCCATTTCATGTTCTTATTATGAAATCATTAGTAAGCATTGGATGAAGTCGTAAAAGCGGCTTAAGTAATGAGTCTCATACTTCTAGTTTGACGGTTATTTCGTTACATTGTTGAAAAAAATAGTGTAACGTAATTTAAAATGTAATCTAGGGTTAGATATTAACATTTATAGCTTGCGACAATACAAGACTATACAAGACAAATAAATTGTAACTCGGAAAATGAAAAAATATCATAATTAGTGTATCTGCTGTGGAAGCCAGTATCAGACAGTTTTAGGCGACATCTAAGGCGCCACCCATCATCTGTAGACAACAGATCGTACGTCGTACGAACCACCCCTCCCAAGTTAAAAATTTCATCATATTGGATTAAGTCAATTTAAATGTATACAAGGTCATGTATAATCAGAGTTGCTGAAATTAGGCTGACATGAATGGACGGTTTTCCATCAAATTGTTGTTCCAAATTCGTATCGCAAGCAGGTTTTGAGTTTGGCACATGAAAATTCTAACCCATTTCGTATGGCATAATTTGCGGTCAAGGCTTTTACAATGAGGATAACTTGAAATAATCCCTTACAAAATGATAAAAAGACTCAAGAGAGAATTTCAGTCCTGACGATAAAGTCTTAGTGTTTTTGCCAATCCCTTGTCAACCATTACGTGCTAGAGACCAAGGTCCGTAGGTTATTAACAATAACAAACTTTATTTGATAGCTTATTATATAATATATACACGTACAACAATAACAATTTCAAAGCTTTTATGATAGGATTATCTCCCATTTACAACTTAGGCTGATTAAGCTGAGGAACAATAAGCATTTTCTTTATTAGCATTCTGTTAGTCTCCTGTGAACTCTTCCACTGTGTCGATACTCCTCAGTGAACTCATACTTTAGATCATCTGGGATCAGATTTACTCATTTATAGATAATCTTGGAATAGATTAGTTTAGAAATTAGATGATGTGGGCTTAAACCGTTGGAAGACAAGTTTCACATGTACATCCCACATGGCGACTATGTTTCATTATTCA